GAGGCTAACGGGTGCAGAAGGAATTGAGACATTAAGTTCAGCAACTATAGTTAATCTGATCATGTCGTGGTTGCTCCATGGAAGGGTGAGAGAACCTTCGATTCAGCAATGAGTATGTGGCGGTGTGAGGATCGCATCCGAGGCTGCGAGCACGAAGCCTGGCCCCTCCGACTTGCAGGATAGAGAGCACATGGACGAGAACGAGATTACCTAGGTAGGTAGGTATACAAACGTCAAGGTTGTTAGTTTTCTCATTGGTTGGTATTGTGAGCGGTTTATCGCACGCTTCCCATGGCAAGGCGCGTGCTTAGTAAGATCCTGATTTGTCGCAACATACGACGGCGATGATGAGGGACATTCATTGGCCCCCTGAGAGCGATTCGCCTCATTGTCAAGAAATGGGGGAGCTGAACACACGAGGATAGATCGTGTCTGGATGATAAGAGGACGATGGCATCGCCAACTCAGCAAGCAAGGCTCAGCTGGATGCGGGGTCGGGGTGAGGCCCCGCAGTCGTTGGATGGTTGCCTTTTCGGTGTCGCGATGTATTGTACCGCCCATGTCGAGGAGCGCATTATTGCTCCGGACTCGTGCTCTTTCTGGAATTCGTCAGAATCAGCATGGAGGAGCGACTAACTACCCAGTAGGTATCTAGTCCGTCCCGCAGCCCCTCCCCGCAGAGTACAGTGGACGCCGGAGGGGTGTTAGTCTAAAATTACGGTGACATCCAGCCGACTGGGCTACGAAAGCCAAGGACCGCGACGCGATCACTGGACTCATAGGGCAGAGAAAAAGAAACGAACTGGAGGATTGGCTTGCGGTAGTCCACATTCCGTTCTTCGTCATCGTCATGGGCCAACCGTGCAAATCCCAATCAACCGTCCCGCCCAATGAATGAATGACATGGGAAGAAGACGGTTTCCTGACCGCTCTTCTAACCGGACAGTAATAAACAGCATCACCGTCATTGTCGGTTCAACCCGTGTGACATGGGGATGTTGTCCAACCCTTTAGGTTTGTGTCTGGATAGTTGAGTGGATTTGGGGGTTGTCCGTGGGAGCCTGGTGAGGGGATTGTAGTGCATTGTATGCACTAGCGGTTCCTGTAATTCTGTACGGAGTGATGCGCGGTACCTCCTGGTACTTTACTGAAAGAAACATCCCTACCCCCCCTGATTGAGAGGTGCCGTGGGTACTAGTCAAGTCCTATGGTAGGTTAGGTACGTTCATGCTGGCGGGTAGAATGAAGTAAGAAGAACAGAGACGCCATGGATATCATATGTCTTTGCAGTCAGTTCAAGGAGTGCCCCATGGATCCCTCCGGGAGGTTGACTTTGAGCCATCCGCAAAGGATCTGCCGACTAGTGTTTAAGATCATGGTTTCATCATTCTTACCGCTCCATTCTCGTGCCGATCTTACCACCCCGGCCCCCTTTTCGCACCGCCTCGGCCGATGTCACTGCCACTCCCCAGCCTCAGTCCTCCCTAGCGACAGACTCGGATTCTTTATTGTAATCTCAATACTCGGCAGAGAGTCTCCCCCGCGTTCAACATTGGAATGACTCAATCCACGCTAAGAAATTCTGTTCTCCCGCTTACTGTCAAGCTCTCCAACGATAACCAGGCATTCGCCCTTGGTTTGAGGTTGAAATGTGTAGTACCCAGTCCGAGTCACCTGGTGTCCACAACGGAGTACATCCCTTGTAACTACTAGTTACCTAGTAACCACCTAGTATGGATGGGCGAACCTGAGGCTATGCGTCGCGAGGTCAGAGAACCACCCATCTCCACCATGATGTCGACTAGTCGGTTCGCGATTTTCTCCCGTCCCTACGTGGGGTGTTGGCTCCAGGTAGAATCCCGCTTCCGTCATGACTTCCCCTCTTTACGATCATGACTATTTCTTTTTTTTCTTTTTCTTTTCCCGTCCCTTTATCTCGAACAAAGACTCCAGTCATTGGTGTTTTCCAGTCGCTCGTATCAGGTGACCTATAGTCGGACATCAATCAAAGCTCTCTCTCATTGGGCCAACTGGCAGTCAGACGAGGGATGCGAGGCAGAGGGATCGGTGATAGGCGCCGTAGAGTTCCCCATCGACAGGGATAGGGGAGCAAGATCATCATGTCCGAGTTGAAACTGAGGGAGCAATAAAGAATGAAGGGAAAAATTCTAGGAAACTCGAAGATCCACCGTATCTGCTTTTTCCCCAGGAAGACCACTCTGTCGGGGCGAGAGAAACCTAAGGAAGAAAAAAATGAAAATCTGTAACGTGGAACACGAAATATTGTGGGTAACGGGTTGGGAATGAGATGAAGGCGGAACAATAGTGGCCTTTGGATCGACTGGAGGCATGCTGCGGATGCGCTGAACATCAAACATCACACGGTCACCCGCAATGAGCAGAACGAGCTTAGGTAGGACTATGAATCTGTTACAGATTCAGGGGATTCTGGAATAATAATGATGTGGACAGTGGGCAGTTGTATCCACCAGTTTCGCATCTATAGAGGTAATAGAAGTCAGTACCGAGTCGGTAGGTGGCGTGAGATCCATCCCCCTTTCCCCCCCTTTCTCTTCCCCGTCAATTTCGTCTCCCAATGCGCACAATTCTGAAACACTCTGTCGTACAGGCTGCGAGATTGACGGTGACATCTGGTAAGGGATGATCGTCCAATCGAAAGGAGCCCGTAGGATTTTCCTGCCATTGTGCACAGTTGGATGATCGGGGACGGGCAAATGGCGATCCAGCGTCGGCATCCATGTCTGTGACTCCGCGGCTCTTGCCCAACTCTGTCCAGGGGGGTCTTGATCCAATGAACTGCAGATGAGGTTGTCGCGGTATTCGCTGGCACAGGAGATCATGATGGGAGGTGACTCTGGCAAAGGCGGGAATGAAGAAATCAGGCCATTCGAGCATCTCATCATCAGAACCAGGAAGTACAGGTATTATCCAGTCGAATTCATAACTACGTAGAGATTCAACCTGGCCATTGGTTAACCATTCTGTGTAGGCGGTGTTCGGTATGCAGTAAATAATTAATAGGTTGTAGGGAAAGAAATGAATGAATGACTGCCCAGCGACAACGGCCCGGTTTGATTAGACTACTACATACCTACCCAAATTGTCATCCCTTTCCTGACCTCGCTAGTATATAGATCGAAGGCTTCCGCCCTTGCCCTTCCGGTTTCCCTCCATCATAACTATCGTGGATTTTCTTTCATTTCTTTTCGTTTGATCTCCAGATTCTTCAAACGGCTTTTTTCTGACTCTACCTACCTATCCCTATCCTCAGTCTCATTGCTGTTAGATCATCATTACATACATACTCTGGCCAGACTGTGGTACACATACTGTGGTACCACCTTAATCAGAGACAGCAGCACTTCGTTTTCGTATCCCCTCTGTTCTCTGTGAGCATTGTGACGGAACCGCACTCGTACCCGTTACGAGACCGAAATACACCGTCTGTGTCTTGATACGGTATAGGTACGTTGAAACGGCCGTACCCACTCCAGCAGCTTCTTTCATTCTTCCATTCTTTTCCAATAATTATTATTATTGAAACATTTCTTCGAATTTCGAGCCTTCCAAAAATCCTTCTTCTGCCCCAAGACCATCTTCTCTTGTCCGACCTGTTTTCATTCTTTCCCCTTTTCTTCATCCTCGACGTGGACGTTCGTCAAAAATCACACCATAATTCCACCTCCCAACCCTCAATCGCCATCCATCTTCCTCTACCTTATTCATCACCGGAACACGGAATCTGCCCGCAACCTCCGTCTCTCCTCTACACTTCTCACCCACGCAAATCCCCAGTCGCATGATCATCGTTCTCTGACATACATCAATCCTGGCGGCTGTCGCTGCAGGTCCTGGACTACATCCCACGTAACCGTGCATCGATCGCTGCGGAACAGCGAGACAATTGAACCCGCACTAAGTCGGTCAATCGCGAATCCACGCCCTCGCCGATTGTCCATCACCGCTACCTTTCCCCCTTTGGACCACCTGCATCGATTCAGACTGCTCGCTGGCTAGCTGTCCTGCAACCGCAGCTTGCATCTTCGTCGCCCATTGCTCCCTTCGCCCACTTTTCTGACTCTTCCGCCAACCGCCGCAACCCCCGATTGCTCCCTTGACTCAATCAGGAAGTGGAGAGAGGCGCCGCTGACAGCGAAGCACTTGCGCCGCAGCCTTCAGCAGCCCATTCGCCGTGATCGCTTGCATGCTTTCTTGGTAATTTTCCTCTTTCCTGGCGAAATTTCCACTAGCCGTTTCGACCTCTGCCTGAGCAGAACCTCAATCCATCACCGGCTTACTCTCCCAATTGGTCCGCCTCCGCACCTGTCCTTCTCCCTGCAGAAAAAGAAGGCAGCTTTCCCCGCGGGTTAGGCGATCAACGACCTCAAGGAGGGGTCGTCTAGGATACCGAGGGTGAACAATCGTCCGACAAGGCGCACGTCAGAGTCCGAAGGGCGCGAGAGGAGTGATCATCAGCTCCTCAAAACCGGACCCAACTGGGGCAGCCAGGTCATTCCCCATTCCGTTTGATAACGTGAAGCGACGAGACGAGCTCCAGTTATCTTCCCGCGGCAGCCTCGTTACACTGCGCCCGTGTCCTTCGCAATTGTTATCAGGGATCGGGATATTCCTTTTGATTTTAATTTTCGTTCGCCTATCCTCTTCGAGAGTGCTCTCCGGCAGGGTCCTCCGCACTGCGTCACAGGCAGGCCAAGATGCAGATATCAAAAACTGAGCTCTCCCGCTAAGGACGTGGCTTTTGCATTGCTCAGCCAGACGCGTTCCCTACTTGGGCTCGTATTGCACCCTGGCCATTGGCTCTCCCCATTCCCAGAACCAACACGGCTGCTTGTCCCCTGCTGTAGTGCTCATTCGCCCTCTCGAGAGTCCAGGTGACTCAGGCATTGGCGCGGTTCACAACAGGTTGACAGTCTCACGTTTTGCGGCCGACCAGTACGGCTGGTAGGTAGACTCTGACTATGGCCTACGCCGCTACTTCTTCGTCTTCGACCATGAACGGCGATACTCCCCCCAATTTAAAACTCACCACCTCCCTCCCCAAACCCCCAAAATTACATCATGTCATCACCTCTGTTCCTCCCGCTCCGAATCCCTCCTCCGCTCCTCCTTACCCATCTTCCATCTCCAAGACTCCGAATTCTCTAAAACCGATCCGCAACTCTTCGAATGCTTCCAGTCCCTCTGGGACTCCTTTGCACGCTGCTACCGACAGTTTCAGAGGACGTGTACCTCCATTTCCTCCTCTCCCTTCCGCCCCGTTCGACCTCGGAGAGTCGATCATGGCTGTCCCCGGATACGCCAATGCCTCGGGCTCGGGTGACTCCCTTGCGAATCCGAGCAAAGCCCCCGGTCTGATGCGTCGAATCTCTCGGGGCGCCGCCAACAAACTCACCCGACGCCGGCAGTCCACCTCCCACAACGACAAGCGCGACCGCAGCTCTGGACCTGTCATCATGCGCCGCCGCAGTGATAGCAAAACGGGTGCCGCAAATAGCCGTGAAAACGCTCTGGAATCCAGCAATGAGGAAGACAGCAACGACACGCTTGATTCTCTCGGTGCTTGGTACGGCGGGGAGTCTTCTAGCCTGCCCAGCGACAATTTCATGGCCGCCCATCGCAATTCAGGGGCTGTGGCACCCAAGGTCGATTCGGCGATCCAGCGTGGCACTGTCCTGACCAAGGTCACCCGGAAACGACGAAAGCAAGTGCGCTTCTTCCTGGATCTCGATGCGGGCAAAGTATACTGGGACGTTTCCAACCCGTCCAAGCGCTTCTACATTGACGACATCAAAGAGATCCGCGTTGGTGCAGATGCGCGCAACTACCGGGAGGAGCATCAGGTCCCGCAAGATGCAGAGAGTCGATGGTTCACAATTGTCATCGCTGACGCTGAACGATCCAAGGGTCGTGCTGTCAAGACGCTCCATCTGATCGCCCCGAATGACCGCATTCTCGACCTTTGGACGACCACTCTTGAGCATATCTCGCGATATCGGATTGGCTTGATGGCTGGGCTGGCTGGTTCTGGCCAAAGCGAAGCGGTTCTTAAGGCCCACTGGCAGCGCGAGATGTCCCGGCTTTATCCCCAGGGGCTGAAGCCTGGTGAAGAAGGGACCCTTGACTTTGAGGCAGTGGAGAGTGTTTGTCGGAATCTGCATATCAATTGCTCCAAAAATATGCTTCGCGCACAGTTCTCCAAAGCCGACTCTAGCAGAACCGGTAGCCTGAGCTTTGCTGAGTTTCGGGATTTCGTCGCGCGGTTGAAAGAGCGGAAGGATGTCAAGGACATACTCAAGCATCATGCCAAGGATGCCAAGGAGGGCCTCACTCTCGATGAATTCCTGGTTTTTCTTCGCGACGTTCAACATGAAGATGTGGATGCTGACCGGACCTACTGGATTTCCATCTTCGATAAGCTCGTCCGAAAATCCCGCTCCAGTGCGCAGAGTACCCCTGTATCAGGAGAAGAACCCGCCCCTCGAATGGGCCTGGAAGCATTTACATCCTTTTTGGCCTCGTCCTGGAACGGGGTTCATGCTTCCCGCCCCCCTCAGTCGCGATTTGATCGCCCGTTGAACGAATACTTCATCTCGAGTTCGCACAACACCTACCTCCTGGGCCGTCAGGTGGCTGGTGCGTCCAGTACCGAAGCGTACATTAGCGCATTGTCACAGGGCTGTCGCTGTGTGGAAATCGATTGCTGGGATGGCGCCGATGGTCGGCCGATTGTCTCTCATGGAAGAACTTTAACCACCAGCGTCTTGTTCGCTGACTGCATTACGGTGATCAACCGATACGCTTTTATCACCACGGACTTCCCACTTATCCTGTCGCTGGAAGTCCATTGCAACCCCGAACAGCAGCTGGCGATGGTGAAGATCATGAAGGACACCTTCAAAGAGCAACTCGTGCTGGAGCCGTTGATGAACAACAGTTTTGTCCTTCCGTCGCCGGAGGAGCTGAAAGGCCGCATTCTCGTGAAAGTCAAAACTTGCGATGAGACCCAGGGAGACATGCGTCAGGAGTCCGGAAGCTCTGTGGGCAGTGCTGGACGGAAACGCAGCTCGAGTTCACCTTTCATTCGCCCAGCTGTGCCTGAAAACCCCGTTATTATGACTCTGCCGCCTCTGTCCAGTCCCCCGACTATTGGCCCCGATAGCTCCGGCTCATTTGTCACTCAAGATAGACGATCATTTACCACCACCAGCGTCAGCAGCGCCACGGAGGACAGCGATGGTGCAATGGCGTCCGTGAAGCGCGAAAGAAAAGGACGCCAGAAAAGCAAAATCACGAAGCCTCTATCCGACTTGGGTGTGTACACCAAAGGATACAAATGGAGCAGCTTTCACTCGTCGGAAAGCCAGCGGTACAACCACGTGTACTCTTTCGCTGAAAGATCCTTCGAGAGTATCTCTCGTGATACGGAGAACAAGGCGCTCTTTGACAGGCATAACCGAAAGTATCTCACCCGCGTCTACCCGTCTGCCTTTCGTTTGCGCTCTTCCAACTTCGACCCTCTCAAGTTCTGGCGACGTGGTGTGCAGATGGCGGCGTTGAACTGGCAGACGTACGATATTGGGATGCAGTTGAATCAGGCCATGTTTGCTGCCGGAAGCGACCGCACAGGTTACGTTCTGAAGCCAGAATCGCTCCGTGCGCTAAGTCCTCTTGACGAGCAGAAGAAGAGCACCGAGAGGAATCTGGTTCGTTTTTCGGTTGATGTCATTTCGGCCCAGCAACTGCCTCGGCCGCGGAGTCTGGGACCCGAGGATAACATCAACCCCTACGTGGAGATCGAGATGTTCAGTGCAGACGATCGAGGCCAGAGTTTCGTTTTTGGCGAAGGGGGCATGAATGCCTCGGCTCGCAATGGGATGTCCGGAATCGGGTATCCTCATCGCCGACGTACCAAGATCGAACAGAGTAACGGGTATAGCCCCATCTTCAACGACCGCTTCAGGCTGTCGTTGGAGACCAAGTACCCTGACTTGGTGTTCGTGCGGTGGACCGTCTGGAGTTCCTTGGATGGCCGTAGCACCGGCAATAACAGCGGTGTTCAGCTCGCCACATACACAGCGAAACTCAGCAGTCTGTCCCAAGGCTACCGCTACCTACCGTTGTACGACGGTGGCGGCGATCAATATCTGTTCTCGACCTTGTTCTGCAGGATCAGCAAGGAAGATCCTGTGCCTGTGCAGCGGCTCGATGCGGAAGAGCTCCGCGCGGAACGCTTGGGAATCCTTCGTCAGATCGGACAGACTGTGTTCAAGCGCACCTCGTCCACCGAACGAGAGAGAGATCTCTTGACGGAAAGAGGCAGTGAGACGCCAACTAGCCCTGAGGACAGGGACACATCTCCTGCACTGACACCTACCGTGTCTACAGCATCAACCGCATCATTCCCGCCTTACTGAGGCCCCTCATCTTGGAAGCGCACATCCACCTTCCGTCCTCTACTTGTATTTAATCCCATCCCTCCTTTTGTTTTCTCTTATTTGTTTTCCTATTCAGTTTTACAGCCATGTGCAGATAAGGGAGCGGCGTTTTCTTCACCTTACTTGCATCCACCCTGGTGTATCGTTCATCTGACGACTTGTTTTCGGGAGCCCGTGGCTCGTTACAGTTCCCTCGGTCACTGGCGGACCCGAAGAGAATCACGATCATGCACTTGTTTGACTGTACCTGGTTTTGTTAAGGGACGATGCATGGTTGCGTCGACTGCGTCGGATCATCTACTGCTTGAGTTGATACTGAGTTCCCATCTGTTTTATCTGTTGTATTTGGCGATACCCTCTATTGTGTGCATTTGATGTTGCGTGTAATTGCATGGCTGAGCCCCTGTTCTATTACTTTCTTTGATTTTCTTTTCTTTTTGTCTTTTGCTGATTATATTGTTCTGTATCACGGTTTGGGATCGGGATGGTAGCATTCAGGGAGTCCAGATTCACCCAGGAAAGGTTGCATAATCGGACATCAACGGCGGAGGCAAGATGCATCTGAAGGTGGCATGCTCTGGACTTGCCACACTTCCTACTGACTTCACTTTGTTCTGTCCATTCGTCGCGGGTCTTGATGATCCCCCGAAGCGGCATGGACATGTCTGTCACTATATTTCTTATTGGTGTTTTAATATCAAAGACGCGCTGGGACGCTCGTTTGATTCCAGATGAACAGTTCTTCGTAATTTTTCTGTAGCAAGTCTAGACACTAACTTGGTAACAAATTGTTTTTGATTTATGCTATCTATCTATATGATGGAGGACCAAAGATAATTGAAATGACGAGATGTGAGGAGACTCGGGTAACCTGCGGTCGGCCCACTTGCCGCAGTGGAAAGGCAACGTGACGACTTCATGTCCGCCCATAGCTCCTCCGCCTTTCTATCTCGACCATTTCCCATCGTCAACCCCACACACTTCAATTGCTATCGCCATGGATCCATTTTCCGCAGAGGGTGGTACGTCTCCAGACCTCGACCCCGTCGAGCCGATTCGACCCTCACCGCACCATGTACCATGTGCTAACACTGACACGTTGCGCCCAACAGAACTCATCAACATCCACAATGCCTTCCATCAGGGCCAATACGACGCCGTCCTCGACTTCGACACATCAGCCCTCTCCCCGGAGAACCAACTCCCCGCCCGCGTTCTCAAGCTTCGCGCCAAGATCGCCCTCGGCCAGCCCGACCAGGTGCTGAGCGACGTGGCCGGCGACGACGAAACCCCCGACCTGGCAGCGGTGAAAGCGCTGGCGCAGCACACCGCCGGAGACCACGACGGCGCCCTGAAGCTCGCCCAGGACCTCGCGGAAAACTACCCGGAGAACGCCACCGTCGAGGTCCTCTGCGGCACGCTGTTGCAGGCCCAGGGCCACAGCGAGGAGGCGCTGGCGTTGCTGGCGAAGCACCAGGGCAACCTGGAGGCGTACGTAGCTGATCCCTGTGGTCTGGAGAGTTGGCTAACAGGGTGTGCAGGGTTGCGCTGATCGTCCAGATCCATCTCCAGCAGAACCGGGCCGATCTCGCGTTGAAGGAGGTGCAGGCCGCCAAGCGGTGGGCACAGGATTCTCTCCTGGTGAATATCGCCGAGTCGTGGGTGGGACTGAGACTTGTACGTGGTTTTCCGTGCCTGTTTTTTGGCTGGTGCGCGAGCTGACTGACGGTGTGCAGGGCGGAGAGAAATACCAGTCGGCGTTCTACGTGTACGAGGAACTCGCCTCGGCGCCCAGTACGTCTGCGCCGCTGTCTATCGTCGGCCAGGCGGTCGCGGAGATGCATCTCGGTCGGTTGCCCGAGGCCGAGGCGGCGCTGTCGGCCGCCCTGGAAAAGTACCCCGACGATGCGGAGTTGATTGCCAACAGCGTTGTGCTGAATGTGCTGGCCGGGAAGCCGACGGAGGAGCTGGAGGCGTATGTTCCCCCGCCTTGTTTTTATGTTGAGTGAACGATGTGTGCTAATTGACTGGAAACAGGCGCTTGGAGCAGGTTCAGCCGTCGCATGCTCTGCTGGCTGATCTCAAGGAAAAGAGTGACTTCTTCGATACCGCTGCTGCCAAGTACGCGCCGAAGGTGTCTTCGTGAGCGGTCATTTTGACGTGATTTTTGTTTGTTCATTTGTGTCTGATGAGTGATGCAACGGCGTAGCTATTGTATTATCCCAGGTATTTCTTACCAGCGATGGCTTTTATTTGCTGCAGATTAGGCTGCAATTCATGATAGAGACTCCATCGTAATACACTCCATGATTTAATTATGCCTTTCAATTTCCCTGCGTCCGTACATCCCTGCAGTACATCTTAACTACAGCATCTACAACCGCGGTCCCAACCATCTCTGCAGCTCCCGTCCCTGCTGCGTCTCCTTGCCCAGGATGCGACCACTATACACAGGCGCCACATGGGTCTCGCCATACCCCACGACATACGTCGTGTTAGGCACGACGGTCTGGAACTTCTTCGCAAAATCATCAATCGCCGAGAACAAGATCTCGTCTTCGCCCGCAAGAATCAACACATGCTCCGCCTTCGCGCCCTCCCACCACTCCAACGGCGCCGTATTCGGCTCGCTCCACGCATCGCTCGTCCCGCCCGCGAGGTACTCGCGCGACCAGTACACCAGCACCTCGGGCGGAATGACATCCTTGTACCGGTTCGCCTGCATGGACGCCCCGTCCGTCGCGAAGTTCACCCACGGCGCGAACGCCACCACGCCAGCCAGCGGCGCCGTGTCGGCGGCCAGCGGCTCGATCGCCGGGTGCGGATGCGTCAGGTGCAGCAGCGTCGCCAGCGCCAGGTTGCCGCCGGCCGAGTCGCCGGCGACGATCACGTCGCCCGGCGCGCGCCCCGTCTGCGTCAGGATGTGCCGCAGCGCCTCGACGGCTTGCCGCAGCTGCGTCGGGTACGCGGCGTGCGGCGTCAACGCGTACGACAGGAAGAACAGCGCCACGTCGTGCCCGTTCGCGTTCAGCGACTCGATCAGCCCGCTATAGAAGTCGAAGTGGCCGTCGCTGCCGCTGAGGGCGAAGCCGCCGCCTACCCAGGTGGGTTAGCTGACGCCCTCGGAACATGGTTAAGGGAGGGGACCCACCGTGGTAGTATACGATGACCTTTTTGGCGTTGGGGTTCCCGATCCAGTGCCCCTTTGCGCCGTGCGCGAGCGTCACGGTCTCCGGGTGCAGGCCCTTGTTCTTCGTGAAGAGCTCGTATGCTTGCTCGGTGGACGGGGAGAGGGCTCTGCGTCTGCGTTAGTGATTGTTTCGTGATGGACTGGTTGGTAGGTGGTTCGCACTGCAGCTGTCGCGAGCTCAGCCGCGTTACCAGCTTGCGGACGGCCGCGTTCGCGACGTGCAGCTTGTACTCTCTGCTGCCGGAGCTTCCGCGGAACACCCCCGTGAAGGCGCTGTAGAGGGCCGCGCCCATGGCGCTCAGTTGGCCCGGGTAGAGGTCGGCTCTCTCCCAGAAGGAGAGCGGTGGTTGTTCGTTTGAAGCCATCGCAGTGTAAATATCGATAGATGCTGATAAGTGCAAGGGCGTAGAATTGAAGAAGAGAGCTCGACGTGTGGGTATAGGACGGGATCCAGAGTGCTTCCCCGCATTTTGCATGATCGTCGTGCTTCCGTCGTCGTTAGCGCCGTAACCTCGGCTTTGCCCATCTACGGCATAGGGTAGAGGACGTCGGTGGATAGAGACGGGAAGACTCTTCAGAAACACTGACTTCATGTGCATCTTCCCTGGACTCCTTCACAAGAAGCGAGCATACATTGCCAATGGATCAACAAGAGCACTAGATTCGGCCCGACACGAACGTTTCTGCAGCCAGATCCTCATCATAATTCTTGCGATTGTTCAGAAAGTTGCATGCTCTGTAATACCAGGCCTTTTCCTCGTCGGAAGCGTGATAGAAGTTCTGATTTTCCAGTGTAGTGCCTCGACTCTCCGTTTTTGGTCGTATTGACGTGGAATCCGTGGTTGGTGTCCCAGTCGTAGCGCAGCTGGAATTTGACTCCACCATCCAGTTCGCCGTCCACGCCGACGACCCCTCATAGCCGGTGAATCTTGCATTCTGGGGATGGGAAAGGTGAGCCCTGTACCACGACGATCCTTAGGGAACTAACACTATACCTTCCACGAATAGGTGAACTTTCTCGACGCGTCAGGTCTTACCCAGGCAGCGGGCGCGCCCAGAGGGTTACGGACGTAGAAGTCTCCCATTTTCGTGCATATGAGTCACGAGGTTTCAAGGAAGGCTTCGGGAAGCTTGAGGGGAGGGGACATCAGACGCTCACTGTCCATATTTATATCCTCTATACGGGGCGAGTGACATCGCTGAACGATTGTCCTACTCGCGCGCTACCATCAAAGAACAGAGGTTGGAGGTATAAGGTGATGTGGACGGACCCTGTAAGCCTTTCACTTCAGCCGACGGTCGTCTGACACTTCCCATGATCGATTGCATCGGCCAATGTGTGAGGATTTGTTCGTAGTGGCGGAGCAGAATCATGGACGAGAATAAGCAAAACCAGGCTATGCGCCCTCATGAACTGGCAATCTTGGGTAGACTCACTTTCTGGACTCTTACCTTCCATTCCCCCAACGTCGAGAGCTGGAGACGTTCATCTTCAGAGATGATGCGGGAATGTCCAACAAAAGCCACCTGAGGACTACCTGGGCAGGTACCTTAGATTGGCCGGGCCAGACAGTCAATATCAAAATAGACGGCAGCATATCCGAGCCTGTTCTGCCTTACTAAGACATATAGAGGCTAGTCATGTTGGACGATGTTTGTCAGCTGGAAAATTTGCCCATATATTATCATTCTGTTTACAAGTGACCGTTCACCACATCCTCCTTTCCGGTCAGGTCGCAGAACGCCTTGTATGTCGTAAACTCGTTCTCATCATCGGCGCCCTCACGCGTGTTCTCGACGATGCACTCTGCGTTGGCACCGATGAAGAACACATATCCCTCCTTGACTTCCTCAGTCTTGTGCCCCACAGTGATCTTACCCTCGCCTCCCGTGCAGATCAAAATGCTGGGGCCAGCAAGTCCGTCAAAGGTAGCCTTGGCGCCCGTCCGCTTCAGCGCAGTCTTCACGACGGAGAACTCCTCGATGGGCGGATCGTAGAGAAGACAGGACGAGCCGCTGGAGTACGCCCGTGCATTCAGGACGGCGTACGGGTAGTCGGTGGGCTCCAACTTCTGCTCTTGGATAGGCGCGTAAGAATATGTCAACATATCCGTCAGGGTATCGACGTCCTTGAACTTGGGCGTGAATCCAGCCCGCACGACGTTGTCGGACGACGCCATGCACTCGATGATGTCTCCCGAAATATAGGCGTGGATATCGTCCGCCTTCAGGAACATGGCCTCGCCGGGGGCCAGCTTCACGAAATTGAGGAAGAAAAAGACGAACAAGCCGATGTCGTTGGGGAACTGTCCGTTGAGGCGTGTGACAAGGGCCGCCATCTCGGCCGGGTTGCTGGGGTTCGTCGCTGAGGTCTCGGCGCTCGTCGCAAAGGTCTCCGGGGCATCCTGTGCCAGCGCAACCAGGTCTTTCGTCGCTGCTTCGATCTGTTGGGGCGACGCCCGCATCAGCGACGTGAACACTGCGCGCAGAGCATCCTTGTTCTTTTTTGTGACGAAGGGGTCGTCGGAATCTTCAGAGCCTTTGACGGCGTTTTCAAACTCGCTGGCGGCATCAGAGCCGACCAATTGACGGAGGGGAGCGACAGCTTGGAGGAAATGGACAATCTCAGCCAGCGGACGGAAGCCGCACAGGCCTTCGAACGGTGTGATTGCGATGGTCATTTCGGGCTTGTGGTTGTCGTCTGCAGGTACATGTAATGTTAGAATCTGGTAACGCTATGGTGCAAACCATCGCTGTCGGTTCATCATTTTACTGACCAGGGTAGTTCCGAGGATCCCGCGCATGAAGTTTCTCCGCCAGCTTCTTGTTCGGGTGGGCTTGGATGCTGAGTGCCTTGCGGATGGAAAGCACCTTGAACAGGAAGGGAAGCTTTCCACCATACCGCTGAGTGACCTCAGTCGACATCAGCGCCTGGTTATCTTGGACCATGTCGAGGAGTGTGCGTTGGGTCTCGAGATCCTTGGAGGGGAGGGAGGGATGGGTGCCCATCCATAGCTGCGGGGGAGATCGGAGTCAGCGAAGTTGGGATCAATGAACTCGAGGAAGACGAACTTCGGCGTATGGTTTCTCGGCGTCAATGGAGAAGTCAGAGGCAGCGGTGATCGCGGCATACTTTGCGGCAGCGGACTCGTGGCCGACCTTGCCTGTGGAGGGGGAGGTCAGCCGATGTTGTAGAGGGTCGTAAGATCAATGGTAGAGGGGACATACCCCAGTCGTAGCTGTTGACGCCTACACAAGACGAGTGGATTAGAGAAGGATTGCGCGAGTAGAGCAGCGTGTGAACGGAACTTACCACACTGGAGGCGAAGCAGAGGGACCTGCATGACGATGCCGGTGGAGGGGTAGGGCAAGTGAAGGTCGCTGCTGCTTCCCTTTGTTGGGAGTCGCGTTTCAGGTCTCGTGTGGTTTTCCTTCCTGTCTTCCGACTCGGACACACACCACTCGTCAGCGTTTTTTCGTCAATTTCTCTCTTCCCAACGGAATCTTGCCAAAGAGGAGAAGTTGAAGTTGAACAAAAGCGATCAATTGACAGGACACACTATCCCCGATCGGGCTGTCCGCATCCGTCCCGTGACGAAGATGGAATCCGCCCATCACCGCCTGCCGTCTTGGTCGGCAAAGCGCTTACCGACGATCGATCAGGATGGCGCTTCGCCGGTCTCTCGTCCGCATATCCTCCGGCAGGGTGCCGCTCGTGGAACGCGCAGTGCCCAGAACAAGGAAATCGTCTCCGCCTTTGAGTGGGACGCTTTGAGAATCGAACGCGCCAGGGATCCGGCCGACCTCGTCGCTGCAACCTCCCCCGGAAGTAGTAATAATCTGGTTCTGCCTCCTTCCCACCGACTGGTTCAACGTGACGTTGCGGTTACCGCCCTTACTCCCTTGAGGATCATGTCACGAAATCGACCTAGGGGGCCTCCGGTCCCCAGAGACAATGGTCTGGCTGCCAACGAGGAGACCGACATGTGGAACAAGATTCTTCAGGACCTGCGCAAGGCCAAGGAGAAGAACGACAAACAGAAATCCCTCGCGGAGCAGATCTCCGCGCTGAACGAGAAGATCGGGCGAGAAGGTGGAAGTAAGTGTCGAATTTCGTTGTCGTTAGTTTCCTTCCGGTTTGTGTTCTTGTTTTCTCGTTCCTGGCGTAGGAAAAGAATATAGCCGTGCATTTTCGTTGTGCCTGGTTTACCTCCGGCAATGCGAGAGGTCGTCACGACAAGATGGTCAAGTTACGGGATCCATGTTTTCTCGGCCTCTCCCTTGCCGGTCCTTGTTGTGATAATTGTTACTGCGTTTTATCTGCTAGATACTAATCGAGCACAGGACCCACCCTCACGGAGCATAACCAGCTGGATAGCCTCTACCGGCAGATGCTCAAGCTCTGTGAAGATGAAAGAGCTATTTTGCAAGATGAGCCCAGTGATGTCATCAAGAATCTGGGGCTGTTGACGGCACTCCGGCAAGCGTCGGAGGCAGAGGCGCCGCAGAATCGCGCTGCGGCTCTCTCCAAGTCTCGTAAGAAACGAAATGACCTGGACGGGTCCGCCACAGAGTCCCCTGGCCCTTCTGGACCCTCTTTTTCGGATAAGGTCAGCCGCTCCAAGGGAGGGACTCAACGTAGTACGAGCGTGTCGAGCGCGCAGGCGCGCGATGGTCGGGATAGTCGGGACAGTGTCGTTGTGAAGGTTGAAGAGGGTACGGAAGGCACCAAGGGCACTATGGCCGAACGCAGTGGGCAGCTCGTGGTCGGAGCTGAGGTCGTGTTTAAGCACAACAAAAAACAAGGATTCGAAGGCGAGGGGATTCAATGCATCATCAAGAGCATCTCGGGGGACGGAAATAAGAGACGGTAAGCCTCTCAGCGTGTGGACCTTGCCCTGGCGCAACTTGTCTAACCAGCTATCTCCAGGTACGATGTGCAAGACCCTGAGCCGAATGAGAATGGTGAGCAAGGCGCGGTCTACAAGACGACAGCTGCCTCGTTAATCCCAATTCCCCAGGTGGGATCGGCCTTGCCATCCTTCCCCGTGGGGAAGCAGGTCCTGGCCCGGTACCCCGATACGACTACTTTCTACTGTGCCGAGGTAATGGGATCGAGAAAGGACGTCTATCGTCTGAAGTTCGAAGGGGAGGAAGACGACAAGGAGATGGAAGTTGATCGCCGATTTGTTCTGGATGTCTCGGGCAAATGACCTGGGATTGATTTGCTTGAAGCTCTACGATGATGATGATACCCTTGGCTACGACGAGATCATGATGATGTTTGATTCTGGATGTGGGAGTCTGGTTATTGTTTGGGATTGCTACCCCGTATGTTTGGATTATACTCCGTAGGAATATGAAAATGAAAATGATAGAAGATGCTAGATAATCATCCTGTCAGCGTGACTAAGGCGGGATGAGTCAGCCCCTCTCGGTTTTCCCCCGCGGCCCATCGAAGCAAAGCAAGAAGCGTAATTCCCGAGGGTCCGAGAACCTTACACATGTCACGGAATTATTAAACTACCTTCTACCTGTAACTATTGAATATCTTTCTTGTCTGTGCTACCTCCTCCCTCCCTTCGACCGCTACTCCTGTCTTCCTCCTTCATGCGTCTTCCTAATCCCCTGATATGAACTTCGTCCGTCGGTAATCTCCATCCTCGCCGCCTTATCACGCAATGTCGTCGAACCTGCCATCCCACGCTTCCCCGACCTTCGCACCGCAAGAACCCTCTCCTTCCACTCCGACTGTCGACGATGACCTCTCGCTCCATGACGCAAAGGACGCTCCTCCCTCTCTGAACCAGAGAATCCAGGATATCCGGTTCAATGCCGCAGACCAACCTGGGGGCTCAGAGAGCCCCAGTGGGAGCGCAACCCCCTCTGTCCCGCCATCGATCCTGTCCCCCTCCTTCACCCCTCCGCAGACCCCCGGGGGTTCGTTAAACCCTATCCAACTTTACCAACAAACGCAATCGACCGCCCATTCCAAGCCTCCCAAACTCCTCTCCTGTCTCCCCAAGGTGGAATGTATTGTTCGCGCACGCATTCCCACCACCAATGGCGCCGAGATGTTTCTCCACTTATACCACAACGACCTCGACAATAAAGAACACCTCGCGATCGTGTTCGGCAACACCATCCGAAGTCGCAGCTTGGACGCAGTGAGACCGGGGGAGACGGAGATGGACCGGATGATCCGTGGCGCCTATGTAGGCAAGCTTCACCCTGGTCGAGTCAGCAGCTGGTATGACGAGACAGGCGCTGCGGAAAGCGTCGGGGGCGCACAGAGCCGGGCCACCTCGTCTGCAGACGGACCCGTATCAGATACCCCGGACCTGGCGCGAAGCCATCCCAGCCAAGCGCCATTGGTGCGGATTCACTCGGAATGTTACACAGGCGAGACGGCGTGGTCGGCTCGTTGCGACTGTGGAGAGCAGCTGGATGAAGCCGCTCGATTGATGTCACTGCCCATGGAGACGCTTGCCGAGGTCGCCTCCCAGCAGAGTAGGACCGTCCCATCCAACGCCTCTGGGGGTGTTATCATTTACCTACGCCAAGAAGGTCGCGGCATCGGTCTGGGGGAGAAGTTGAAGGCTTATAATTTACAAGATCTCGGGTCCGACACGGTTGAGGCGAATCTGCTCTTGCGGCACCCCGCCGATGCCCGCAGCTACGGTCTCGCCACCGCGATGCTGGTGGATCTTGGTCTGGGGGTGGATGCCAATCCCCACGGCATCCGACTGCTCACCAACAATCCGGATAAGGTGCGCGCGGTGGAGGGACCCAATCGGGAGGTGGTAGTGAAGGAGCGGGTTGCGATGGTGCCGCTGGCGTGGAAGACGGGCGGAAAGATGGGCATTAAGAGTTCAGAGGTCGAGGGTTACTTGAGGACAAAGGTGAGGTCTCCCACAATCCATGGTGGCATTGCGTCTGTTCGGAATCCGCCGTATCGCCTGATGTCTTTTGTCTACGTGCCAAGGGCTAACGCGCTCCACAGATTTCCAAGATGGGCCACATGATACAGTAGTCTTGTTCGAGCATTATATATCTGCTTTGGCGCCTTCTCTCTCGCTACGTCTTGCATCTGATGTCTTTGGGTATTTATGGGATCTACGTTGTGACGCTTTTGAATGCTCCGATATACGACCGTCATTGTTTCGTTCTTCATCTCAGCCACCACACTTTCTTCATCTTCTTGGCTGCGACATAGTCCGGTTCATCTTCGTGCACATTTCTTGGTTTGGGATCTGTGATTTATTGGGTCGCCCAGAGTTTCCCTTGATTGTATAATTCTGTTGCCGGTCTTGATCGGGGCGTCCGGATCGCCTCGTGGAGGTTAAATCTCGATCGTTTGGCACGATAGTCCAATAGATGTGATTGCAGTAGTCTCCTGTTTTGTCTCCGTTAGGCTGTTAGGGTTCTTCATCTTGTGATAGAACATGACTCTCGCGAAGGACGAAGCAGGCGGAGCACATGAAGAACCCGGGGGTGGTGATAAACTTCGGCCGGGACTCCACTGGGTCCAGTCGGCGTCCGGCTGTGTCAGGCAGTCTCGGATCTGGCCATCTTCGATCCCTCGTTTTCTTCTTCGTCCCCCAACTTCACCCTTTTTCCCTGCGTTAAAAACTCAATGCCATCCCCGGTATCTACCTAACCACCTCAAGCCTTCTTCTTCCTGCTGTGTTGGATGGCCATTCTCGTGCGATAACGACCCGAGAGAGGCCATGGCCAGCCGCATGTCTCCTCGTAGCGATGTGGCGGCTTCCCCGGCCCTCGAGTCTTCCGCCTCCATGCCACGGCCGATCAGTTCGATGGAGCCCACTCCCCTCGCCCCGGAATATGTGAAATTGGAGGATTCCCCCACGCCGTCCGGGTATACCGATATTGCGACTCCGGATGCCCCCAGCACCGCGTCGGCGGGGCGCAAGCGCAAGTTGAACAGCACATCCGCTCGGGGCGTCGCCAACCTCACCCCCGAGCAATTGGCGAAGAAACGCGCCAACGACCGCCAGGCCCAGCGAGCCATCCGCGAGCGCACCAAGGCCCATATTGATTCCCTCGAGCAGCGCGTGCAGGAGCTGTCCTCCCAGAAGCCGTTCCTCGACCTGCAGGCCGCTCTGAAGCAAAACGAAGCCATCCAAGCGGAGAATCGCGAGATCCGTCAGGCGTTGAAGGCGGTCATGGATATCATTCAGCCCTTGGTCGGGAAGCCGTCGGAATCGTGCAACAGTAAGGCACCAGGACGCATACCAGTCGGAGGTCAGGTCGGAAAGCTAACGTCGAGCGGTGTCCCCAGCTGTCACTCCCAATGTAGCTGCGACAGCTCGCACCACGCCCAAGGTCCCTTCGCTTTCAGCAACCCCGAACTTCTTAGAGAACAGCCCCTACCCTCAAAAGGTCCCTCACTACGACAATACCTATACGGAGTCCATTCCGAGCGTCGGGACTCCCTCCTCCACCCATTCCGCGCCCGTGCTGGGCGGCACAACCTCCCTTCGGCGGGAAGGCTTGAGTTCGGGCACGTCGTTCCGAATTGCCTTCGACTATCAGCGACATAATCTCGCGCACGGGCTCGACTTCGGTTCTGATGAGCGGATGGGCTTCAACTTCCTCCTGGATGCTAGCCACCAGGTGCCCCGGGTTGACATCTTCCGTCACTCTTCGGACAACCTGCGGCCTGGCTTGAGTGCCCCATCGATGTACGGAGCTCCGTTCTCTCAGGGACCGGGGCCCGAGCCGCCAATGACCGCCTACGCGACCCCGATCCGAAATATTCCGCCAACATGCACGCTGGACGCCATCTTGCTGGACTTCCTCCACCACCGACAGCGGGAGGCCGCCCAGGGCGTGCCCAAGCAGAAGCTGGTGGGGCCGCCCTATCCGAGTGTGTCCTCCCTCCTCAATCCGGAGAAGAGCGTGTATTCGCATCCACTGTCGAAGGTCTTTACGGATATCCTGCGCACATTCCCGGATATCTCGTCGCTGCCGGAGCAGGTCGCCGTGCTGTATGCGATGTTCCTTCTCATGCGATGGCAGATTTATCCGACCCAGGAGAATTATGAGCGCTTGCCGGAGTGGCTCTCGCCGCGACCGTCACAGCTGCTGACGCCTCATCCAGCCTGGATGGACTACCTTCCGTGGCCGCGCATGCGCGATCGCGTCGTCATGTCGCATCAAGATTATTCCTTTGAGAACTGGTTTATCCCGTTTACCCGCACGCTGTCGGTCAACTGGCCCTATGAGGCGACCGACTGCCTCCTCTCGACGGGGGATGACAATGAGCTCATCATCAACCCCGTCTTTGAGCGGCATATAACGAATCTCAACAACTGGTCGCTGGGCCCGGCGTTTGCCGAGGCGTACCCGAACCTGGTTGATACGACCAAGATCCGAAATACCCGTTGATAATTGATCCGATTTCATATTTATATTTATGACGGGGGGCGTTTATGGCACTTGTTTTTTCTCGTCCGCCGCAGTTCTTCGGCCGTGTGTTGGCCAAATTGCACAAACGCCTCTGATGGCGCGGAGGTCGGCGGCTTGTTTTCGAGTCCGATTGATTCTTGTCTATGCTTGAATTCGTACTTGGAGAAATTTTGCATGAAATTGCATTTGGCGGTGTATAGTGATAGTAACGGGATAATCTGATAAAATCATACCAATTTGCATCTGCAAGCACGCATCCCGTCATCGTAGTGCTTTGGTATATGTCTAGTATTATATACAAATCCTACATAACCCCTCAAACAAATAAGGGGTGTCTCACTTTCCTCCCTGACGGCTCTTCTCGTTCCAGAATTCCAGCCCCGCTTTCTGGCGCAGGATCCCATACATGGAACTGCTATCCAGACACTCGCCGGCGTACTCCCGCGCGGCAGCCATGTTGTCGCGCGCGACCTGCAGCCCGGGCAATTCGACGTTGTGCTCCTTGGCCATCGCAAACGCATGGTCTGCGTCCTTGATCGCCAGCGACACGCCGAATCCAGGACGCGATCCCAACGGGGGGGCATAGACCCCGGAGGTCAGTCTGGACATGTTAGCGTCATGCTAAGAATGATCTCGGAACCAAGGGGGAATGCGCACCGTTTGGAGTATCCGCCAGCGACGGGGCCGAACGCCTCGCCGATGAGTTCCTCCATGGGGCCCGTTCCCAGGCCCGTCCGTTCGGCGAAGACCTGCGCTTCGCCGACGGCTTCCATCATGTTTGACGGTGACGATGTTTCTGTCCATGTCGACTTAGTGCCTCTCATACAGAATGTCGCCGAATACAACTAGAGAGCAAAAACATACCCTGCAATCTTCAACAGCGACGACTTGGTCGCATCCTCGCCGCAGTCAATCACCTTCCGCCCCATAACCCCCTGGATCAGCGGCTTGACCACGTCGGACGCCTTCTTGGGCCCGGCAATGGCAAAGACCAGCTTTCCGTCGACGGCGATGGGGTTCCCGCCAAAGACGGGGGCCGCCAGGAACGAAGCGTTTTGCGCCTGCAGCCGCGCGACGGTCAGCCCCACGGTGGTGGGGTGGACGGTCGAGCAATCCACGAAGATCTTGTCGTGCAGGGCGTGCCCGGAGGCGAGAGCGGCGTCGATGAGACTGGTGAGGACTTTGTCGTTGGAGACCTGCCGGCGTTTTTAATTCCGTAGATAACAGCACCGGGGGGGAAAGGGGGGTGGTACCATGGTGAAGATGATGCCGCACTGGCCGACGAGATTCTGGAAACTGGACTCGGGCGTCGCGCCGAGCTGTTTGAGCGCATCGCCGCGGGCCATGGTGCGGTTGGAGTAGATGAGGTTCTGCAGGGCGCTGCCGGACCGGCTGGCGAGGTGTTTTTGCAGGTTGGTGGCCATGGCCAGGCCCATGGAGCCGAGGCCGTACTGTTCGCGTCAGTAGGATGATATTTCCTGAGATACTGGGGAGGCGTACCCATCCGATTCGAGACATGGTGAGGTGTTGTTCTGGGGTTGAAGAAGGATGAGTCGTCGGAAGGGTTCACGGTGTTTATACTGGTGGAGCGATAACGGGCGGGCCCGAAGTCGGACGGACCACGGCGAATTTCTATGGAGTAGGTCCTGAACTTCTGTCTATAGAATATCCTCGGAGCTTATATGGATGGAAGTGGTTTGGTTGTCTCCTGTATAGGTGAAGATCACCCGTGATTTGGTATATCCTTTTCACGACAATATATATTTAGAGATTGGCTGACATGGCGCATATGTCCATCGCCGATGACTGCATGGTTTCCTAATGAAAGGCCCCGGGGCATCCATAGCTGAGTAGAAATAAGGGCTAAGTCCTACATGAAAATATTCGTCAGGGCCGTCCTATCGAACCATCAAATTGAACATTCCATTGCCCTCTCGAACCGTGCAGGCCCACTGGGTGCCCTCGTACTCCTTTCTTGGTGACACTGTCACTTCATATCCTCCCTTCAGCGGCTGAATAACCGACGTGATGGCCATGGTGTTTATCTTAGGCACGTTCCACACACCACCCATAGGCGTTAGGTCGTACAGCAGGACTGTCGTAGCGGCCTTTGCTAGAATCTCAGCGCTGGCAAAGTGGCGCCCTGGGCACAAAATGGGCGACGCACCAAACATCATGAACCCACATACTCGACGGGCGTCTTCATTTGTCGTTAGAAAGCGTCTGGGAGTCCGGCCTACCGACGCATCGGGCATACTGGCTACACTGCCGGCCCAGAGAGAGTATTGACCTGTCAGAAGGAAGTCATCTGGAACAAAGCGTGACGGAGAAGTCCATGTCCGTGTACGCAATGTTTTCTGAAAGACCGAGAGAAGGAGGGGACAATCGTCATGCAGGGTAGAGATATGCAGAATCCGAACGTTGTCAGAGGTGTAGAGTGCTTTCTGCGCAACTTCCTGGCGGACTTCTTCCAGTAGTTCTGGGCGGGAGTAGAGCCCAAACAGGACCCAGAAATTCGCCGGAACCGTGTTGGAAAGCAGGCCAACAGTCATTGATACTTCAGAGCGCGCAATATTTTCAATCGGCAGGCCACCGTTGCGCAGCGTCTTCCAACGGACAAATGCCAGCTCAGAACTCTCCTCCTGTCCGCCGATCTCGTAGTATTTCACTAATGCTGCAACGACCTTTTCATGCGCTTGCCATGCCTTGCATGCTATGAGCTACGACAGGAACTTCATCGCTAAAGGCTTAAGGGCTGACTCAAACGTCCTGTCGACTGTTAGGAGGCTCGTTGAGGTCAGGCTTCTGTTGCCGGTTCAGGACATATCCGAGAGCTGATACCACGCCAAACACAGTCAGCGCATATATGTTTGGCATGGCGAGATGGGCGAGCCTGTCTTCGAAGAGCATTTGAAATTTCATAGGGAGATGTGGCATCGGGGAGGATGAAAAGGAGGAGTCCGCATCACTGCGACCTCTGCTCTTGCAAAAGCACACCCAGAAGGTAGAGTGATGATCAATAGACCCAATTCCAATGTACTGAGATGCTGTGGGTCCGAATTGATTTTGCTGTTACAAGCAGTACTTGGACCATATGGTCACCTATAGAAGTGGGTATGACCGTTGGCAAAATGCAACAGCAGCAGTTAAATATAGTGTCGAAGCAAATCCTATTTGTCTCCCGTATCCACTATCCACTTTCCTCAATCAAAAGGCCGTGATGTACTCACGACGTGCATGGTACTGCCATCACCGACAGAAACCAAACGGCAGGGGTGGTAGATGGGTCCATAGCTTAGGTATACCAACTAACGTACAGCCATCGCACAGCGAGGTACCAGATGAATGACTATGAAGTACGACTGGATTATGTAGGGAGAAAGAATGTGATTTGGGGTTTTGAACGGTTGAACTAGGGAAGTTGCGCTTGTTCAAGAATGTACATCAAAGCCCTTCGATATTACGACTAGAAACGTCACCACTGCAAGGAGCTGGATGAAGTCTGTTCTTGACGTTCAGCAATGCCGGTAGTAGAGCCTTGGACTGTCCTGAACGGTGCCCACAAACCTCCCAAGGTCAACAGCCTACGCTAGGTCCTGCCAAGAAATGGTTGACACCCGATGCCTAGCATTGCCATCGCTGCGCTCTCCTTACCTGGGTGGACCCAAGACTCAGGCTGAACAAGGGATTTCCAATCCGGCGAAATATCCCGCCAAATGCCACAGGCAGTAGTCCGCGGGCATGAAGTGTGACAGGCATTCCTAGGCTTGGTATGCTTACCGTTAGCATATTCTGCGGCATGTTCATGAAATTGGCCAGCTAGGTATTCCTGGTTCTCTCACATAGCCCGGCCCAAGAGTCTCTCCGAATACTCATCATAGATTGCTCAATTGTGAGCTTGACTTTGGGTCTTTCTTCCCTCAAGACATGAAATGTCGGCTCGGCTGAGACTGCTGCGCGAGAATACCACATAATCGGGGGCCACAACCTACAGTCAATAGATTTTGGGCATTCTATAGCGAGAACATCTAACGAAGGCATCTGCCGCTTCAAGGCAAGGAGGTCGCATTGCCGTCGATTGTGGCAGGAAGAAATATTAATTATACAGTCATAGAAATACCCAGAGCTCCTCCCGTCTAACGACTCTCTCCTCTTCACTTCACCCTTCGGTTCGTCGCGCACTATCAACCCACGAAGTCAACTTCCCCAGCAAAGAGTTAACAAGCCCATCCTGGGTCTTGGGAGGCTGGTTGTTGTTTTTACCTTCACCCCCATCCGGGCTCGGCCTGGCACCAGGAACGTCGGTGACGACATTAACATTGGTCCCTGCTCCATTGTTGCTCGCGCCGCCGTTCTGGCCCGAGCTGGTTGACGCCGCGGCGTTGTCGGACGCGCCGGCCGCTCCACTGCCTTGGTTGGAGGTGACAGGGCCGACGCCGACCGCGACTCCACGGGCATGGGCTTGCGCCTCGGCGAGGCTGGAGGACCCCGGATCACCGACGGTGTTTCCGCCAGAGGATGCTTCCGCCATTGCGTTCGCGTTGGCGTCGGCGTGTCCATCTGCTTTTGCTCCACTGCTGGCTGACCCTGATCCAGGGCTGTTTGAGGAGGTGCCTGCAGAGGAACCGCCAGTAGAGGCACCAATAGAGGCAATACCAATAGAGTCACCAGTAGAACCACCAGTAGAACCACCAGTAGAACCACCAGTAGAACCACCAGTAGAACCACCAGTAGAGCCACCACCGGTAGATCCACCACCAGAGCCACCACCAGAGCCACCACCAGAGCCACCACCAGAGCCACCACCAGGGCCACCGGCACCAGAGGTACCACCGGTAGAGAGATCAGTGGAAACACCACCAGGGCCACCACCGGTAGGGCCAGCACCAGGGCCACCAGCTCCAGGGCCACCAGCTCCAGGGCCACCAGCTCCAGGGCCACCAGCTCCAGGGCCACCAGCTCCAGGGCCACCAGCTCCAGGGCCACCAGCTCCAGGGCCACCAGCTCCAGGGCCACCAGCTCCAGGGCCACCAGCTCCAGGGCCACCAGCTCCAGGGCCACCAGCTCCAGAGCCACCACCACCAGAGCCACCACCACCAGAGCCACCACCACCAGAGCCACCAGTAGAGAGATCAGTGGAGACACCAGGAGGGTCACCACCAGCGGAGGAACCAGTAGCACCACCAGTAGAAGAACCAGTAGAGAATCCAGTGGAGACACCAGGAGGGTCACCGCCAGCAGAGGTACTAGCACCACCACCAGTAGAGCCGCCGGATTTGGAGCCGCCCAGGAAGCCACTGGAACTAGTGCCTCCAGCACTAGCCGCACTACTAGTTCCTAGGTGGGTGCCGGGATCAGCACCACCGCTACCACCGCCGGATGAAGAACGACCGCTGTCGATATCGGGTGGCTGGCCGCTGATAACAGTGACGCCCGATCCGATGGTGCCCACGCCCGACGAACCGGTAGCGGAGGTACCGGCCCCAGGATCCCCCTCACCTCTGGTTCTGCAGCTCTCGCCGCAGTTGGCGTCGCCAGCCTCCCGTATTTCTAGGCTGCGGGCGGCATGGGCCGCTCCAAAGTCAAGATTGTTCTGACGGGTGTTAGTTTCGATGAAACACATGATTATTAGGGGCAGGAAAGGGTGCGAAGAGCCGTACCAGCCCATTATCGGGGTTCACAATCGGGTGCGCCTGGACAGGTTGATTCACGATGGAAATGTTGATCCAGGAAATCAACGCTAAGAGACAGACTCCCGAAAAACGCACGGGAGCCATGGTCGAAGTTGATTTTGAGCCGGTGGAAAAGCCGTCTTGAGCAGAGAATTGCAGAGATGCACAGATTGATCTTTTGCTCAGGAGAGAAACCCCAGTGGCGGAGCGACCGATCTCATCAACCCTCTATATAGGTGAAGCGGGCGTTCGCCCAATCTGATGGACACAGTAGGTGACTTCCGGACGCAGCGACGATTAGGGCTAGCGTCGCAGTGTCCGTATCCCAACTTAATAATGGCGTTGCACGCATACCATTTCCAAAGAACGTACGTTTCACAAAGGACGACAGTCTTCCATCTTCTACAGCTATATGGCTGATACTGGCGACACAACCCGGTGGTCTAGACTGGATCTCACAGGACAATGATGACGCGAAGATAGTATACCGTTGTATATTTCTCATTCTCTTTTGTCCCACGGCCATGGGCACAGCATGCAGGCCCTAAGCACGCCATAATCAAATGTAGATGTTAAAGCTACAATTTCAGGCACGATGCAACCGAATTGCATGTGGCGTAGCCTATTTTAGAAGCCTTGACAGGGCAGAGGTCAGATAGGTATAGGGTTATGTGGCTATTCGGCACAACGTGACAGATTGAAAGACAAGCTACACCGGCGCGGGCCGTTGAAGCTTACTGCTGGGTCATATTTTCCGATCCAATCACGTCTTGCGTTGCCCATTCCGGAGACCCCCCTGCCTGAACGCAAATCAAGGGTCTAGACTCTAGAATGCGCCTACATAGATACCACCCACCCGTTCTGAACATTCTCATAACGCAGGACAACTGCGGCACTGAGCTATGTAGGGTCAGACCCGAGGGATTGGTGACCAGTAATACTCCCAGCATGCTTTGCGGATATATCTCCCAATACATAGGAAGTGTCAAGACAACGGTTGATGACGAAACGGTACTTACGTCCTGTTGGGCTGCATTCTGCCGAGGGAGCAAGGGATTGAATGAGGTATGTGCCAAAAGATCCGGATTTGCAATCGCAGTTTTGAGGGCGCAAACAAATCCCAAGCGACACCGGACATCCAGGAGCAACTTGTGCCCCTAGCAGTTCAAGCATATATAGGGCCACATGCTGGTTGCCAATGGTACCTAGTTTGGATTTGGACAAGTGCCTGGGCCCAACCAAGTCTTCTTATTCCGAGATTGTACTCACCCAAGCAAAATCCTCCTCGAGGCCGCTGTCACGACGAAAGAGGGTCTTGCATGTAGCGCACTCGGCGCGGCTTCCGACATCGGAGACTTCCTTGAATATTTCAATACGACTCGCAGAGTTCATCCTGGCGTGCTACTACGGTACGCTTTGGTTGCATCTAACCAAAGGCCGGAAAGCGTTTTGGCTCCATGGACTACTCTCAGAAAGATTCTTCAAGGGATATGTCATGACCGCCCCGTGGCATGCCGCTCCAAGGCTGCTTTGGGGAAGGTATGGTACTTTACTAAAGTCCCGGCTGTGCCCACCACGAGAGGAGGGAGATCCGTGTCTCGAAACTTGTCTCGACGATGGAAGCTTAGAACCACTGGATGGTTTCTTCTACTGGGTGGAGCACAGGGTAGGTGCTGAGCTAACCTATTTTCTTGCCTATATCTTCTTGATTTACATCGAATCCGATAGCTTCATCAGCCATTGTCGTCATAGAGACATGGTTTGTGACCGCCACCACTGGCATTCAAGGTCTAATCCAAATTTCATGTGCTGTTGTAACGGCTCGATGTTTCGCAGGCTGTCTAACGACGTATAACTCGTAAATGTATATGGAACACTTACATCTTCAGCGGTTAAGTTGTATCCGCCCCCTACACCTCCTATCAGTAACTAAGCTCGGCTCCATCACTCACAGCTGATTTGCCTTTCACCCGATGAGCCCTTCAATCACCGCTGGTGTACATGACCCGGCATTCCTGTCCAATCTTTCTCAGTCACTCAGTCTTGCTTCGGAGTATAGCAGAGCGCATAGCAGGCACGATGGGCACCAGTGCGAAGACGGGAGATTTGCAATCACGGCCGCAGAGTACATTCTTTTTCACCATGCCCTGGGCCTGCAGCTCAGGGTAGATCCAGACGCAATCATTTTCGGACTCTTTTCGCAACAAGATCCGGACGGTTCTTGGGGCGTCGCTCCGCAACAACTAGGAGACGTCTCAGTCACTGTCGTGGCTTATTTAGCTCTCAAACTCCTAGGCGTCTCGGTGGAGAGCCAACCAATGCGCACGGAAATTATGCCCTAGCTGCTGGGGGCGTTGTAAAAGTCCGCGTCCTTGCCCATATACCTTGCCATGTTCGGCCTCTTCCCATGGGAGGCAATACCACCGCTACCTGCCGAAGTAATTCTGATGCCATCGACGTCAGCTGGGAAGGCATACCGAGGGCCATGCTGGGCACCCTTGACTATTCTCCTGTTCATTATCATCTGCCATCATCTCCCGACTTAACCCCTGCGGTCAGCTAAGTTGACGCCCGGCAGCTACTTTGGCGAACTATGGGATACACAGATGGATAAGTCAACATCGTCTGGTTGCGGGCGACCAGGACTTGGACCCACCGCTTGGGTATGCACCTTAGCACACACAGTCGTGCATAGCTTGAATGGCGTAGGGTTGCTCAACCCTATACGTCGGTATGCAATGCGAAGATGTCTGAACTCTATCCTCAAATTTCTAGACAATTCGGAGGGTTGCCGGAATAGCCCGTCGCCATTGCAGGGGCTACGTTTGCTCTCATCCTAGAAGCTTACGCGTTACATTCGGAGCCTATTTGCCGACAATTACAGGCACTGGAACGTGTCATACTATCTGACAAGTGAGGGAAAGAAGTCGGAATTGGACCTGCCGCTTTGCAAGACACGAGCCTGATGCTGGGGAGCTTCTGCGATGCAGGTATGCGAGCAGACACGCACCGGCTAAAGACATCTCTGGAGGGGCGGTGTGAGCAGCTTGCGGATCTGAGAAGCATCACAAACACTACCGAGACCTATTATGGCTACCTAGCCACATCGTACCTAGGCATAACCGGCACTGCAGCTGCTGCTGTGGCTTTGACCCGACAGGAGCCTCTATCCGTGCAATCTACCTCCATTTTCGATGCGTTGGAATGGCTCCTTACTAAGCAGAATGCTGACGGAGGATGGGGTGTATCTTCTGGCCAAAGCAGTGATTGGTTCCTCTTGGAGATTTATGTGCTTCGGTGACATGGAGGGTTTGCACGAACCGTCCTGTCTGGAAAATAGCGGCCACGTTCTGGAAGCGTTTGGCCTCTTCCTGACAGTGTGCAAGCAGCACAAGACACGAAGAAATAGCAAAGGCTCTCTTGACCGTCTTGCGCTAGCGTCTCAGAGAGCAATATTCTATTTAACCATGACGCAATAGCCGTCTGGTGCCTGGCCTGGACGTCGCGGCGGCAGGCTCCCATGGAGCAACATGGATCGACGGAAAACACAACGGCAAGCCAAATAATCTATTAGCCTGTTATCCGTTATACTCTCATTACTATCCCATGATGGCACTGGGTCGGTTCGCACATGTATGCAAAGGTCTTCTGTCGCAGCATACAGAGTAAGTATATATCCAGAATACCTACTATACTTGTCTTTTTGTTGTGCCAATGTAGAACTGTATCCGTTGCAGAGTCTCAATCACGGGAGTAAATCCAATGGATACATGAGTTTTGTTCAGCGCCTGTAAATCTCATATTTCCAGAGAAAAGCCCGAATCGCTAATGCGTCATATGCTATACAAGTAGTAACACAAGCCTAGCAACCAGATAACTACGTGGGTTCAACTTACGAAAGGCTTTCTGTCTGGTAAAATCTTGACTCCTTAATCCAGCCGCAGCCCTTCTTGGTAATCATAGGATCAAGAGTATCGATAGTAAAGCACTGGTCAGATGCAATGGAGAAAGAGCCTAAGAAAGTATGCAGATGGTCATCGATCTATATACCACGTGATGTCAGGTGACTCCCCGCCGTCGCTGCCTGAGGCCGGCCACGAGGTACCGCCCAAGGGACATACGTACTAGCATTCGGGAGTGCGTCAACTCTCCCTTCTCCATATTCCTCTCTCTCTCCAGCTCCTCCCTTCTCAACCGGCTGGCCGTCTCCCTCCTATGATCTCTTTGGTTTTGAACTCTTCAATTGACTAATACCTTTCTGACCTCACCCATATCTCACCACCATGGCGGACATGCCCATTGGTAAGCTCCGTGCCTGCCTAGCCGTTGCTACCCATACCTCCCGCTGACCACCATCGTCCTCTCTAGTGCTCGACGGAGGAACGGGTTTCCTCAAGGTCGGATATGCTGCGCAGGTACGTCTCGACATGCTGCCTATAATACCGTCCCCACGGTCATCATGCTGACCCCATTCCCGCGTCCGATAGAACTTCCCCGAGCACCAGTTCCCCTCAATAGTGGGGCGACCCATCCTGCGAACTGAAGAGCAGGCCGGCGATATCGTCGTCAAAGATATCATGTGCGGAGATGAAGCCGCTGCCGCCAGATCTATGCTGCAGATCAGCTATCCTGTATGTCGTCCCTGCTTTTTGCGACGACCGCTCTTCCCCGCCCCGATAGTCCCGACGTGTTTGTGTTAACCCGTGGCCGCTCGGTGTCAACAATCTAGATGGAAAATGGTATCGTCAAGAAGTGGGACGACATGCAGCACCTATGGAACTACACCTTCTACGAAAAGATGAAGATCGACCCCACGGGTCGCAAGATCCTGCTCACCGAGCCCCCCATGAACCCCCTGAAGAACCGCGAACAGATGTGTGAGGTCATGCTGGAAGGCTACAACTTTGGAGGCGTATACGTGGCGATCCAAGCTGTGCTGGCTCTCTACGCCCAGGGTACGTGCTGATTGGCGAGCACTTGTCAATACACATACTCATCTGCCGACTGATTAGGTCTCAGCAGCGGTGTGGTTGTCGACTCCGGTGACGGTGTTACCCACATCATCCCCGTCTACGAATCTACCGTTCTCAATCACCACATCCGCCGACTCGACGTCGCCGGTCGCGACGTCACCCGCAATCTGATTGCCCTGCTCCTTCGCCGCGGCTACGCCCTTAACCGTACCGCCGATTTCGAGACCGTGCGCCAGATCAAGGAGAAGCTGTGCTACGTCTCCTATGACCTGCAATTGGACAAGAAGCTTTCCGAGGACACGACCGTCCTGGTAGAATCCTACACCCTTCCCGATGGCCGCGTCATCCGCGTCGGTAGTGAACGTTTCGAGGCTCCTGAGTGTCTCTTCCAGCCGCATCTCGTGGACGTCGACCAACCCGGTATCGCTGAGATGCTGTTCAACACGATCCAGGGCGCCGACGTCGACGTTCGGTCGAGCTTGTACAAGGCTATCGTGCTCAGTGGAGGAAGCAGCATGTACCCCGGTCTGCCGTCGCGACTGGAGAAGGAGCTGAAGCAGCTGTGGCTGACGCGGGTACTCCAAGGGGACCCGGAGAGACTGAACGTATGTGGTGCATTTCCGCGATTCCGGAGACACTTGCTAACGCCAATGCAGAAATTCAAGGTGCGCATCGAGGATCCGCCCCGGAGACGGCACATGGTCTTCCTGGGTGGTGCTGTGCTCGCCAATCTGGTAAGTATTCCATTCCGTTGATCCATGTCATTAACACCCCCTGACTGTCTCTAGATTGCGGACAAGGAGGATATGTGGGTCACCAAGCAGGAGTGGGAAGAACAGGGAGCTCGTGCTCTGGCGAAGCTTGGCCCCCGGTAGTTCAATTCAATCTAGCGTCGCGAATTTTTGTTTGCTCCTCCTTTTTGCCTGCCTCCTGCTATCCCTTCACCCTCGAACGCTCCGTATCTCAACCTTGTTCAGCCAGCGCGGAGCTTCTTTCTTCCTGTGGATATACAAGCGCTGTCGCCCAACTTGAATTACGTCCTGTCATATAGCCCGGGATGAATGACCATTTGTCCCGTGTCTGTTCTTGTAGCTAGTATAGATAAAACAATGCAAGGACTGAATAAATAAATGATCGGTCGAGACACGTTCCGCAGAAAGCTAACGGAGATCTCGAAGGAATCAGTATTGCCAGCTTTTATAAGGAACATAGCACAATGAGTGAAGAAGTGTAACAAGATTTACATTGAAGGTAAATGGGTCTGTAGAATAAACAATCTATCTGCGCGAGATGATAATACCGCCTTCTATATACCAGGAGTTCAAATATGGCAACAGCGACCGCCTTTCGCGGTGGCAATATAGAAACAAGCTGAGATGACGAGATAGCAAGATAACCACGCCTAGTCCTCAGTATCGGAGGACTCGACCTGGTCGTTTTCGATGTTCTTCTTCTGCTCCTCGTTCATTTCCCGGTAGGTACTCCAACTGAGAAGGAAGAAGGCTAGCATGATGAGGATGCCGCCGATGATGGATGCGAGAGAGAGCGGCTGGCCGGTGCGAAGCCAGTCGACGATGGCGACCATGAAGATGGTTAGGAGGGCGGCTACCGATGACAGCACGGGCGATGTGAGGGAGATGAGCACGAGGAAAGAACCGGAGAAGGCTGTTGCACAGGGCGGAGAAACGTGGTTAGCGCATTGGGCTTTGCGGGGATTGTCGCAACAGGGAGCACGGAGATGGGGTTACGACGGTCGATCGTGGCACTTATAGATCGGAGGGAGTACTCACTAGCATTGGCAAGGACGGAGATCAGAAGCATCCAGGCGGCCTCGCCCGTCGGCCAGCGGAAGGTTTCCAGCCCCAGGATGTGGAGGATCGGAAGGGGAATCCAAAGCACAAATAGGGTGAAGCACCCGATCATGCTGGCGAAGGTGTTTGCAAAGATCGTGCTCCGGCCGGGACTGGTGCCTTCCGGAGGACAGGCGAATCGCTTATACAAAACCTCGTACAGACCATAGAGCACGCTACCAACGCCGATGATGATATTGCCTATCAGTCTATGCTCCGCCTCATCGTGACCCTTACCCACGGTGCCATCGGCGGTCTTCTTGCTCTCGTCTCGGTCTCCATATGCGACCACTAGGACACCGATGATTGCCACGATGACGGAAAAGACTTTGTCGAATCGTAATTTGTCTTTGAGGATGGGGATGGAAAAGGCGTAGGCAAAGAATGCCGAGCAATTGTAGATAGCGGTCAGGTCGCTCGCAGTCGTCAGGTTCACAGCGACATACCAGGAGCCACCGGCGATGGTGAGAGCTGTGGTAACGAAGGCGGTGGTCCTCAACATGTACCGGACCGGTGAGCGGTGGTGGTCATGCGAGGACGGGTGTAAGCTTTGAGACTCGACCATCTGCGCAGTCGTCTTAAGGAGAGACACATGGCGACGCCAGAATGCAGACCACGAGAGTTTCCGCTTTTGTAACCGCAAGATCAAAAGTTGAGCTGGCCAGAGTAGAGCCCAAGAACCATGTGTCATGTAGCTGTTCAAGTAAGAGCAAAATTAGCCATCACAGGCATGTATGAGGAGCTCGGCTTCTCATCGGCGGCAGAACTTACAGCATGCAGTACGGTTTGTCCCAGTGCAACTCATGCTGAATGTACACAGCCGTCTCGGTCTGCACCACGAAACTCGCCAAGCTCAACAGCAGGAATCCTGACGCAATCAAGTACTTCCGACGAGTCTGTTCCTCTGCGGCGTGTTCGGGGCTGCTGCTCCTGATAGTTGGGCGACGAGTATGGTGGTGCAGCATCGGCCTGCCTTCCACATCACCATGGTCGAAACTAGCGGTCGACAACCGTCCTCGGCGCTCATCTTTGAGCAGCGGCTGATTAGATCGGGCATCCACATGCCGGTGCATGGGAGAACGATATGACGCCATTTCCTCGTCTGAGTCGCGGTGGGAATCGAGAACCGGCTCGGGGTCCCTGGCCTCCTTAGGGCCGAACAGCTGCGAACTATCTGAAGCCACCTTGTCTTAATCCTCTGCACAGTATACCCCAAAGTTAGAGAGGAAGATAGAAAAGAACCTTCTCGTTACTCCTGGCAAGCGTATATATAGGGGCTCAATGTGGAAGATTGGGGCTGTAACGGGAGGTGAAATGACGCTGCGCGAGGAATTTCAAAAGGAATGGCGAATTTGGGAAGAGAGCGGTATCCATCCAGGGACTAGTCGACGGAACAAAGGTAGAGATCCAGGGTAGAGCTAGCTCCCCTGGAAAGATAGCAGGTGATGAGGTCTTGCGGAGAACATGTAAACCGTCAATGGATGACCTAGTGCCGAGGCCACGTTTGCAGCGTACGATCGTATGAGCGCCGTGAGAGGGATGAAGGGTTGGCGGAGGCGCAAGCGCGTGGAAGTGGTGTAGGGAGCGAGGGATTATATTTGACAACAAAGGAGATTAGGAGAAATATCGAACAAGCGGGCTTGCAGGGAACGGTGTAGTTGGAGAGAGTCAAGTATGCGGAGATGCTACACTAAGGATCCCGGAAACATGGATCATGTGATTTTCTAGCCTCAGGCCCCCAATGACCGCCCGACTTTAGCCGTTTCTGGATTAGACTGTGGCGGTGGCACGTGAGGCGCCAAGGATCCCCTGACTTTCTTCCGGTTCGGGACTAGGGCCATTCTATGCTGATTAAGACTGTCGATCTTTCCAAATATAACACACACCCCACCCAGCTTCATACAAAACGTGATAAGACACCTCTACGGATTAGGCTCTTTCTGCTTCACCACGATCAATGTGCAAATCGGAAATCCAACCGGTGATTTCCCTCTTCCTTGGTAGTCGCGATATATTCCATCCGCTGCTCTTCCGTCATCGCCTGCCACGTCCGGTCCCGCCGTCGGTTCCGCAGCATATAGTACGCTTTTGTGGCAACGTAGATGGCGATATTGGTGCACACGAGAGCCAGGAGAACTCGGTTTCCGTGGACATAGCGAGGTGCATCCGCTAGACGTTCGGGTGAGATCTGTCAGCCAGGTCTCTTGCGCAGGACATTTTGCGGGACTTTCGGGTCCCTTCTATAAGCTTACAATCTTGATAAATGTTGGAGGCAACAATCGCAGACAACTGCGTGCACATGTTGTACATAGCTGCTGCAATCGCCCGAGATCGCACACTATTGGAATTGCGCGAGACCCAGCCCGCCTGAAGAGCATGTGCTGGAACCACGTTAGCGTTGGTAACCCAGTAACCGAATGGAACCTACCGCTTGGGAATGCGAGAAGCATGGTCAGCACTGTCCAGGCAGTCCATTTTGTCGCCTGACTGAAGTCCACTATGTTCATGTAAAGAAGCATCGGTAGGAGCCAGAGTTGCGCTGCGGCACCCGTCCATGCAAGGGTCCCCAGTATCTCGCTGGTGTAGGTCAGGATGATGCGAGTCACAACTTGCATAGCCTGTGTAGTATTAGCCTGAGTCACCAAAGATTGGGTTGTATTCACTGCTTACGTTGTATGGGATGGCCAGCAGGACAGTCTTGTAGGGTTCGAACCCAAAATCGCGCATGAACAAGGTGAAGTATTGCGATACAGTCGCTACGACCGTCAGCACCGTACTGTTTTTTGGAAGTTGTAATACTCACTCCAAGGCATCAGAAACATGATTCCGATAGCGTACAGACACCACAAGTCATAGTCCTTGACACCCTGCCATACCAGCCTGGCGGTGAATGGCTGACGGTTATGCATCGTGCCCTTGCTTGGGTCTTCCCGGATTAACCGGTTGACCAAGATGATTTCCTCTCTGTTGTAATGGTCAGCATCTAGTCACACCCATGGCACGGGTATTACACCACATACCTCTCGGTGAACCACCCCTTTCTCCCCCGGGCCCAATGAGCCGTCTGAGTGACCGAAGGGGGTAGAACGAGAAAGGCGACAAGGCCAATTGCTAGAGTGAAGGCTCCCTAACACCATTTAGAAACAGCGTATCATCACGCATTTACCTCCTTACCTCAATCAAGAAGAGCCAGCGCCAGCCGGCCTTGCCGTCATAGCCGCGCATGTGTAGGACTCCGAATGCGAGGAAACCTGCCACGATGTCTGCGAGTGACATGCCTGAATACCAGAAGCCGAGGCGGAGGGAGAGCTCGTGATGTTTGTAGAAATTGGAAAGATACAGGATCATCTGGTCGGGTTAGTTGCATTCTCGGTATGGGCTTGCGGCGGTAGTGCCACTCACTGTTGGTGTAAAGCCCCCCGACAGGATGCCTATCAGAGCGCGACAGGCCAGAAAGGACCCTCTGCCCTGGAGCCAGAACTGACAGCATGCGACGACCGACCAACATGTCATTTGCAGCGGGATCCACCTATCTGCTCCCATGTACTTGCCGATACACTGTGCGGGAATCTCGCTGAGGAGATAACACAGCCTATACAACGTGTTTCCTAGGTTGTAGTCTGGCGTTATTTTGTCAGTGAATGAATTAATAGTCTCGTGCATTGTGAAACAACGTACCATCTCGAGATAAGCCAAGATCAGTCAGGAAATCGTCGGCATTCGCTTGCTCTAGCGGACAAGGACATTGGGTTAGAATCTAATCCGTCTACAATGTTACGGACTGTCTACGTACGGATGTTGGATCGATCAAGTTCTAATGCTATCATCATCACGCATGCCAGCACCATGATGCGCATATCAAGTTTCCGGATGACTTTCTGCGTGGCACTATTAGCACTGTTCTTTGCTTGCAAGCGAGACTTGGTGTCCCTACGAGCTCTTCCGCCCATGTCCAGCGTGCCGATGGGTCAAATCGGTGGATATTCTCCCAGTCAGCTCGAGGCCGGTACTCCTCAGCAAGCTCAGGGTCGTCAAACACAGACGGCTGCGTTGCAATAGCATTGGGGTTGTAGTCTTTGGTGCGCTGGAACCAGAAACGACGGTCGTCGGACGCACAGGTGAGCGGCGGGCTATCTGCTCGAGGGGTCTGTCTTTCCGTTTCAACCACGGTGGCTTTTTCTGTCGACAAGGCGGTTGATGAGGTGGAAGGCCCCGATGAGAGGCGATCCTTCTTTTGCGGACGAGCAATGACGAGCGACATCGTGGGACGGGGGGACCAGAGATCTCTGTGGAAAACTGGAGTAGCACGGTGTCATTGAGGTTCTACTACGGCTGGGAGGGTATTTATCCTATTTACTGGCCTTTGAAGGCGATGACTTTCGCTGGCTCCAGAGCCTCGATGATTCTATTGTGCAAGCCACCACAATAATCCTGTTGCTCCTGCACCGCATCACCCGACTACCTCGCCGCCCTAGCAAGGAGGTTATCACAGTGGCGTTTTGCCAGCGGTGGATGGTCTAGATAGATCCATGCAACAGCCCTAGCGGAAATGACCTCGGACTCGGCCGCTGGACACTGCAACACTGCGGCATCGTTTTTGGGAATTCACCAAAGCAAGTTATCCAAGTATGTAAATTCCAAGATAATGTGTGTTGCCCACACGTATGAGAGGCAATATCTCTCGGTCATTCATCAAGGTCACGTCCTTCGAGAGAAATTCGACGGTGCATGGAACAGTTCCATTGCAGAGTGTCCTACAGAATCTCCTCTGCATGCCTTCTGTTATCTGTCGGTTGCCGGCACATGTTCCACAACCTGTTTGTCCGGACATTCGCATTCTGGATCTTTCTTTTCTGTGTACGAGTCCTCTTCGGGTAGATATCTCATTCTTCATATGCAAGGGTGGTGCTAAATCGGGATTCCAGGTCTCACTGTACGCGAGGGGTCTGAGACTTCGGGGCCGAGGTGATCAGGAGCCTGTGGATGTGGCTACTGGGCCCGATTCTACAGGGTGGTAGAATTATCCGGTCAAGAGGAGCGCGATAAAATGTACCATATCGCTCGTGATAGCTTTAGAACGACTCCACACTATAGTGGAGGGGAAGGTGAACCCACGAATATGCAGATAGAACATAGTCATGTACATTCATCGAGCCATGGCGGAAAGATGTAATCAGTCTAGATATTCTAAGCCTTAGACTTAGGCTTAAACAGCGCCTCCTGAGTATCGTATGTGTACTTGAGATCAAGGTGCCAGTAGTTAGGGGCAGTGGGCTTGGCGACCAGCCAGGCTTGATCCAGCACATCGACAACCTCCTGCGGCAGAGGGCCCTTTTGAATATCCTTGAGGTTATTTTCGAGCTGTGCGAGGCTGCTCACACCGAGGATAATTCCATCACGACCGCCGTCTTCCATATTGAGGGCCGAGTGGTGGTGGACCCAGCGGAATGCAGTCTCCGGCATGGTCAATCCATGCTTGGCAACAACCGGCTCGATAAGCCGCAGGGCATCGAAGGTGGCGTCCTTGAAGTACCGATTGCGGTACATCTGCCCCATCGAGGACTGGTCGCTGTACCGGCCTTCGGCGGGGATATCCTGTGCCTTATATTTGCCGGAAAAAAGGCCTCCGGCTAGGGGGTTGTAGATGACAATGTCAATGCCGTAGCGCTTGCAGGCAGGGATGAGCTCAGTCTCGATGTTTCGAGCTGTCAGACATGTTAGTCTCCTCTCACATGGCTTCTCCTGTGCGTTGGCTTCCACTCACTGATAGCGTTGTACATGGCCTGGTAGATAGTGGGACGCACCCAGCCCCTCTCGTTGCAGAGAGTGACGATCTCTGCAACCTCAAACGCCGTGTAATTGCTGAGGCCCAGCTGAACGAACTTGCCTTCCTTGTGCAGCTCATTGACAGTCTCGAGTGTCTCTGCAAAAGGCACCGACCGGTCCGCCGCATGGAGATAGAAGATGTCCACCTGGTTGGTCCCGAGCTCCTTCAGCGAGAGCTCGAGATTTTGGCGCAGCACATCGGGCTTGTGCGCGCCCGGGTACTGCGGATACCACTTTGTTGCCAGGGTCAAACCCCGCTCTTTCCATTTGGCTTGCGCCGTGAACGCCTCTTGTTCTCCTCCGACGTAGATCCGCGCCGTATCGATCTCCTGGAAGCCCTGCTGTTGGAAGTAGTCCAGGCACTTGTTGAACTCATCAAGGGAGGTGATACGCGCGCCTTTAGACTCACTGGGCCCAAAGGTCATTAGGCCGAGGATAGCCCTGGGCAAGGGGTTCTGAGCGACTAGAGGCATGTTGGAGGTGTTCGAACGTTGAGGTCTGTTTGGAACGTGGGTGTATGCGGTGAAATGCGGACAATGACGGAATTGGGCTCTGAAGGGCTGGAAGCGGCAAAACGGTCAATTGACTCGGACTTAAAGAATGCAATACGAGGCGCCCACTTCGAATAAATATCAGAGAGTTCGACGGAGCTGATTTGAAATCGTCGACGCCGATGGCGGCTCCGATGGGGTCGTCAGTTGGGGATGGTGGGGTTGTTATTGGGTGCAGCCGGATAAGATAATGAATAATACGAGCGATGATGTGATCTCATCGATCCTCCCCGGACAGGAGACTCAGGCGTAGTCTGGATTGCTTCATATCTTCTATCAGCAGCGCTAGCAGAAGACCATGTCTGAATGCGACTTCATGAGTTTCGAGAAAGAATGAGGAGGTTGGAGGGCCGGTGAACGCACCAAGACGGAATGAAATCCTCTCATTATCTTCCCCGCGGAATACGAATACTCACCTCCCTACTCTGTACACCCCCCCCCCCCCCCCGGGCAACCTTTAATAAATTGATACGAGGGATTCAACATGGCGGCGTCGACCGATAAGCGGTTCTCAATCCTCGTGATCAACCCCAATACGTCGTCGCATATGACGGAGGGGCTCAAGCCCATTCTCCGCAGTCTCGAATCTGCAGATATCCAATTCGATTATTTCACCGCTCCTGCGAATGAGTCAGTCACCCTGCCGGATGGACGCATCATCCATGGCATACCAAGCATCAACTCCGGCGACGATTCGGCGCTCTCATCGTTGCACTGCTGGCCCTTTGTGGAGCCGCTAGTACCCCAGTACGATGGCTTTTTGGTGGCATGCTATTCGGCCCACCCCCTGGTGAACATGCTGAAACAGGGCATTGCGAAGATGGAAGAGTCCGCTGTTGCATCAGGAAACCCGTCAGCAGTGAAGGCGATGAGAAAATACGTGACGGGCATTTTCGAAGCCAGCGTTGTGACCTCGCTCTCTCTGATCAGCTCATTTCAGCTCACAAACGACCAAACTCTGCACAAGGCGCAAGTCCAAGACACCTTCGGCATTGTTTCGACTGGCAGTGTGTGGGAAGAGGAGCTCAGCAAAGCAGTCAGGGAGATGCTCATCAACTCCAGCGATGGCTGTGTCTCCACTAGCCGCTTCGCTGGGGTCGCAACTACGGGCCTGACAGCGGTCGAATTACATACCACGCCCCCTGAGGAGGTGAGAAGAAGGTTAATAGACGCCACTGAGAAGTTGATCAAAACCAGCCCCCGTCCGGTGAAGGCTATCTGCATGGGCTGTGCCGGTATGGCGGGCATGGAGGAAGCTGTCCGGGAAGGCTGCGTGAGAGCTTATGGTCCACAGCAAGGCAATCGGGTGAGTATCGTGGATGGCGTGGTTGCCGGGGCTGGGATGCTGGTTACAGCCTGCAAAGCGAGGTTTTGATGTCATGGTTGAGCATTCTTTGGCAGGCGCATCTTCATCTTGATCGTCGCCATTCAGATTGGGTGGACAACTTAGCCCTAAGATGAAGGAAGGTATTGCTTGGAAGGTCGACTGTGAGCGTGGAAAATATAAGAGAAAGATCCTATATATGAATCAACAATCATAATGTTTAAATGCAGACTGGGTCGGGCAGAGAGTGCACGACGGGTGTTTATACCTAAGGCGGCAACCAACGTAATCAAATGAGTCCCCGCAGGAACGCGCTCCTTCACGCGTAGCCATAGAACCTCCACTACTCCGGTGGTCACCTTCAAGATGCCCAGGTATTGCTTTTCCCCGGTCGATATTAATTCTGCCGCCTCCGATTCTAATGCGATTATAGAGAAATCATCACAATTCAAGCCGGCCAGTGCGGCAACAATGGTATGGCACCGGCGACACAATCCCATCCCACCCGCTTGCGAACGCCTCGAAATTGGCCTTGCAAGCTCCACCACATTCCTTCTCCCACGCGATAATGTACCTGGATAGCTGATATCGTCCCCCAGTTGGCGCACAATTCTGGCAACAGCTTTGTCTCGAACATGGCATCAGTCAAGATGGAAATCTGGAAGAGTTCGCCAACGAAGGCGGTGATCGCAAGGATGTGTTTTTCTACCAGGTACGACAGCATTGAGAGCGCCATTTCGACGGAGAAGCATGGGGGATTTACCTCACTCACCATTATACAGAGCGACGACACACGGTATATCCCTCGCGCGATCTTGTTGGACCTAGAACCCCGAGTACGATCTCCTTCACCGCACGATGCTACTCGACGGATCGCGATACTAATCCCTCTCCTAGGTCCTGAACAGCATTCAATCCGGACCGTACCGAAACATCTACAACCCCGAAAACTTCTTCATCGGACAGCAGGGCATTGGTGCGGGAAATAACTGGGGAGCGGGTTATGCGGCCGGAGAGGTGGTGCAAGAGGAGATTTTCGATATGATCGACCGAGAGGCAGATGGGAGTGACTCGCTGGAGGTATGGCTGTTCCACAAGCGAGAAGATGGGGGATTTGGGCCTATGCTGATTGTTTAGGGATTCATGTTTCTGCACTCCATTGCTGGAGGTACGGGCTCGGGCCTGGGCAGTTTCATCCTCGAACGCATGAACGATCGGTTCCCCAAGAAGTTGATCCAGACATACTCCGTCTTTCCGGATACGCAATCGGCAGATGTGGTTGTCAACCCCTACAACAGTTTACTGGCGATGAGACGACTGTCGCAGAACGCCGACTCTGTGGTATGTTTGACCAACACAGCTGTCGTTCAGGGTCTAATGTGAATCAGGTGGTATTGGATAACGCCGCGTTGTCTCGAATTGTTGCAGACCGACTCCATGTTCAGGAGCCTTCATTCCAACAGACCAACCAGCTTGTGAGTGCCAACGCCTACCAGTTTGCAAAGAGGTTGCTGACCCGACCAGGTCTCAACGGTCATGTCTGCTTCTACGACCACCCTTCGATACCCCGGATACATGCACAACGACCTCTGTGGCATTGTCGCCTCTCTCATCCCTACGCCCCGCAGCCACTTCCTCATCACCTCGTACACCCCGTTCACGGGCGACAACATCGACCAAGCCAAGACGGTGCGCAAGACGACAGTGCTAGATGTCATGCGTCGGTTGCTGCAGCCCAAGAATCGCATGGTCTCAATCAATCCCAGCAAATCCAGCTGCTACATCAGCATCCTCAATATAATCCAGGGTGAAGCGGATCCCACCGACGTGCACAAGTCGCTGCTTCGAATCCGTGAACGACGGCTGGCCTCGTTTATCCCATGGGGCCCGGCGAGTATCCAAGTTGCGCTGACGAAGAAGTCGCCCTATGTCCAGAACACGCACCGGGTCAGCGGGCTGATGTTGGCGAACCACACGTCCGTGGCGACACTATTCAAGCGGATCGTGCAGCAGTATGACCGTCTGCGAAAGCGCGGGGCATTCTTGGAACAGTATAAGAAGGAGAGTCCCTTTACCGATGGGCTGGGAGAGTTTGACGAGGCGCGGGCGGTGGTGATGGATTTGGTGGGTGAGTATGAAGCGGCGGAGAAGGAGACTTACCTCGATCCGGATGCCGGAAAGGAGAAGGAGTTGGGAGTGTAATGGTTGTCCCTTTTCTCTGTTTTTTCTTTCTTCTTTGGCATTCGCCTGGTCCTTCACGATGGTTTATTGGGTGTGGTATGTTCCCACTGGCAAGGCGTTTTCATTTTCATTTTCAATGTGATTGAGTGGGATTTCTGTTCTATAACCACGGCCTTGGCGCAGGTTGTTTCGGGTAAATGAAATCGAATGAAGATATGAATGTAGATAGACTGTCGATCCACTGGAATAGAACCGGTTCGTCCAAAGGAGTGGCAGTCCAGCGAGACGATCAAGGTACTCTGTACTCTGTATGTAGGTATGCACCTTAGGGACGACTTCGGTCGACGCACGCAGGAGCTGAGGGTTTCCACGGGAATTTCCTGCAGTCCCCACCCGACCATGAAAATTTCTTGCTTGGTTGCAGGGATGGATTGACCGGGAGTAGATTCCTAGGCCGACGAGAGTCTGGGATCTGTGCCCGGGAGGGTGTGAGTGAAGGGATCCAGGTCAGGTGTTGTTGAGCTGTCGGTGCACCCGCATGCTCCATCTGCAATGGGGGAATGATCGGCCCCCTCGACCGGGCCAGAGAATGAAGCTCTGATGGAGTCCGACTGGATTTCTGTTGGTCTTGGAGAAAGAGGCCTGTGTGGGAGGACAGTGGGATGTGCTGTGCTGGCATTATGCCCAAGGTGAGGCCTGGACAGTACCTAGTAGCTCGCTACTCCGTACATTGTCTGACAATCCCTTATCTGGTGAGAGGTCATAGCTCGGGGAGGTTCTGCTAACCAGTTGGGGGCTATTGAATTGATTATTGAATTTTTGATGATTTAATCACAGGTCATCGGAGGGAGCACTACTCCATATGGAGTAAAAGCCGACCTAGGGAGGTACTTGGGAGGTATGTTGCTGTTCGCCCATCAGCCGCCGAAATCACTCCCCCCATAGGTGACGTAGCAGTACCGACCTAGGTGGGTATGGCGCTACCAGGCATCCAGCACTCAACTCGTTTCATAGCCACTCCCAACAGAGACAGACATACTTACTTACCTGTATCTACCTACAGTAGGTATCCAGGTGAATTTTCGCTTTCCTCTGTAGGTCACGTACTCAGCCATGGAAGCATCACGTGAGCCTCGGTGGTGGCGCTGACCAGCGACACTTTGCAACGTTGGTCATCCACGGGGAAGTATCGGAGTACAAAAGATACCTGACGGAGTACCTACACCAGGCGAACGTCAAGTGAGGATACCCAGCGTGTCGGTACTGGTGAGGACCAATCATCTTGATAGGATCTTAGTATCTTTGATTCTTTGTAGTACTCCTTCAGACAGATTGAGTCTCCTACATTAAAGATATTCAGTAACTAGACTAGTACTACTTCCGTCCTGTCTAACTAATTAAAAGACTGATTAATGAAGTGGAAGCTTCTGGCTCCACCATGATTTGCCTCACTTTCGGCCAGCGTCTCGAAGCGGAGTGACTCAGCAGCCTCCATCCCCTTCTTCCTCTTCCGTCTGTATAAATTGACTTTTGCATCGATCGGTTTGCCTCTTTGTCTTTTCCCTTTACATTCATTAGTCCCTACTCCCTACTCCGATCACTACGACTTACTCCTCTGGTCCTCCTTTTCCTCCGTCCGTTCCGACCATCGTTTGTTCTCGCCCGAATCCCCTTCTTCCTCCCTACTACTAGTATATAACCATCGCCTCCCCCGGCTTATCGGCTTATCTCCTCCTCCCCCCTTCGCCTCCTCATCCATTCCAACTGTCCTCCTGATCGGCTCTCGTTCCACGTCACTCTCACCCATTCGGCTCCCCCGTCCGCCTTTTAAATCCTCTGCTCTCCTCTATCCTCCGCCTCCTTCCATCCTCTGACTGTCTCTTCTTCAACCTCACCACCATCGTCTCTACCTCCTTCTCTCTCGCTCTCCGTCCTTACAGCATCTGGCGTGACCTCGGCGCTTATCGCTCTTCCTCCGACTCCGGCCCCTAATCCGACCACCACCAATCTTGCCACCACCACCCAACATGGCCCCCCGCAAGCCTCGCTGCAACTTCAAGGATTGCAAGGAAGCCGCCCAACGCATTGTCGGCGACTGCAGCTTCTGCAACGGCCACTACTGCTCCAAACATCGCATGCTGGAAGCCCACTCCTGCACCGGTCTCGAAGACTGCAAGAAGGAGTCTCACGCCCGCAATGCCGATAAGCTGAACAGCGAACGCACCCAGGTCATCAAGGGTGTATAAACCTCCTCAGGGGCTCTCCTTCAACCCTCTATCTCTATTTTATTCTTCGTCGACCGATGTGTCGCTCAATTAGCACGGTGTTCTTGATTGTCCATCCTCGACGGTTGGACCGGTTTCCTTCTTCAGCAACTTCCGCATGGGCCATTTCCAAGGCTCCTGACAGTTTGGGTTGGGTGGGTTTTGATTATTTTTATTGCTTTTTTGGATATTCTTCTACAGCTGGTTTCATACGCGTGGCGTTGACACTGTGGGTGTGGGTTTTGGTACATCTTTCCTGCATGGGTTTATCGTGTCCCGACATAGACCACCAGAGGCTGGTCGACACCAGCCGATGCAACTATCTTTCCTCCTCGGTTTGGATAGATTGGCGGTTGGCTAGGGCCGATCTGTTCCATTGGCGTGTCACATAGCCAAGCGATCATAGGTACATACAGCATCATCTTTGACCTATCCTTTTCTGCCGTCGGTATCATCTTTCCGTAGAAGCCTGACTGCATGAGTCGCCAGCCGGCCACCCGCATACATCCAGCCACTGACGAGGCGGAACGTAGCCTTCTACCGTAGACCGATCAGGACGATGAAAAGGGGGTTGCGACACGGTTGGTAGGAGGTGAACGTTAATAGGAACTTGGCATTCAATACACGGCTCTGGGTGTACCCTATCCGCGAAACCGCAAACCATAAACGCCCTGCGCCATCGGCTTGCATCCAACATGACCCCAGGTTGACGCTAACCCGGTCCGATCTTCGGCCTAGACATTCATCAGCACAGTAAACCAAGGCTGAAAAGAAGGCGGCTTTGACGTACATGTCGTGGTGCTCACTCAACCGACTGAGATACTTGTTGAGCTCTTCCACCCGCTCCTTGTGCGTTTTGACCCCTTCGCGCTTCAGGCGTTCTTGCAGCTGCGATCGTTAGCCACCACCAATTAACAGAGCATACGTAGGGAAAACTGGTAGTAGTGTAGGGGAAAGGAAGGGGGGGAAAAGCATACCCTCTTCCGCCTCGCCTCTTCATGCTTCCTCTCCGCCTCGGTCTTCGCCGGGCCACCCTCGCCAGCAGGCGCTGGAGACCCCGACCCTTCTAGCTCGGTTCTGTCGTTTTTTTCGTCGGCCGCCGCAGGCGACACGGCCGACTCCTCACCGGGGGTGGAGGTCGAAGTAGCTGTCGTTGGCGGCGGCGCTTCGCCGTCCTTGTTCTTCTTCGATTTCTTCTTTTTCTTTTCTACTCGGCCATCGCTCACTTTTGAGCCTTTCAGCTTGAGCTTGCCGCCCCCGCCTACCGAGTATTCGTCGCCTGGAGCCATCTCTGAGGAGGTTGATCGTAGGCGTGGACGACTAGTCGGTCGTAGGATGTATTCCGCGCCAAGATGACGAGGTCTAGGAGAGAGGTCACGTGATTTGGGGTGGGAAGTATAGAGTGAGTTAAGGTGCCCAAGTCATACATGTACTGGTTCAGATGAGTTCAACTGAGGAAAGACTATTCTATTTTTACCTCGTTGGCTGTACTATGATAAGGAAGTTGAAAGGCTGAGCACATCACAACAGGCGACTAACTTCCCTGGCCAGTTCTGCAGTCTCTGGTCGGGTACATGAATATTTATCCATGTTTCTTCACACAACTCCGTTGTTTATACAAAGAATGTCCGCAAATATATGCTTCCTGTGAATATCGTTATAGACGAGCCGGCTTGTGCCTCTGCTATGAAATCACTCTTGTCAAAACGGCCCACGATATACAGAGGAACTCCCCATAACAATGCATTGTCAAAAATCACCTATACACTACACAGCTCTGGTATATACCTTAAAGAACGCAGATTTCACAGGTCGAGGTATAAATATCCCCTCATGGTCCCTGAAACAGCGCCAATCAATCATCAGCATCTCTCCAATCTTTATACCTCCAATCCCAACATGTAACCTAGTACTGAAGGCGGATTTGAGACCTGATAATGGATCTCCAAATTGCTTAGACCTGTAGATTAGACCTCTGCTCTTTACTAAACTACCAGGCAATACCTGGAACCTCCAGAATCGCCACCCAAACAGTCGGTTGAGGATTGACTGTCTAGACTGTCTCTGGCGGAAATCGGCTAGGATTATCCAGAGATGGATTGTGCTGCACGCTATCCAAGGTATTGATATCCCTCCTGCGAATATTGGCTTCTCTAGGCCTTATTCAATGAAGTCTACAAACGTCTTTACTGTGAATGGTACGGTATGTCATCCCTTGAAGTAAGCTGCATTCTATTATGATTATCGACACTGAGAGTGCTTCGTAGACAGACCGTATATCGATACATTTTACATTGGTATATATTCCATGCCCCATTTAACCTAACTCCATCATAACATCATTAGTCAAACGGAATCGGCCGTAATCCAGAGCCGCCAATGCGTTTCCGCATTTCTGCCCCGGCAGCCACCGTACTCGGCACCTTGATTCCACAACAGTCGCCAAAATGATCAGTCTCCCGGCCATGGGCATGGTCATGGCCGTGATCATGGTCGTCTGCATCGTCCACATCGCCCGTCATCTCTCCCATTTCCGGCACAGCCGGGAGCAGACTTCCAAACAGAAAATGCTGCATAATTGGCAGCTTCCCGAGCACCTCCTTGACGAACATCTTCTTCATGCCACTCTCGATCTTGCTCCAGCTCTTTGCCCCGGAGATATCATCCAGCATAGGGCTATGCCATCGCAGGCCCTTTACGGTCTTAACACTATCTACCCACCGTACCTGGTCGAGATAGATATATTTGTCGCCTTCCTCATCCAGCACAGCTGTGTTGTGGATCCCCAGCGGGGTGATATACGGATGGCCGACGAGCTGGGCAGCGCCGAACAAAAACGGCATGAAGTGATAGTCGTCCAGACCCCAGACTCCATGCGAGCCGGCTGGTTCCAGGTAATATGTGCTCTGCACCTGGCGCATCAGATGCATGTAACTGACGTAGACGCGGAAGACGACCATTCGGAAATCGGGCGTCGAGAAGACCCCCAACTGACGAAGGCACAGCAGCCACATCATGAAATTCAGCTCGTGGCCCGAGCCGTAGTCGAGTCGATCTCGCGAGCCCAGCGAGTGGACGAGGTAAGTTGAGATCTCGTCGATAGCGGCGGAGTCCTGGAGGCCAAGAATGTCACGGTGCCATGCGGCGCTCTGCGCGGCGACATCGTCAAAGAGATCGCGGAAAGCGGGGTTGCCGAATCTTGACCCGCCTTGGTCGATGGAGGGATGTTGATCGAGGAGGGAGCGGACCCGTTCTAGGACGGTGAGGATGTTGGCGATATGCGGAGGGGTGGGTCGACTCTCGAGGTCTGTGATCGCGTATCCACGGACGGAATCCGAGAGGCCGAAAATAAACGCGAGGATGAGATCGTACGTTGGCGAGGAAAGGAAGAGTTCATGATCATGTCTGGAGAGGATCCGACGCACTGGTCGTACATATTGGTGGGAGGAGAGGTTCGGGAGTTCAGGCAGAGGCGGGGTGACTGGAGCCGGTTCTCTGGAGGAGGCGGCGGTGCCGGGTTGGGATTTGCGGCGATTGGCGCGCAATTCGGAGAGCTTCTTGGACAGATCGACTTTTGCTTGTGGAGCCACCTGTGAGGCCATGATGAAGGAGAGTAGCCGAGGAGCTCAGCTGACAAGATTAGGATGGTTGGCAGATGATGGCTGCAGATGGACGGAGGGAAGAAAGGTGACGGAGGCAGATGACATAAGGCGGCTGACATCGGCGGGCAGAATATTGGCGGACCAGAGCCCACCGCCTACTGCAACAGGAAGACTACAATGGCCTCCGAAACAGGACTAGTAGCGATCCTCATGTGATCGGCAGCTGCACTACACCCGATACAGGCTAGCGGGGGAGTTCCCGGCCGCATCGCCGGCGCGTGATGTTCGCTGCTGGATGGTTCTGATCTCTTTCTGCTCGGCTCTCGCTTCCCCCGCTGCCGGCTGAAGCCCAATGCCTGGTCTACATAATAGTACTGCCTTCGCTATTGTGTATACGGTTTCTGGAGAAGCTTCTCGGGTCAACCGCCGTGGTCTATTGATTATTTCCCCTGTTTAAAGGCCGTTCTGCGTCATCGAACTTCGGCATTATCCAACCCCCACCCAGAAAGCTGGGGTATTCCGATCCATCCACTCACGCTCGCCCCCCCATACGGCATCTCCCCTGCGATATCACCGAGCACGCCATCATGGACCCTTCTGATTTGACCCCCCCGAACACCAAAACCGTTGAGAACCTGCCTCCCACCCATCGATCTTCATCTCCCCATTCGTCTCGGAAAGAACCCAGACGCATGTCGCCGTTCGCTGCACAGAATCGCTCCTTCGCGGCGCCTGACCCAGGCCAGCCACAGCCTGTCGACGAAGTGACTCCCATCGTGAGCAACTCGGACACCTCGCGGCGACGCTACAACTCCACAGACGGTCTGCAGAACGGGAATTCAGGGCCCGGAAATGGTCGCGTCAAGAGTCCTTCCGTGCAGCCGGGCTCCGATGCGCAGTCCAACACAGACGAGCATCGAGCTTCCTGGTACAGCCGACTGGCAGATCGATATGGTAGTCTAGAATTGGAGAACAAGGGCAGTGTGGCCCGGGATCACCTCGCGTTGGGTTAGTGTCTGCCTCTTCTCTGTAGTCCGCTCTTTGGCTGACCATTTCACCCCACGCAACAGAACGAACATTCTTAGCATGGCTGAGAACTTCCCTTGCGTTTGCCTCCTTAGGCATTGCTATCACCCAATTATTCCGTCTGTCATCATCCGGAAATAGCCACACCGCGGCAGTGTCCGACATCTCGGCCCAGGCCTTTCCACCTCTCCTTTCCTCCGGGTTCTATGACGCATCGAATGTCGAGGCGCAATACTCCTCAGCGCGACTGCGAAGCATTGGCAAGCCTCTCGGGACAACCTTCATTGGCGTGGCGATACTGATCCTGTTGATCGGGTTTCATCGCTACTTCGAAAGTCAGTACTGGATCATTCGCGGCAAATTCCCCGCCAGCCGGGGCAGCGTAGCACTGATCGCGTTGGTCGCTGCCGGTCTGATTATATCCTCATTAGTTGTTATTTTAGCGATCTCGCCGAGTGCAGTCGAACGGTGATTAATTCCGATATATGCAGTAAGGTGGAATCTGTCTGTATAGTAGTATGTTGGTGTAGGGCTATCGGCGCGTGATCCTCCACATTCGGCGACATTAGTATATATTATGTATAGGCTCTATTCGTTTAGGTACCTGAAAAAGTTGTCGACGTTCAGGAATCGGAAAGGTTCCAGCTTTCACCTTGCCTGAAAAGATGCAGGATGCTTCTTTAGCCGGTATATGGAGGTGAACTCGTCTTCGACGGCTTACTTGAATCGCAGGTTCTGTGAAGTCTAGTACGTGCGCTAAAGGCAGTCAAGGACCTCCCTGCAATAGCGAAGGCGTATTCTGCTTACTCGGGAGAAAGCTACCAGTGGGAACATGGTCAGATATATGGCTACAGTGACTTGTAGTAATCCTTCAGTGTACAAGTTCCCGGCTTCGTTGTTCACATACCATATCCAGCACTTTGCCGGATCAACTCACACGAGAAGATCTTGACCGAAGTTTTTACTACAACGTCAAAAATGACGACATGCAATAACGCACACAACACTTACGATGACCCAAAACCTACGTACATTCGCATGGTCTTTCCACTATGATCTACGGCACGGCCATACCAGACCGGGACCTAACGATCTCGGGCATCGGTGTGCCAAAGGATAAAGATTCCGGTCTGCGCTCCTCACAGACGCCGTTGGCACCGCGCATCATTCGGAGTTTAGCGAACGCCATGTGGGTAATCCGATAACATAGCCACGGACAGTACCATAGGAGACTTGCGTATGGGACCTGGATTCACACCAGTTGACGAATTCCCGCACATCTTGCATCTCCCATCATCAATATAAAACTCCATCGAAAACAGCGCATCGAACCGTGGATACCGATGACATATGCAGTAAAGCGCCGAGCGAGCTGACATCACGAACAAAAGAAAAGGATCGGCTTCGGCCGTTCCGCAAGGGGGACAAAATTGGGTACGCCGACAGACTACTCCGTCGTGACGTTCCTGATGGAAGAAACGAAAAACCTTTCGAGGCCGGGTGGATCGATCGATTTTCCAGCACGGTGCGTTCCATGGGACAGAGGGGTTTCTGGAACGGCAGAGAAGGATTCCCGTTGGGAACCATGGGTCGGCAATTGTGCCCTGGGGAGGGAAATCAGGTCCACAGAATGGAATGCGTACGGAGTATGTACTCCGTAGGTTGGGTGGTGGGTTGCCTTGTGGGACCTGCAAAGGGTGTCGTTTTTACCTCGTCTCTAGGTTATCCCAAGACCTTTTGGGTGTTCGGATGGTCGTTAGAGTTGGATAGTGGCGATGCGCGGTTTGCCATGGGTGACGGGCACGCCCTTGCATTGACCCAGGCCTATTGTATTGTAACTCTGCAAGGTGGTGGGTGGGTAGGAGTAACACGTAATAGAGGACGGGTGACTAATTGTAAGGAGGTATTTCTCCGATGCAATCGAACTAGAGAGAGTGTGTCGTCCCGCAACGGCGAGGTGCTGTAGGTACGTCAATGTAGAGACTTTGCAAAGAGGTATACCACACCAGAATCACCATGCGTCCCACACGGAACATGATTAGCAGAGCCTACGTGAGGGGCTATCTAAATATGATCAGACAGAGTAGGTGGCAATCAAGTACGGTGTCAATTACAGCGCTTGATAGTGATCTCCTCGATTATTGGTACTCCCTCAGGCTAAGGTACTCAGCCGGGTATAGAACCCTACCATGAAACTATGCACGGGTACTCTTCTCAATAGCCACTTCTAAATTCGGCGAGGGACATAGCCCTTCGGAAACAAAAAAAAACCTCTACGTGATACAAGTGAACAGTCTAGAGGGGATGGCTGAATCTCGCAGCTTATCGTACAGGACGTATCTGCCAGATCAAAGCATGTCCGACACAGTGAGGCTGCGGCTGATATCAGGAGTGGATCGAGCCAATAAAACCGGGATGCCCTGACTGTGGCTTCGGTAGAAAGAGCCTGAAGGGACAACCACATGGATCACCTCGGGGCTACTGGTGGGTGGAAGATAAGGCTGCTCCGGGCCGTTCATGGAGCAGACAGAATTGAGTTGGAAGGATGACTGGCGTCGACCAGCTGGCAGTCAATTAGGTTCGAGCTGATCCGACCATGCGAAAGTGTGGAAATCTACGAAAGTTTACAATAATAAAGAATGCAGCCGCTCGCCATGTGATCGCTGCATGGGGCCCATGTTTATGTACTCCAATGTACTCCAGAGTACGATGGCGGTACGGCGGTTTTAGTGGGAAACTCTGACGAAGACAAAGCCTGGAGAAGGTCAATAATGGCCTCAGCTGAAGTCGGTCCGTGCTACGTCCCCCAAACCCGAACGGCACGCCTGAGGCGGGTACTCCGTAGCAGAGGGATCAAGAGGGGTGGTGTGTTCGAGATAGATGATTAAGACATCCTCACTCGGGCAACCTCCTGCAAGAGAACCGTTCCTAAACTGGAACCGGCGGAGGATAAGAAGGGCGAGCCCATGCCATTCACAATCATTGTTCGACGTGGCGGGATGCAAGTTCGTCCGTGTTGCGTTAGAGCGTCAAAGGATTGATTGAAACACATGAGCAAGTCTGGGTTGGGCTTAGCGTGGGCAATGGCCGGGGGGCGAGTGGTGCCTCCAGCTGGTGTTTTGACAGGGGGGAAGTATCAGCACAGCCTCTTTGGTTGAATAGGAGGTGGGTGATCTGTTTTGGGTGATTCCACACCACTCTATAGTTAGTATACAATATGATGGCCATGTCCATATTATTCCCTATTATTAGCACCACTACTGCCACCATCGCTTTTCTCCCCAACCGTGAGTTCTATTATTAACCTGAAGTTCGGACGGTACGGTGTTTCAGTCTTGCAGTCTCCTGGCCCGGACATGTCAAGCGGGTTGCCAACTTGGCAGGGATCCCTGGAGGGCGTTCATTAAACTAGCCCCCAATGTGGTTAGACCGGCGGGACTGCTCCGAGTCAAGCGAGATTTCGATATCCCCACCGGCCCCGCTGATTGGTGGGTAGCCTCAGGTACGGAGTCTTTAGGCGATGGATGCCTGGAGCCAGGAGCATTTTCTCCGGAACCACTTGCAGCTGCAGGAAGAATCCTCACAAAATCAGGCTCATATCAAGAATCCTCCGTAACAACAAATAAATAATTTCCCAATAATAACACTACGGCACTACTGTAGTATTCCGCATGGAAGGTAACCCTTTTGTGGTCTGTGTGAAGCGCTCGGTACTGATTTTCTCATCAACCCCCATGCTTGCATCATCTTACTAACACATAATGATCGACAGGGAAATTGCGTACTCCGTACTCCATACACTATGGACTGTTGACAACTGTTATCTCTCCATCACCCACGGATTCCATGAACCCAGCCTTGTATCCTCGTAGACAGTTTCCTTGGAGTATCCGTTTGGTTCTCTGGTACCAGTAGTGGATCTCGTATCCTCGGTGGCAACAGAGTGTCCATGACGTCTTACACTATCGTTCCTGTACGAGAACAATGATATTGACTGTTGAGGCGTCCGTTCGTCCTTCCCAGCCTAGATCTCTCCCGAATCGTACATTCCCCCCCACGAACCCTCCCAGCTTCCGATCGATGGGAGACAATAAATGGAACGAGCAAACGGTGTGCAGACGCACCCATCCGGAGAAGGCCAGGGACCCCTCTCTGGTCATTGCATGTCCCCTGAAATCGACCCTGAAATCGACCGGAAGCCCGGAGCATGGGGGTACTCGACGCAGTTCACATAAAGCACCCGCATGGATCCGATGAAAGCAGGATTATCATATGAACTCCATCCGAATCCATAATTCCATATCACTTCACCCACTATTATTATTATTATAATTAGATAGCCCTCCCCCAATCCCATCCCGGTCCTGGCGGCCCAATCGGTTCGCGCGTAACATTACGGCGGTATTGGCCGGTACGGTCGGCGGCCCCTCTGTGGCGGCATCCAATCATTGCCGAGGCGTTCCCCACATTGGATGCAAGTCAACCTTTCTGACTAACGGCGCTACGAACACTTTGGGGATAGCTCGTAACTTTCCGGCTTTAGGTTAATACTCACTCAACTCCTCTTCTGCCATCGCTTTCTTCTCCCCTTCGACTTCATTTTCCCTTCGCTCTCCAGGTTGATCCTCTTCTCTTCCCTCTCCTCCTTCTCCCCTCTCCCTTCCTCTCGCTCGTCCTCCTTCTTTTTCTCCGCATACCTTTCTCTTACACTCCTTTCGACTTCGCCGTTCTTTGAAATTCTTCCGCCTCCTCCCGTGGCCTTCTCTGGCCGTCCGCTCCTTACCATCCATCGTCTTCGCACTCGCCTTGATTTTTCCCGACCGACTTTCGCCCAGTCCCGTATTTATACAGTCGACTTTATATTTTTTCGATCGGGAAAGAGTCCCGGCTGTCGACCATCCGTCACCCGGTACATCTCCGCGAGCCCTTCGTGTTTATCCCTCTTTCGATTATATCCGTCCAAATCCGAGGGTCCTCGGCACACCACCCCGTCGGTTCTGTGTTCTGGGACCTAGAAGATCAATGAGATTGATGTGGAACTAAAGGCCTCCAGACAAAGTCGGGCTTTCCATTCGTCGTAGGAAAGCCACATTGGTCTGGAGGTCTCGTGCGTCTGGATCAACATCTGCCACTATTGGTTGGGTCATCGGAGGTCTCAAGGTTGGTGCGATCCGCCGACCATGGCTTCAATTTCGCTACCTCCACAGCCTCAAACTACTTCATCATTCTCTCACTATCTCGACTCGGCGCCTCATCCGGCACCGGGGCACAGCCGCCGCAACCTGACCATGTCTTCACCACTGCCCAACCCGCCGTTCGTCTTTCCGGCGCGAGATCCAAGTGCGGCCCCGCAAACTCCGGAGCGCAAGTCCAGGAGTGCTGCGCCCCTTCCGGCTTTCTCTTTCAATCCAGGCGCCACACATTCATCGCAGCCATCCATGCCGACTCTTCCAGTGAATCGACCGGGCGGGCACCGTCGACGATGCAGCGAACTCATCGGTAATGACCACTTAGTCGCTTCTGGGACTGTGGAAGCGAATAAGGACGAGACTCCCGATCCTGCTCCTGCTCCTGCCCCCATTCCCGCTCCCTCCAGCCTCCCGACTCCGGGACCTGGTTTCAGCGCGGGCGGTCCAGGTAGACGCCGTCATGCCCACCGCCGCTCGGCGGCAATTTCCAGTGTCGATCTGAGCGCGATTCGCAATACATTAGACCTGAAGCCCCCTGGGAAGTTCTCCGCACACCCCGACAGACACAACTCAGGACCAGCATCGAGTTGACGGCATCCGACGCCCCATCTCCCATTCAGCAATCAGTTTGGGTCGGCCCACGCCCCCTGCTTCACCGAGAATCACTATCAATGGGGAATCACTCCACCCGCCACGACCCGAAAGTCCGGTCAGCCCTCTCTCTGCTGAGCATACGCTCTCAGACACCCCGTCGAAAGACGAAAACACGGCATTCACGCGTCCAGAAACTGCCGCTAGAAATAGCAACGTAACTGGGGATCCTAGCCTGTCCTCGCAGCAAGTCGAGGAGAAACCCAAGCCTCGGCCGAGGACTGCGGATGCATCGCTGATGCTGAGCTCGAGCGCCAATGGTGGGTCAAACGAAATGTCACGATCAAAACGGCCACTCTCCGCCACAGGACATTCGCGCTTTCGGAAGAGTCTCTCGTCGGGTGTTCTTGACGCTGCCCTTCGGCGGCATAACATGGGTGACCACCCTTGGGCTGACCCGCGACATTCGTCGTCTGATGACGCAGACTCGGATGCGTCTGCCGACGAGCACGGAGCTTCAGGGTCTGGGTCGAAGAAACGGGTGAAAACCAAGAAGCGCCAAAAGAAGGTCCGGTCGTGGGCTGGTTCGATTCTGACTCGGGGCAAAGGCAAGCGCCATCAATCGAAGAAAGAGCCTTCGGAAGCCAAGTCGGAAGAAGTTCGAGCGCCCGTTCTCACACGAACGAATTCAGACCTTGGCTCTGGGCTGGATGTCGAGTTTGACGATGATAATATCGTCGTGATCCGGACCCCGACCAACCCCAATGCCCCAAGATCGCAGCAATCAGCCGATGACGACCAGCCGACCTTGGAAAATTCTTGGAAACCTCGGAGCTTCTACGAACAAGATACGCAGCAGAATGACACGCTCAGCCCCATCATCGATCTGGACGCGGCCTTGGGACCTTTTAACACACCTGATATGGGTTCTCGGAAAGTAGCAGAGAGTGGTTTCTCAGCAGCAAGCAGGCGCATGTACAGCGGAGGGCGGCGAGGAGAATTCGTCGGGCCGGAGATGCGATATCATCGACGCGCAGAAAGCGCTCCGGCATTGCCACCCTTCGACCGCAGCTTCCTGGCGAGTAGTCGACTCTCTAGCAATTTCGCAATGGAGCATCCGGATGTGTTCTATGAGGAAGAAGAGGATGCCTTCTTAGCCGCTACGAGCGAATCGGAGAAGGATTGTGGCGGTCAGGTGTCGACCACGGCGGTCCCAGCTCCAACGGAGGAACCCGACAAGGAGTCAGAGCGTAGCAAGGAAAGCTCGCAGACTTTGACATGCCAGCGGCCCGTCGAGAATAATGACATGCAAAACACTCAGACCGGTCTAGGGATCGGAGAGCCGCCAAAGTCACCCACTCCTAGCGACGTCCCACCGACAACCGAAGAATCTCCGCAGACGGACCGGCAAGATGTTACGAAGCAGCTGCGAAACGCCTCGAACCCTTTCTCGAACTATCCAAGGGGTCCCCTGGACACCGCCAAGCAGCAAGATTGGCATCAGAGGATACCAAAATTGCCAATTCCGCCTAGTCCCGACATCTCGCCCCGATTCACACCGGCTGATCAGCGGCCTGCCACCTCCCCGCTAGAGTTGACACCCAACATTCCGCAATTCTCTCTGCATGGAGGTAGTTCCATCTCGAACTCCTCGTTCCCCTCGCCGGATTTCACTGTCTCTTCGGATGCTCCTCGTTCGGTCACCACATCATCTACCGACCGCAACTTCTCCAACCCGTCCTACAACCAATCGATGGATTTCCCTCACGCATCTGTTGAAGATGTGCCTTCATTGACGAGTAGTGCATCGACTATGACGAATACGCTGAACCGGTTCTCTGCGAATTTCTTCCAGCGCCCTCGACTATCGACTGATCGTTCAGCTTCGTTTTCTGCTGCTGTGCATCGGCGCTCTAGTCAGCCTAGCAGTTCCAAGCGATCCAGTCTTGCCAGTCTTTCCAAACTGGTGGCTGGGCCTGGCTCCGAAAAGAGCAAGCTGAGCTATGAGGAGAAACCGCCGAGCGACGACCCTGAGAAGGCGCGGAAGAAGGGCCGGCGAATCAGCCGTTTGATGCACTTCTGGAGAACCAAAGACAAAGATCGGTTGAACGACGATGTTGTTCGCGAAGAACACCCATCATAAGCCCGCCGGCAAACACCACCTGTACATAGTCAACTCATTCACGATCTGCTCGTCACGGTCTTTGCAAGATCCCTTTTTACCATTCGCATTTTACCTGTTCGTTTCTCTGTTGGGATAACTGACGAATCTCTTTCTTGGTATGTGTTTACAAGCGTAAGAGTATGAAGCTCTTTGTCATTTTCTTGTCTCTCATTAATGTCCGGTTGCGTTTATGGACTGGATTTCCTTATTCCATTGCTCTAGCCATTTTCTTTCTTTACTTTAATTGTCCGAGTTGCAGGCTCCCAGAGCCGCTTTCTGTTCTACGGGATATTCATGTGCGATTGTCATCACCACTCAGATCAAGCCAGGCGGAGACAACACTGTATGGTTAATCTCAGCTACTCTCCTTCAGAATATATGGGCTGGGGTTCTACGTCTTGAGTCTTCCAACCGCGAAGTACGGAGTAGAAAGTAGTTACATGAGCAATAACAGTGGAATAGCTCCATATACTGAAAGGAGTTTAGCGTTGATCCGATAAGATATGAAAAATATATATACGCAACACCACGCTCCATCCACACCACCACAGTAAAACCACATACAACATGGGACCACCAAGGAATAACCAGCGAAAACCAACCAAAGAGCAGAATGCTCGCGACGCAAAAAAGGACAAGAAGAAATCCAGCCAGCCATCATCTCGCCGGCCCACACCACAGAGCACCACACCCCAACAACCCAACGACACCCACCTGGACCTCTCGACAACCATCCCCCTGACCCTGCAACAACTCCTCCTGAACGTCTTCAAGACCGGCCTATTATCCACAGACGGACACGGCTGGCTCTCCAACCCCGATAGTCCACCAGGCGAAGCCCCACTGGACCTCAAATCCCTCATCCAGACCATCAAATCCCACCTGTACAACCGCGACTTCGACTCGGCCTTCACCGACGCCAGCGAGGACCTGCTCCGCGCATACGCGCTGCGCTGGAGCGCCTCCCGCGCCCTCGGCTACGCCGGCGTCTTCAAGGCGCTGCTGGCCGAATGCATCCCGCCCTCTGCACCCCCGTCTTCTACGCATGTGGTCTGCATCGGCGGCGGCGCAGGCGCCGAGATCGTCGCGTTGGCCGCCGTGTGGCGCGATCTGCTCGATGAGACGCAGACGCGGCTGTCCGCCCGTCTGGTGGGGATGTCGCTGCAGGACGCGGAGACGGAGGCTTCAACTACCCCCGCGCCTACAGACGCTGTCGGCGGGCTGGGCAGCCTCGCTGTGACGGCGGTCGATATCGCGGACTGGTCGCGGGTCGTGGACCGCCTTGCGTTTGCGATCCAGTCCGCCGATGTACCAGGGGGCAAGTCGCACCCTGCGCCGCTGCTTGGCGGCGTCCAGCTCGAGGGGCGGGGGGAGGCTGACGCCAGACATGGTTTTGCGGTGCGGTTCCGCCGCGCGGACGTGCTGTCGATACCTGACGCGGAGCTAAAGGGCTTATTGCACATTGAGGCGGCGGCCACGGCGATGGTCACCCTTATGTTTACGCTGAACGAGCTCTTCTCGACGTCCATGGCGAAGGCGACGGGGTTCCTGCTGCGTGTGACGGATCTCCTGCGGGCGGGGACGTTGCTGGTCGTCGTGGACAGCCCGGGCAGTTATTCGACGGTGAAGTTGGGGAAGGGCAAGCCGCAGGCCGGTGGGGGCGAAGGGGAGGGGGAGACGGCGGCGCAGGAGCGGAAGTATCCGATGAAGTTCTTGCTGGATCATGCGCTGCTGTCGGTGGCGAGTGGGAGGTGGGAGAAAGTGCTCTCGCAGGACTCGCGGTGGTGGCGGCGCGAGGCGGCACGGTTGCGGTATGATGTTGGGGAGGGGGCGGGGTTGGAGGATATGCGGTTCCAGGTGCATATTTATCGGCGGGTGGATGGGTAGTGGGTGTATATCTTTGGGTGTTTACGGGTGATGAGGACATGATATGATACCATGGGTTCGTGTTGGTATTGAACTCTGTATGTAGAGTGGAATGGATATGCTATTGCTACAATAATAAAGACCCAATGAAAAAACCAGCCATACAACGTCAGTTCGCCAGGAGATCATGCATGCTCAGATCCATCCAGTGAAACGAAAACAGATAAAAGAGTACAGGAAGGGGAAATGGAGATTATAATGGAAGTCGCGCATTAAGAACACCTCTAGCTCCTCAGACCGAGCAGCAGACTCGTGTTCTTGCCGCCCTCCTTGCCATCGTTACCAGGGAGGTACGTGACATTCGGGTTGGACGCAAGCGTGTGCGCAATCTCCTTGGTGGCATCGATGCGACGGATCTCGATGAGACCGCTTCCGGCCTTGGCGACGGCCTTGCTGATGATATCGGCACTCTCGGCTTCTCCCTCGGCGCGGATGACGTTGGCCTGGCGCTCCTGCTCGGCGCGCTCGACGATGAACCGCGCGCGCTCGGCGTCCTGCTGGGCGATCTGCTTCTGCTCGACGGCGCGGGTGAACTCCTTACCGAAGGTCATGTGGGTGATGGAAACGTCTTCCAGAGCGATGTTGAACTGCGCCGCACGCTTCATGAGGTCGGTGCGGATGCGGTTGGAGACGGCTTCACGCTGCGTGATGAGCTCGGCGGCGTCGAACTGCGCGACGATGGCTTTGAGGACTTCATTTCCGATGGAGGGGAGGACACGTTCGTCGTAGTCGGTACCGTAGGACTAGGGGAGGTTAGCCTGAACAGCAAGAGCTGAGCGGAACATAGGTCATACCTGGTAGATGGCCGGCAGCTTCGGGACATCGGGACGGTGCAGCACTCGCAGCGTCAGACTGACCATCTGCAAGTCCTTACTTCCGGTGGTGGTGGAGATATTGCGAGGCTTCGTGCGGACATCGTAGATGATGGCCTTTTGCAGCCAGGGGACGAGGAAATGCGTGCCTTCGTTAACCACCTTGTCTTGCACACCGGACAGACGGTCGAAGATGACGGCGCGGGTACCACCGCGGACATCGTAGATGGAGGAGTTGAAGAGGTAGACACCGCCGGCGACGGGGATGGCGAGCCGGTAGAGGTTGTAGAGACCGTTGGCGGCCATGGTGGAGATGCGGATGGGCAGGGAGACGATGAAGATGAGGATCAATCGAGGGACTTTGGGGATGATGTGATGTCGGGCTTTTCGCAGGCGGTACCCAATACGGCCTAGCGCGGAGACAGCACTGCCGGCCAATCAGCGCCGGCCCGTTTTGGCCCGAAGCGACTTCATTCGGCAACTTCAACCTCTTCCCTTCTCTCTCCTCCCCGTCTATCTCGCTCATTCTCTCCTCACTTCCGCTTTCCCTCGCGATCATTCATCATGGGTGGCTCTCTGGATCCTAAGAATGGAGTGTGAGTTTTTTCCCCCGTGTTTTGGCGCATTTTGGCGCATCTCCGTGCCTCCGTGGCCCTGTCAGGATGTGATCCCTTTGCGCCTGGTAGCCCGTGTGGACGCCGACATCGTTGCCATTATCTCCCAATCTATGCAATGGACAATTCAGTGCTGACCAGTCTGTCATCTATAGTTTCATGGGTGGCTGGGGTGAACTCGGTAGGTCCCACAACACCACAACGTCACGATATCTCAACCCGGAACGCCAGTGACGACCATTGCGGATCGAACCATACGGATTTGGGCCATCGACTTGATCATCATCTCCCAATTGACTCCCGCAATGATCGACCTGGCGCAAATCGAGGTTTCTCTTGGTCTCCATATTCAGAACTGACCATAGCCTTTGACGATAGGCTGCCCTACTCCCCAGCGCATCGCTACCTACTCCCTGTCCGCCAACCGTCAGCGTCCTCTTGCCGGTGCCTTCAACGCTGCCATCTTCAACACCTTCCGCCGCTTCAGACACCAGGTGCTCTACGTTGTGCCTCCCTTCGTCATCGCCTACTCCGCGATGAACTGGGCTGTTGAGAAGTATGTCAACCGTCCTCACGACAATTGCGGCGTCTTCTTAGCCGCAGGTGTGTGTTCTGTGTGGATTGCAGTGCTAATGGTGATTAGGAACGAGTACCTCAACTCCAAGCCTGGCCGTCTTGCCGAGGGTGGTCACGAGTAAATTGGAATGGTCATGATATCTAAAGATGGCTGTTGGTTGAGCTAGCGGAGGAAAAGGTTGTGTGATTGCATTGTACAGTAACTAGAAGCAATCGAATTGTTTCGAGTCTTGCCATGGTGTTGGTCGATGTAATTGTGTAGTGGTCATGTGACTTGACAGTACCCTGCGTCCCAAGGTACTACCACCGAAAGTAGTTACCTAGGTATACTTCGTACTTCTAGCAGCAAATTATTCTAACATGGAATGAGTATACCATATGAATGTTCTCTGGAACGGCGGAGCTCTGGCGGTAGTCGAGCCGGTTTGGGTAAAAATCGGGAGAAAAAAGTGGTTGCTGGTATTTTATCGTTCGGATACCGACCACTTCCAGATACTTCCTATACCTCTTCCCAGTGCAAAGAACGTTTGGATGCGAGTGTAATACAATTGATAATTGATTCCTTTGCTTCTGTCTATTGACCAACCCCACTACTGACTAAAAGAAAGGAAAACGAGCCCGCAAAAGAAATACTACCTCAGGAACAATACCGAATGTTACCGCAACGGTATTCGACCATCTTGTCGTCCCCCCACACCGCATTCATCCGCTTCTGCTCGTCTTCTTCCTCTTCTTCTTCCCTTCTCTCCTCTTCCTTCTTCTCCCGTCCATCTCTCCATCTTCTTCCTTCTCAATCGCTTCTTCCTTCTCGTCGCCTCTTCCATTCCTCCATCACCATGTCCGACATCACTCACCCCACTATCAAGGGTATGTTTCCCCTCCATCCACCCCGTCATCACGAGTACCCCGCCGCGCCTGGATGCAATTCATGCGAAACCCCTCCCAGACTCAATTCCTCAATTCCTCAATTCTTCGCACCTTGAAACCTCACTACTCCTCTTCTAATGACCCCCTGACTGACCTCCCCAGATGGCTGGTTCTCCGAGCAGTCCGACATGTGGCCCGGCCAGGCCATGAACCTCAAGGTCAACCAGATCCTGCACCACGAAAAGTCCAAGTACCAGGATGTCCTCGTCTTCGAGAGCAGCGACTACGGCACTGTCCTGGTCCTCGACAACGTCATCCAGTGCACCGAGCGCGACGAGTTCTCGTATGTGTTATATTTTTTTTTTTTGCCTTTCGTCCTCTACCCCTCCTGCCCCACCTCTCCGCCCGCCATGCGTTCGCCCAAGAACGCAAGAATCCAAACCACCCAGCAGGAGTGCCCATATGAGTGCCCAACTAATGCCCTCCCAGCTACCAGGAGATGATCACCCACCTGGCCATGAACTCCCACCCCGACCCCAAGAAGGTCCTGGTCATTGGCGGTGGTGATGGCGGTGTCCTCCGTGAGGTCGTCAAGCACGAATGCGTCGAGGAGGCCATCCTGTGCGACATTGACGAGGTACGTGCGAAACTTTGGAAATTAAAGCACATGCCGTACTGGAAAGAAATCAACATTGACACTTCTAGGCCGTCATCCGCGTCTCCAAGAAGTACCTCCCCGGCATGAGCGTCGGCTTCCAGCACCCCAAGGTCAAGGTCCACGTCGGCGACGGCTTCGAGTTCCTCAAGAACCGCCAGAACGAGTTCGACGTTATCATCACCGACAGCTCCGACCCCGAGGGCCCCGCCGAGTCCCTCTTCCAGAAGCCCTACTTCGAGCTCCTCCGCGATGCTCTCCGTGACGGCGGTGTGATCACCACACAAGGTTGTTCGTCGCCTTTCCTTTCCCCCTCTGCCTTTTCTCTCTATCTTATTATGTTCATGTTCATTTGTTGTACTAATTAACTCCACCCTGTTCAACCCCTCCCCTCCCCCTCCCCCACACTCTCTCCTTCCGTCCATTCTTGACTTGACTTGACTTGACTTGGCAAACACAAGCTAACCGATTCTACGTCCCAAACCACGCGACCCCCGCCACGGGTCCGGTTTGGGTTTCGTCATCGTTTCCTCGCGTACAGCCGAAAACCAATGGCTGCACCTGTCCCTGATCACCGACCTCAAGAAGGCCTGCAAGGAGGTCTTCCCCGTCGCCGAATACGCCTACACCACCATCCCCACCTACCCCTCCGGCCAGATCGGCTTCATGGTCTGCTGCAAGGACGCCTCCCGCAACGTCCGCGAGCCCGTCCGCTCCTGGTCGCGCGAGGAGGAGGAGCGTCTCTGCCGCTACTACAACCAGGACATCCACCGCGCCAGCTTCGTCCTGCCCAACTTCGCCCGCAAGGCCCTGAACTAAGAAGTTCGATACAGAAGGAGGCTTTAGATATGTTAAAAAAGAGTGTTGTGCTTGGGTCTTTGTCTTCTTGAACCTATTCTTTTCTACCTTGTTGGTAATTATGATCTTGGGGGGCCCTCTACACCACGTTCGATTATTCCCTTTTCTTCCTGCTGTCTATCTAGAGGCGCCTGTGGTCGATAATCAATCGATGATGATCTGATGATGATGATGAATTATAATCCCTTGTCCCTGTGTAGCTGATATTCTTATTCGTGGGATATCGGGACATTGAAGGACTACACATGTTCGTAGGATCTGTAGTTCCAAATCTTCATCTACAGCCGGTCTAATGGAATATTGATTGAAACGAACCATGCTCTTCATATCATTTCTAAATCTACTACATGGCCACTCAGAACCGAAAATCGATGGGAATTTTAGGAGCAAACATCGTCAAAGCGTCGAATCACAGGACTTCTCCCGAAGGATCAACGTCGTCCCAGAGGTTCATAAACAAAAAACATAAGAAAGATCATTACAACCCGCACCAAACAGATATTTACAGGATCTGCTGGAAGGCACGGTTGATGGGAGAGCGCACCGGCTGGCCCTTGTAGAAGTCGATGGTGGCCAGGGCACGCTTGCTGATGCCCTCAGGAGTGAACTCGAACTTCTTGTAGACCTCCTTGTAAGGACCAGAGGCACCGAAGCGGTTCAGGCCGAACTGCTCGTGAGAGTAGCGCTCCCAGCCCATGGTGGACAGAGCCTCCACGGACATGACGGGGATGCCGTCGGGGATGACCTGCAGCTTGTAGGCCTTGTCCTGGGCGTCAAAGACCTCGAAGCAAGGAACAGAGACGACACGGGCGTTGACGCCGTGCTTCTCCTTGAGGTAGGTGGCAGCGTCGATACAGATGCTGACCTCGGAACCGGTGGAGATGAGGGTGATGGCGGCGTTGGGAACCTCGACCACGGGGTAGGCACCCTTGAGAGCGGCCTCGATGGAGGAGAGCTCGAGCTGGGGCAGGTTCTGACGGGTGAGGGCCAGAATGCTGGGGGTGTGCTTGGAGGTCAGAGCAGAGTAGTAGGCGGCGCTGGTCTCGTTGCCATCGGCGGGGCGCCACACCATGCAGTTGGGGAGAGCACGGAAGTGGGCCAGGGTCTCGACAGGCTGGTGAGTCGGGCCGTCCTCACCCAGACCGATGGAGTCGTGGGTCGCGACGTAGATGGTGCGGACGCGGGAGAGGGCCGAGAGACGGACGGCACCAGCGGCGTAGGAAACGAAGTTCAGGAAGGTACCACCGGCGGGGATGACGAGGCCATAGGCAGCCAGACCGTTCATGACGGCCGCCATGGCGTGCTCACGGACACCGTAACGGAGGTAGCGGCCGGACCAGTCACCGATACCGTACTCCGGGGGCTGGAAGTCAACGGCGTTCTTCCAGCGGGTGTTGTTGGAGCCAGTCAGATCGGCAGAGCCAGAGAGCAGCTCAGGAACAACGTCGTGGATCTTCTCGAGGACGGCCTCGGACAGCTTACGGGTAGCAACAGCGGCATCGCTGGGCTTGTAGGTGGGGAGGCTCTTCTCCCAGCCCTCGGGGAGCTTGCCGGCGAGACGGCGGGTGAGCTCAGCACCCTCGGCCTTGAACTCGGCGGTGTACTTCTGGAGGAGCTGGTTCCAGGCCTGCTCCTTGGCGGCACCCTCGGCGGCGTGCTTGGCGTAGAGGTCATAGACCTGCTGAGGGACGACGAAGCTCTGGTTGGGGTCGAAGCCGAAGCGCTGCTTGACACCCTGGCAGTCATCGGCCTTGAGGGGGTTACCGTGGACACCGCCGGTGCCCTGGAGCTTGGAACCGAAACCAATGGTGGTGGTCAGGCGGATCATGGAGGGCTTGTCCTTGACGGACTGGGCCTCCTTGATGGCGGCCTCAATGGCCTCGAGGTCGTTGTCACCATCCTTGACCCAGACGGTGTGCCAGCCGTAGGACTCGAAGCGCTTGGTGACATCCTCAGTGAAAGCGCACTTGGTGTCACCGTCTATAGAGAGGAGCGTTAGTGAACTGGCTTGAGCGGCGTGGCTCTAGGTCAAATCATACCGATAGAGATGTGGTTGTCGTCGTAGATGGCAATGAGGTTGCCGAGCTTCAGGTGACCAGCCATGGAGGCGGCCTCGGAGGCAATACCCTCCATGGCACAACCATCACCGAAGAAAGTGTAGGTGTAGTTGTCGAAGAGGTTGTAGCCGGGCTTGTTGAAGGTGGCACCGACCTGGGCCTGGGCGATGGCGAGACCGACAGCGTTGGAGAAACCCTGACCGAGAGGACCAGTGGTGACCTCGACACCGGGGGTGTCGTGAGCCTCGGGGTGACCGGGGGTGATGCTGTCGAGTTGCTGGGGGGTTGTTAGGGTGCAGATTGGGGAGAAGAGGTGGGATTGGAACTTACACGGAAGTTCTTCAGGTCATCGAGGGAGACCTTGTAGCCGAAGAGGTGGAGGAGAGCATACTGAAGCATGCAGCCGTGACCGTTGCTGGAGTTGATTGTTAGTGTTGGGGGCCATGGAAGGGCGATTGAAGGACGTACGAGAGGACGAAACGATCCCGGTTAGCCCAGTCGGGGTTCTGAGGGTTGAAGTTCATGAACTTGTTGAAGAGGACGTGGGCGACAGGGGCCATGCCCATGGGGGCACCGGGGTGGCCGGAGTTGGCCTTGAAGGTGGCATCGACCTGGAGGGGAGTTAGAGATGGGGGAGAAGAGGAGGGAAAGAAGAGAAGAAGCTTACCGCAAGGATACGGATCGTGTTGATGGCCAATTGGTCAAGATCGGAGTACGGCATGATTGCGAATCTAAGGTAGTCTGGGATGAGGATGGGACGTCATGGCGTGGGATGTAGGGGAGACTTACTTGGAGAGAATCCGAATCAATGCAGGATAGGAGGAATGAGAGAGGATGAAGAGCGGGAGATGAAGAAAGAGAAGAGAAGAAAGAAGAAGAGAAGAAGAAGAATAAAAAGAAGAAGAGGGCGGTGATGGGAAGAGGAAAAGGGAAGGAGCGATGGAGGGGGGAGAGGGGAGGGATTTGTCCAACTGGGCAGGTGGGGGGGGCAGCAGTAGCAAATGATGTCTTCCGGTGGGGCCCGTTTCTTCTGTTGCTTCACCGAGAACAACAACAATATGAGGAAGACGGCTCAATGCTCGATAGTTGTCGGCTAAATAGAATTCATTGTCTGTCTGGTAACGAGTAATATAGCTGGTATATTGATCTACCTGTATACTAAATACTCATCCTCGTCGAGTAGATACATGAGATGTTCTACATATCTATACATGTTGAGCTACCCCGCCATGCCCGCTTTCGGCCTCAACATTCTCCAACAGAAGAACCGTTCCCTCCATCCTCTAGAAATCTCTGCATCTCACATTCCTCCCCCGAAAACAGTCTCATCGCATCCAATTCGTTCTTGACGGCGTCGATCGGATGTGTTGGCCATTCCGGACTAATGAAGTGTAGAGTATCCTGCAGACCCGGTCTAGCTACCAGGTAGCTGCATAGGCACTAGGTAGTACCTAGGTACCTTAGGTAGCACCATTCGAAACCTCCATTCTTCCCATTGATACTACTAAACATTGTAAACAAATACACGAGGCTGCTCCGGTGACTTCTGTCCCATCAAAGAAAATGCTCCGGCGGACAGCATCGGTCCGTCTGGCGTCTCGGAGGACGCTGCTCCGATGTCTGTTCCGCGGGGGCTCCCGTGGGATGCTATCCTCTAGTTAAATATTTATTTATCGCTTACTCAGTCCGTCGCATCCAGACTCTTATAAAAGCAACCCAAACTGACCAACACGTCTCCTCGGACCTCTCCATTCCATCTGATGAATAATAGAAACCCTTCTCTCCCTCTGGAACTAATTTCCCAGCTGACCTGCCTAATCGCCGGCAACCGCCAGCAGTCCTGACAGATACTCCAAAGGACCTAGGTACATCTCCAGTAGTACTGCAGTAGCGACCAAAGCCCTCAATCAAACCCCCCTCACTGGTCAATCCCCCTCGATAACCATCTTGGTCGACGTCATCTGCGACGCCCGTTGAATCTACCTTCCGAGCCACAGTCGATCCCCCTCCTCTCCGGAACCTCCCGACCCCAGACTCCAACTAGACGTTCCTCTGGGGTGGCACGGTTCAAGCCACGACATCACCACCTGTCGCTGCTGCGTCGGGACAGGAGCCCTTAACTCGGTCGTTGCAGGATTAGCCCCGTGCGCCGCCGGTGCAGCTCGAATCGCATGTGGCACAGGAAGTATATGACGCGGGTTTGCAGATTCGCCTCCGCACGGTGCAGGAACCAGTCTACTCCGGAGCATGGTCTCGGACTGTGGACAGCGGGGAAGCCCGCCGTCACTGGGATGTTCTGCCGATCAGAGGGCCGATCGTCCATTTTACTGTGGCCTTCTGGTGTTGTAACAGCAGAGATAACAGCATTTGACTACTAACTCACAGTTCACTAAGTCCAGATTACGAGGCCATGTAATGGGATCCATATTAGTCTCATTGACAGTGGTCGACCAGGACTGATTACATACAGAGCAGTGTCTTGACGTGCCTAGGTAGTGTAGAGCTGTCAGGATATCCAATCCATATAGATGCATATCTCTGTCAAACGCACTGTACATAAAGGAATAGATTAGTCACCCGCATACCTCCTAGCTGCGAACCCCTGTCTTCTGAACCAATCAATATCGGAGCAACAGGGGAACTAATACCTTGCCAAAACATTCAAAAAAAAAAAAAAAAAAAAAAAAGACCAACGCTGCCAAAGAGGATGATAAATGCATTAAAAGCGTCGTTAACAAAGTCTCAATCCCGTATATGGAACCTATTGGAGTTGACACTTATCATCAGTCTCCGTGAAGCCCTCTCCAGGTGCAGAAGAACCGGACTATTACACAACAGGAGGCTTCCATCCCATTGCCTTGGGCGACAGCTTTGATTCTGGAAAGTATACGGTTCTCAGGAAACTGGGATACGGCCAATACTCCACCGTCTGGCTCGCAAGAGACTCCAAGCAAGTACGTCATTCATTACTTTTGTTCTGAACTAATTGATGGTACAGATATCAGAGATATGTGACGCTCAAGATGTTACGGGCCGATTGCTACGGTGGCCCCCACAACATCTTCGAAAGGGAGATCCTCTCGAGAATCTCAGAGGTTTCTACACACAGTTCCCACCAAGGCCAGAATCACGTACTGCACCTTCTCGATCAATTCAAACACACGGGCCCCAATGGAGATCATGTCTGTTTTGTCTTTGACGTACTAGGACAGCATATGGATTTCCAAGCCGCCAAGTATGAAGACGGAAAGCTGCCCATAAAAGCTGTCAAACGCATCACCCGACAGCTTCTTCTGGGACTTGACTTTCTCCACCGGGAATGCGGTATCATTCACACAGGTATGGCAGGGGACACCAGGTAACAACACGATCTGTCGTTATGACGCTGACTTTCCTACCTCATTAGACCTGAAGCCAACGAATATACTTCTACAGCTGGAAAATCCGGACGGTGCTGTCTCCCAGTACCTTTCAGAAGTTCCTGCGCGGACTCTGTCTCAAAAAGGCGCTATAACACCGCTCCGAGAGGTGATCACAACGCCCCACGTGTCAGAAACCAAAACTCCTCACATCCGGATTATCGATTTCGGTGTTGGTAAGTAGGCCTTGCGCAATTCTTGGACACGAGGCTAATCTACATCTTAGCGTCTTGGAGAGACAATCATCTGTCCGATCTAATTCAGTCCCCAGCTCTGAGAGCACCAGAAGTGACCATCGGCGCGCCCTGGGATGTTGGTGTTGATATATGGAGTCTTGGGTGTCTGGTACGTCCATCACCTTCTTCCATACACTTTGTACTGTTGTCCAGATGAGTCTGACATACCAAAACATAACAGGTGGTTGAGTTCGTCCAGGGAATTGTTATATTCGCCGGTGAAGCATCAGGAAAAGGGACTTGGACCGCTGACGACGATCGTCTAGCAAGGATGATTGAAATACTAGGCCCATTTCCGCAGCATTTCCTACAACAAGGCGGCCGCACGGGACAGTTCTTCGACAAGCAAGGTATATTCTCTCAATAATATCAATGACAGTGTCTAATGCAGCTGTACCCAGGGAGTCTTCTTCGAATTCCCAACTTGAAGCCCACAAGCCTTGAACGCCTACTTAACGGCACGTCCAAGCCTTTCTTGAAACCGAGGGATATGCCCGACGCCGAAGTCCCTATTTTCATCGATTTCATCAAAGGAATGCTGACAATAGACCCGGCGTCTCGACAGTCAGCAGCAGACTTGCTACGGCACGAGTGGATATGTGCAGATACCCCTCGAAGTAGAGTAATCTAGAATTGAGATTGGTCTGAATAAAAGCTTCAACGCACCGAGCACAATAAAAACCGCGATCTCTCTAAGAACGCAAACAACAGCACAGTGCAAAGAAGAATCACGCCAGCGAGCCCACCATCCCATCAAACCTCCCCAACTCCACGCCCAAAGCAATCGCCGCCCCCGCATCCATCATCGCAAACACCAAAAACTCCCAGTACCCCTCCTCGCTCATCCCGTTCCGCCCGCGCAACAGCGTATGTCCCAACATGACCCCGGACACGAACAGCCGGATCGGCACCGTCGCGTGCAGGAACTGGTTCTCTTCGATGGGCATGTACGAGCAGAGGAAGTACGGGAGCATCAGACAGGACGTCAGAAGGCCCAGAAGGGCGTTTGTGTCGGCGATGCGACGCGTGGTCGGGTGGGGGATGAGCCGCTCGGGCCTGCGCTTTTCTTCGCCCTTTTTCGTTGGTCTGAGCCTGATGACCGGTAGGGACCGGAAGACGGTCACGTAGAGCGCTAGGCCGAGGAGGGCTCCGTTGGAGACGATGATGTGTTGCGGGAGGTTGACGGGGCGGAAAGGGAACATCTTGACCTGGGATTTTGATCTGAGGATTTAATTTTCATGAGCTTAACTTCTTGGTGGATTCGTCGAGGACAGTATGGCACAGATGGAGTATTTATATCCATCCACCTGACATTCTCACGTCAGACGGAATGCGGATACGAGTCGAGCTAAACATTCAAAAGTACTACAGCCCTAGATGGGAGATAGGGTGTCTATAGATACGGATGTGATTTGGAGATTGCCCAAAAAGTTATGACTTCAGGGAGTTTTTGTATGAAACCTCTACGTCGCGACTGTCGGCGTTAGTGCTACACTGCCACTCAACCGCCGAGTGGATTGAGGGATGCGCTTGACTCAGTCGCACACCCACCTGGACCAAGAGTCACCAACTCTTCTCGCAGACATCATATCTCCGGTCATGGAGTCAACAAAGCAATTCCCTCAATTCCCAAACCTTCCCCCCGAGATCCGGCTCCTGATATGGCGCGAATGCCTGCCATTCCGAGTCTTCGAGATCGATACCCGCCCTCGCCGCGAATGGCTGCTTCCGACTCCAAGAAAGCTGCCCCCATGTACATTCCGGTGGTCGCACGAGAAGAACTATTCTCCACCCGTGATAGCGCAAGTATGCCGTGAATCACGCGCTGTCGCGCTGGAGTCGCGGTCGAACGAGGAACGCATGCTACATGAACCTCCCTCTCGGTGGTTTAGCCCTCGCTTGAGCATTGCATTCATGCATGGGAAACCTGTCTTTAGCGACGACTGGGAGCAGGCAATCAGCCGGGTCCCAGACTTGCATTGGTACGCGGATCGCTGCGGCGCAGCTGGGTTCGATGCTTCTGTTATGCATGAGTTCGATAACGAAGAGGGTTATGCAGCCTGCAGGAACGGATTTCTTGATGCCATCGCCGAACGGAAGGACTACCCCGTCTGTGTGGAAACAGTAGTGATCCATGCGAGCGTGGAAGCAGCGAGGAACTCGGGGCTCTTTGGCTTACTGGGCGACGCTCCCCTGCAGCTCGTTGACGCCACCGATGCGAGAAAGATTGCCCGGTTCCAGGCGCTGTGGGAGACCAACCTTCAGCGTGATATGGCTCCGGAGAGCTTTTTCAGAGACCAGACGGACTTCCAGTCCCGCATTGTGCGGTGGAGCGAGGAGGTTGAGTCGTTGTGGGTGTATAATGACTGGTATAAGGCGTTCAAAAATGGCTGGCAGGGAGTCGTTGAGCCCGAAGAAATTTGGGAACTTCCGTATTATGAGTTTGGCAACGCACATGACATGTTAGTCTGGCGATGTTCATCCTTCGACGATGATCCAGAGCCATTGGATTACTTCCTCATTTCGGAGAATCCCGACCATCCCTTTGTGCAGCAGAGTTGGGCGGCGATGCCGCGGTTTCACCCCCGAGTCTTGTTCAGCCTCTGCCCCCTCGACTGCCATCTGCAAAAGGAGAACTATGATCCGAGGTTGTGCAGATCGAAAGAAAAGTGATAGATCATCCAGAATGACAACATACAACATAGGATTTACTGGTAGCCGCCCACCCAACCACTAACCGGCCGACGAGTTGGATGAGTAGATCATTAACATTGCTCTGGCAGCAAAACAATCTATACTATCACTTCCACACAGCTATGCCCTGTGGTATTGTACATCTATACGCTTCTCCGGTCAGCACCTCAGACGGAGCTGTAGACTACCGGGGGGTAGAAGTGAGATCGTGGTAGAAGCGGAACGCATTATCCGGATCCCATCTCTTCTTCAGCCGCTGCAGACGCGGCACATTGTCTCCAAACATCTGTCCCAGAGACTCGTCACCATGGGCGTAGCTCACGTAGACGGCGAGGTCATCGTAGCCGGAGGTGGCCACATAGGCAGCCCGGACGGCCTTCGCCATGTCTTGGCCCGCCTGTTCAGTAGTCGCGGAGGTGCCGCCAAACGAAATCCCGCTATGACGCGAGAACGTCAGTCACATATTCTGCCATTCAGGATGCGAAGACTCACGAATAGCCCAGCGTGTCGCGCCAGGGATACGCCGTGGCGTCATCTGCAACGGTCTCGACTGCCTGGGGTGCGAAGACCTCCATCTCGACGCTGCTGCCGCGCCCATCCGGGTACTGGACGAAGAAGTCGCTCAGCATCTGGAACACTTGCTGGTATGTCGTCGAAGACAGGTTGCGATAGTTCACGCCGTACCCGGAGACGGACACGGGGGCACAAATCGCCCGTCCGAGGCCCCATGCGGCCTTGTCGGTGAGCGTGTTGTAGTTGACCATGCTGATGGAGGATGCAGTGGGGTTGAGGTCTAGCAGAGGCGCAATGAGCTCCCTTCCCTCACTCTCAGAGCCCAGGTAGACCCAATTGGCAAGAATCTGAGCCTGTTCGACCGGTCAGCAAGTGTTTTGTTCTGACAAAGCGGCATGGACAAACGACGCACCTCGCCGACAGTGACGTTGTACCCGAGGATGGAAATGGTAGAGAGCTCGGCGGGAATCGTGCCCTGAAGAGACTCGATGATGTCGAAATAGGATGCGTTTGCAGCGGCCGGGAAGATAAAGTCGGCATTGAAGATTTGGCCGTTGTTGTTCTGGGGATGCAGCTTTACGTGGCCGACGTGATGATGCCGAAGTTGGGGGCAGCACCACGAAGCGCCCAGAACAGGTCCGGATGGGATGTCTCCGAGACCGTGAACTGCTTGCCATCCGCCGCAACCAGGCGGACGGACAGGAGACTGTCGATGATCAGGCCGTTGACGCCCTGAAACCGGCCAACGCAACCCCCAACCGTTGCACCGACCATTCCCGGACATGCGCAGGATCCAATTGCTGGAAGGATTGCTATCAGTTCAACTGTCATCCCAAGATGTCTCACAGGGGAGTGGAGTACTGACGCATTTGATACCCGGCTTCATATATAGGGCCATCAATATCACCGAATACAACACCGCCGCCGATTGTCAGAGTACCCGCTTGCGAATCGATGTGAAGACTGTTGAGCCTGCTCAAGTCAATGGCGAGGCCAGTCGTCATGGCGCTCAAAGTTGTGCTGGACGAGTGTCGGCCGCCGGTAGCAAGGAATGGGAGGCCAATGGATCGTGCGATCCTCACCTAGCATGCTGTCAGTCAGAATACACGGCCTTCAATACAGACTCTGCATCCGAGTTGATGAGTGCAGGTCTACCGCTCTCGCAACATCATCTCCCGTGGCCGGGGATATAGCGACGGAGTAAGAGGGCGCGCCCATGCTATTCCAACGCTCCGTCGCGTTCTCGAATGCGGTGGCGTTGGGGAAGGTGATTGTGGTCTGAGCGTTCCAGCGGTTGGTAGAATTGATAAATGCTGGATAGGGGTCAACAGCAGGAAGCGCGATAGCTGTCCCCAGGACGAGGCCGAAGCTCGACGCTGCCGATACGATTCGCATGATGCCTGTATGTGTGGCCAAGGACAAGACGACAGGGATGATGAAGTAAATGCAGGGGAAATACAAGGAGCCTATATCAATTTATATGGTCTCAATTGTTCCAACTGGTGCTATAGGTATTCGGTGTTGGCCCGGAAGCTTAGTGCTTACAGCGGAATGGTTCTTCGAACCTCATACTGCGATGTTTCTACAGAAATATGGCACGCCTTTTGGGATTGTCAAGAAGGCGCTCTCTCTCCTGGTACGTCGGTATATTTTCTAGAGACAGGGGACTGGATGCGCGGTTGGCACACTGGAAATTAGCCCGGGCTTAGTAGCCGGGAGTTACTACTATCTCCGAGGGATAGAACAGCCGATGGCGTTGTCCACCGGAGATGGTCTCGGATATTCAACAGGAAACTAGTAACTTAGTTGACGAGGATATCACAGAGGGGATGGCGCTGTCTCTCAAAATATAGACAACTTCTAAAAAGCACTGTACGCGTATCAGAAAGAGAAACGAACCGTTCACCCTCTTCACCTACAGTCTACCATGTCTTACAGATACGATACGGACTTAGAGGGCCTGTACAGCGCTCTGAGGGGCATGAAAGCGGCCAGGCCCCTAACGGTAGCCCACGATATCGCAAGCGTGCGCCAGAGAAGTAGCGGTATCGTTGACATATACAACGCAATTCCACTTGCCCCCGGCGTTGAACGGAAATCATTCACGACGAAGACTTTCGACGGCCACGATCTGGAGCTCGTATGGTACGTCCCCGAGAGGGCTACAACGACGCCAGGGCCTGCTCTCCTACAAATCCACGGCGGGGGATTCATAGCCTTCAGCGTGCACGATTTCCATCCAGCACTCAACAATCTCGTCGCGGCCAGCGGCGTGCCGATGCTCTGCGTGGATTACCGACTGGCCCCCGAGAATCCCTATCCTGTCCCGTTGGAGGACTGCTACACCGCACTCACCTGGCTACGCGACCATGCTACGGAGCTCCAGGTTGACCCTGCCCGCATTGGGGTGATTGGCGATAGTGCCGGCGGAGGACTCGCGGCCGGGTTAGCGCTGCTAGCCAGGGATCGGAAGTTCAGGCCGCCGCTGGCGAAACAGGTCCTCATGGCTCCGATGCTGGATGACCGCATCGCGGAGTATGATGAACGCATGCTGCCGCTTCTTACTTTCACGTACGCGGACAAGACGTCTAGTTGGACTGCCTATATTGGCCGGGATGCGGCTGGGTCCGAGCTGGTGCCGCCATACGCTGCACCAGGGCGCGCAGCTGACTTGGCGAACCTGCCTTCAACATATATAGATGGGGGCCAGCTGGATGTGTTCATGGTTGAGGGGATGGTTTATGCAAAGCGGCTTGCGGTTGTTGGCGTGAGCACGGAATACCATCTGTATCCAGGTGTTCCACACTCTTTTGATGTGTTTGCGCCAGTCGCAGAGATCACCAAAAGAGCAATGGAGAACCGAATCAAGGCGATTCAAAGCTTTTAATGGACCGGCAGGAGGCACTGCTCTGGTTGAGAGGTGTGCAGCGAGTTGTGGCCTAGCTGGTATAACACACTCTACTAGATATGTAGAAATGGAATAAAACATGCCAAAGAGTATGTACAATCAGACCATAATACTAGACAATACTTTCTGCCACCTGGATGCTCACCAGCCCGAAGCCGGACCCGGTCCCCGACTCCCCGATAAGCAGCGCCTTCGGGGTTGTCGGGAACTCGTATAGTTGCTACCTCTCGACTGCGATACGGCACCATGCGCAACTGTACGTAAAGATAGCGAGGAGGGTGCTTACTTCTTATACATCTCATGCTGGAATCGCATCTTGACTCGAGTCCGCTGAACATACGCGCAGGAGCGTGAACAGAGCCGTCATGATAGACTCACTCGTTTTGGACCGGCCGGCAGTATTATTTGCAGGCCTGGCCTTTGTTGGTATTATCTTTCTTCGGATCCTGTTCTCTAGTCTATTGCCAAACATCCCTATTGTTGGCGCGAGTCCCAGCGACTGAACTCCTTCGTCGTGACCGCCACGAATCGCATGGTCGTCAACCCCAACGGGGTCACGACGCCCTCGGGGGTCCGGATCCCCAAGGGCACCATGGTCTACGCGCCGTCGTACCCCGTCATGCACGATCCGGACATCTACCCGGACCCGGAGAGCTTCAAGCCGTTTCGTTTGGCGGACAAGCGCACCGCGTTGGGAGAGGAAGGGCAGTCGTATGTTCAGCGTGCGCGGCAGGCGTGGACGACTACCAGCCCAAAGTATCCGGCATTTGGCCATGGATGTCACGCGTGTCTGGGCCGTTTCTTTGCTTCCACTCTTCTGAAGCTGATGTTGGCGTACATTCTGATGAACTATGACTTTCAGTTCCTGGAGAGACGGCCCGAAAACATGTGGATCGGCTCGAATAGGACGCCTCCGATGAAAGCCACCATCATGATAAAGAGGAGAGTTGAGTCTGAGAAGTGATTAGCTGGAGGAACTTGGATTTGTCTCCCAATTTTCATACCAATCTATAGAAATAAGGATCTAGAGCTTCTTCTACACAGACCGCAGGCACCAAGAACATATCAATCTTGTAGATGTCTATACTTCGCGCGTTATGATGCTATCAATGTAAAAATGGCTGCTAGACCATCAGAAGTGCGAACACGGCAATCGAGGCCTCTGTACGGTCTATATCTTGTTTGACAGATGCCAATCAGAATCTCGTTCCAGAACAGGCAAGGCTATACCAATACACATTTATGAGTCGCGCAATCCGCACACTTCAGATTGATAGCTAATTTGATGCAATCTAGATACAATACTCTAGGTGTTGACCTGGAAGATCTCGGGGTATCGACCACCTGCCGGGGTGAACTCGGTCAGGATATCATCAATCTCGGCCATCTCCGCATCCGAGATGTCAATCAGCTTGCTGTTCTCCTCAACCCGTTCCGTCGTGGTGGCGCCAGGAATGGGAATGATCGTGGGCATCCCGGGACGTCGAGACAGCGCTCTAGTCCAGTTGATCGCGAGCTGCGCGGGCGTACACCCCTTCTTCTTAGCGATCTCCTCGACCTTCTCGACCAGCTGCACGTTCTTCTCAAAGTTCTCCCTCCGGAAGCGGGGGAAGTTGAAAGAGAGCAGCAACGAGTCTTGTGGGAGGTCATCGAATTTCTTAAATTGACCGGTCAACATGCCTCTGCCGATGGGAGAATAGGCGATGATTGGAATCCCGTACTGGGCGCAGGCCGCTGCGACGCCATTTTCCAGTATGTCGGTGGAAAACCTGTTTCAGTTAACACCTGTGAAAATCCCAAACGGCGAGGATCACATACAAGGAGAGCTCGGCCTCCACCGCGACGACATTGGTGTGTTTGACGGCTTCGTGGATGGTCTCCGCCCGCACCTCGGAGAGCGCAATGCCTCCGATCTTGCCGGTCTGGATATACTCCTTCTCGATGAGCCCAAACGTCACGTCCAGAGGCACCGCCGGGTCCCGACGGCCGAATTCAAACATATCGATCTTCTTGCGGCCCTTGAGCTGCGCAATGCAGTCATCCAGGGTGCGGCGGGTATTCTCCGGCGAGGCGTCGACCTGGTGGGTTTTGGGGTTGGCTCCGCCTTTGATATTCAGGACGATCTTGTCCGCATCTTCGGGGTATTTTTCCAGGTAGCGTTCGAGGAGAACGAGGCTGTTGTAATCTGGCGGGCCATAGAATTCACCGCCGTTCCAGCAGGTGCCTATAGATGTTAGGGGAGAAGGGACACGACATGGCTGGTCGCTAGAAAGGCTCGTTACATACATCCGTTCTTGATCGCAGCGCGCATGGCCGCAAAGGCCTGTTCCTGCGTTGGTGGTGTTGCTCGCCAGGTCAATCCCATAAGGCCGAAGCCAATGGGACCGACTTCCTTTCCACCGATTTCGGGCATATTGTCTCTGGGCGTAGGTTGCGTGATGGTAGAACTGTGCAACTTCAGAGTAGGAGCGTACGTATCCCCTCTCGACAGCCATGCCCGCTTTTTGAACCCTGCCCAAGGCCATCCCCGACGGGCTCCATGGAGCAAAGGCCAAATATGACCGATGTCTTATCGGCGTTGAACGTAAGTCCGGGGCCTAAGTCCGCCAAGTAACGGCTTCAGGGATGGCGCCAACAGGGGTAGCAAACGTAACATCGCCGACCGAATCTGAGACAGTATATCGGCAATTAGACACTCGCCATCGTAGATCGTCAACGGGATCGGCCAAATAGGCAGATGGCTCGTGCTTTATGACTCCGTGCGCAGACGGTCAGACATTGCTGTGGAGTATACATATACTTATAGTGGCTAGGATCTCACCCAACTGCATCCACTACTTTGTCATCAGCGCTACAGACTGGATCAGCTCAATTAATCAGAATTACTTGATTTCTGCTTTCAGGATGGTAGAAATTTCAAGTCAGTACGTCCTCTACGCAGATGACAAAAGAATCCACTACCTGGCGGCCGGCCCTGTGAACGACCCGCTCATTTTCTTCATTCATGGATGGCCCGGAACCGCCATTACCTGGAAGCCACAGTTGGACGTTCGCCGCGGTGGGATTCCGTATGTCTGAGGGCTAGGTGGCCCGGTGGTGCTATGTCTCTGCTTGGGCGTCGATATGTCTACGGAGGACGGTTTGGTGGGATTGGAAGTCTGAGTAGGACAACGAAAGTTATGTCTTAGAAACTATACAATGCATTCGTGTGCAATAGCTCATATAAGATAGTGAGTGGATTTGGGGAGGATATCGTAGGGTTATACGTAGGCAAAGCAACACGCTTCAGGTATCTCCCATAGACAAGACTCCCTAGATAATCATAACTGAAGATAGACAAATTCAATTATCGGCTATAACATACGTATCTCACTCAGACGAGACCGAAATATACACAGAAGAAATCCTTACCCCCAAATCACTCCAGGTATCACAATACCATCAAGATTCAAAAAGCTCCAGGCCAAGAGCGCCGTTGACCTTATAGGAAAATCCAACGGAAACGAAAGAAACTCCATGCACCAGCCATTTCAGTCATAGTGAAAGCAGATCGGAAGCCTCCACTTCAGACGGCCAGCCGTCTGTCCCAGTCATTGGCGAGTCCAAGCTCATCAGCTCCATCTTTGGTCGGTGGCAACAGGACGTTCCACGAGGGGTCGAGCATATTAGCGTGCTCTTCCGGAGATTGGTGCAGGTCGTTAAAGGGCATCCCATCATCCAAGCTCCCCAAACTCTCGTCTGAGAAGCTCAGAACACTCTGTGGCGCTTGGTGTGCCCCCACGTCACTACTGCTAGTGGCCGACCATTCCTCGGGCGACAGCCCCTGTAGCTCATGAGCCCCTGGCAGAGCCATCGGCATGGTGTCGGGCTTGTGCGAGTATTCGGCTGTCAGAGATGCAAACGGCCCGTGATCTTCGCCAACCTCCTTGCCACCGTAAATTCCGGTGAAAATGTTCGAGTAGCCTCGGTCCATGTCGCTCAGAACCAGCTCCCAATCCGTTGCTGTCAGATTGCCACCCGCGTCCGAAGGGGCCGAACCGGCAATGGCCGACCCATTCAGATACGGCATCGAAGGGGACGGATAAGAGGCACCCAGGGGATTGAAGTTGTCCGGTGGAAGACTAGTCCAGCTCGACGAACGGATATGACGTTGGGTCATATGAGGACTAGCGCCAGAGATGGTAGCACGCCGCGATTGAGGCTCCTGCGGGGTGGGATCGCTCGGTTTGCTGTGGGCCATCAACCGAGCCTTCAATGACTGAAGCTGCTTTTTCGGAGACTTGGATGGTTTCTGCGCTGGTGGAGACATCGTCTGAGATTTTGCGGAGGCAGGACGTCTGCTCCCATCGAGTGACACCAAGACACCAACTAGCGAGCTGAATTCCGCCGCCGCGGGAGGCGATTCCGATTCCAGTTGATCGATGACTGTGGTGAGCAGTTTTTGACTCTCCTTGGCCAGTTTGCTATCGCGTTTCAAGCCAGCGTTCTGCCACAAAAGGGCCAATCCACAAGAGTAGACCAATTCCCTCCGGTTAATGCTAATGGAAAGAGAAAGCCGTCTCTCGTCAAGCAGCTGGAGGATCTGAATGAGATGTTTGCTGGAATCGGACGTAGCCAAAACAGATGGCGAGCGGATGCTCTCATCACCGAAGCAAACAGCAGGACGGTGGATGAGAGATCGAATCCAATAATAGACGAGAGACTAGCCATGCTATTAGCACCTATGGTGAGGACTGGTATATGAAACCGGGAAGACTTACCAAAAGCGGAGACCGGCTACTAGTGACATTGGTACTCGGCTTGTCCTGGGAGAATTCGAGGCGGAGATGGGAAGGTAGATGCTTGACCCATTCGTCAAGCTGGCCCGCCACGGAACGTAGTTTCGAGACGGCAATCTCGTATCCGCCGTCGGAAGGATACACTTGTTCCAAGGCTTTGTTTAAAATTCTGGACGCAGCAAATAGCGCGATAGAGCTTGAAATGCGAGTGGACTCGCCCGGAAGAGTCGGCAAAAATCCCGTTTCAGTAACATTCTCATCATCGATATCTTCCGGATACTCCGTCCGGATACCGTCTTCCCGCAGCAGAACAGGAAGGCCTGTCAAAGCGGCGGTAAAACTGGATATGGTCAGACACATGTTGTGGTTTCAATCACGAGAGTATACATACCGGTCGAGAAGGTACTGGCACCAGAAGACCTTCTTCCGGGTCTCGCCCATCAAGGGATTGGACGCAAAGCGGCTCTGGCTCTGGTGGAGTCTGAGTTGGTGGCAAAGGTTGACAGCCAGCCCCCGGTACCGCAAAAGGCTGGTGTAGTCAGCTTTAGTCATGCAGTACATCTGCGCCAGCACATAGCACTGCAGGGCCGAAATGGAAATATCGCCCGAGAGCGATTCGAGCGTGGGGGACCAGTTAGCTTCGAAGAAAGTAGGATCTTGATTCGTCCTCGACTAGTCAGAGGGTTAGTTTTGTGTCTCTGGTGGTGTTGGGGAAGACATACAGTCGAAGCCAGAGCGGCGATTCCAAAGATGAGATTGAGTTGAGTCATGTCGAGTTTACTCCCCTGGAGGGACTCCGCACTTGAGACGTATTGTTCATAGGCCTTTAGGATGGTGGGACGGTGGACGACGGGGTAGAGAGGGGCCCATTCTTGGAAGAAAATGTTGATGAGCTGGTCGGTCACGAGGCGAGGAGCGGTCTTGATGGCCTGGTCAACACGAGAATGCGGAATAGGGCGAGGACAGGCTATGAGAGCCTGCGTCGATAGATTGGATTGTAGGCGACCTTGCTCCATGAGCTTGTTGGTGAACGTATCTGTATTGCGATGAGCGACCGGCTTCTGGTTATCAGCATGAGCCTGTGAAACATACCACTGAAACCGCGAGTACTCGAGATGCCACCACACTGCGAATCAGTCGATTCAGCCGGCAGTGGGGGAGTCGGAACATGAATCAAAGCCTCGCCAGCATCGGGGGCCGGACTGGGTTTGGGGGGACCTTGCGTGGAGCGGGTCGGGACAGTGGACTTCTGCTGCGAAGCAGGCGAGAATGAATGGATGCGAGACAGCACATCGATCTTCTCATCCTTTTCGTCGAGCAGATCTTTGAGGTCTCTCACTTCCGCCTCTAACGACCGCACTCGTTCCTCCAAAGACTCGGTATATCCGCGTGGAAAGGCTCGACGACTGAGCTTGTCGCTAGTTTTGCACTCGAAACCGACATTGGCGCACTGGGTACAACACGGACGAACGCCATCGCAACGGATCTTTTTGCTTCTGCAGCGATCGCAGGCCTGGGCGATCCGACTCTGGGAGCCGTTGCCGACCTTGATCACCTTCATCGGAAGAATTCCAGGCATGTTGGCGGGATGCTCTGGCGCATCTGCCTGGCAGAGAGAGGATGAATTTCGCGGTGTACTCTGTTTGGAAATAATGAGATCTTGACGATCAAAGTGGGATGTTGGGTGCCGGGTCGTGGAATGTCGCCGGAGGACGATATAGTATGTTTGTCTTGAAGCGATATAGCGGGTGTAGGCCGATCGGGTGGTGTTTGGAAAGGTCAAGAGAGTATGAAGAGACTAGGTCGATGGATGGCAGGCGACAAGAAGAAACAAGCCAGTGGCGGCGGAAATCCGGGGAGGATGGGAACGATGACGAGAGAGGAGGAGAGACAAAGGAAGAGAGCGGGAATCGAGAGCACGGAAGATGAGGGAACACGAGGGCAGCCACATTTTGGGCGCGGATGGCGGTATGGACGGTGTATGGAGCGTGACGGACGACAGAAAAAGGGGGGTGGCGGGGTTGCTAAGTGGGTCATGTGTGCTATGTGGTCCAATTAGAGGGGGTATCTTTACTTGTGGGGACAGAACGCTGTTGGTAATACCAATACGGAACACTTTAACTCTGCCCCGGTTATGGACGCTTCATCCATGGACGGTCGGTTGGTCAGCCGCCCAGTCTCTTTTCGGTATATGAATCTTGTTATAGTACAGAGTATGTCTACAGGATATCATAACAGGGTGTTTTCCGTAGTATCTCGCTGATCTCACCACGACAGACCTAAGGGGACTATTTCTTCTCGGTGTGTCCAGGCTATCATGTTTCCAGATGATTCCTCAGCGATCGTCTCGCGTCTCATACTCCGTACTCCCTATAGGCAACGCAACCCCTCATAGGACATCAACTCCCATGTCCTACAAGTACTATACTCATCTTGGAAGTACGGATTACTCCTTTTGACCCAGTCACCCTCCGATAGGCATGTATCCACATACCCCGTACTCCGTACTGTACATACGTGGTCCAGAAGACTAAAGTAAGCCCTAACGAGAACATCCCTCCCGCGAGGAAATCCTGCCCCGGTTTTTGACGATCACCATTCCGAACCAGAAAAAGCTTCGCCCACTCCAGCTGGCACAGAAACCGGTCAAAGATGATCTCAAGTTCCACTCCCCCCTCTCTGACTACGGGATCTCAATGGATGCAGTCCAATGGATGCAAGCAGAGCCAAAGACAGCGTGGTCAGTACCGTAGTTACCCCGGAGTACGTACTGACCCAACCGAACCAACACGAAAACCCCCGGGTTCCGACAGCGGATCAGCTCCTCTTCATCTCCGCATATCTCCGGGGATGAAAACGTCTCCCGCCTATCGTGTCGCCTGAAAGATGCGCGTCTGCGGCTGATGCGGGAGGAAGGAAGACCTCCCGTACGTCCGTAAGTCGGACCACCCCCGAGTCTGAGCCAGATCTCTTCGCCAACATGGATCGTTCGCCTAACCATTCCGGATTCTGGGAGTTTCGCCGAGTCGGAACCAACCCATGTACTGGTTACAGATCTTGGGGGCTTGACTTGCCACTTCCCCGGCCGTTCGCGTATCTGACACCGGTGCTGCGGGTGGATGCTGGACTGGAAGGCACTATATTTGCACTATTGGCTCCACGAAAATGCGATGATGTGGAGGGGACTCCATGTGGAGAATCATCTCCGGATCGAGAGGAAATAGAATAGAACAGGCCGAAATTCCAATTATTCATCGGAGGGATCCTATGAGAAGAGATCCATTTGATGTCTGTTGGCTGGTTCCCAACACCGGCCAGCCCGAGAGTTCCCCGAGAAAAAGCAGTGGTGGAGCTGGACGTGCTCTGGTTCACCATCCACCAGACCGAACCAGCCCTGTTGCGGAATCATCGGCGTTCGACTGATCTATCATTAATATTCTTGTCTCATTGAATCTTGTTTAAGGTTCGTGTTGGTCTGGGGCCTAGGAGGAAAAAGGGATATGCGTGTTCCCCCCGCAAGTCGGAGATCCTCCAACCAACAAACTCTCAAGCCCACCATCTCTACCGTGAATTTATCGCCAAGGGAGACATCATGTTCGGGAATTGAAACTCATGTTGACGTCCAAAGTCTATCCACCCAGCAATACGAGATATCCGAAACGTTGCTGCTTGCTTGGAAAACTGAGCCGCCATACAGCCGTAGCGACATGAGCTTGGCTCGCCACATGGCATTACGCAGGACGGATCCGGTCCAGGCCAACTCAGGTTGCTGAGCAATGTCAGGCAATTCTGAATCATCCTGACTCGCCTCCGGGGTCCGGGGCGTCATACGGTACGCAGGTCTGTGCGTCATTCTACCCCGTAGGGGAATGGAATGAAATGGTGCTAGCATCATCCCCGGTTATGTCCATAGTTGAACCACACCAGGGCCTCAACTACCCCGGTTGGGGCAGTCGATCTCTACTGATCCTGGTTGATGGGTCCTCGCTCAGACCGTCGCTGGCTAACAGCCAACTCTATGGGCCGGAGCTTGCACTGGGTGGTCGGTCTCGTGAGGTCTACCAATGTCCAAGTTGTATGCATCTTGTGCGCGTGTCTGTCCCTACAATCAACAAAACTTGATAAGGGCCTAGTCCTTGTTAGCTACACGTCCGTTTCAGGAGAAGTCCTCTACAACATGGCGTCGACCGAGATATCCTGTCACCGTCTCCGATGCCAAATACTTGTCTCTCTGTACAACTGTCAGTAACCGGTTGACTATCATGACTCGCATGCACGAATTGCATCACACACCTCGTTTTCCAACTCCTTCAAGCACGGCTCCAACAATTTCTCCTCCAAGTCCCGCAGCTTTCTGGTCGCAGACAGCACCCCAGGCCGGAATACAGCCTGCATGTCCGCGCTTTGGCTGATTTGCGCAGATACCTCTTGCATCTGCTTGAGAAAATAGAACTGCAGGTTCACTCTTGCCAGGATAAGCGCCACGGCTCGTAGGTAGAACACGTCCCAGAGGGGGTCTGCTTCCAACAAGGCTCGGAGGTCCCCCGAGTCTTTCACCTCCTTGTCTTTCCAGGTGACTTTGAGTTCTCGTCCCCCGTCGTTATTCTGTAGCATGGCAACCTTGAGTCCGTCTTCTTCGTTGATGCACGCCCACCAGGCGAACGGGCTGTCCCAAGCCGTGGTCCGTCCTTCGGTCGGAGGGATAAGAGAGAACGTGACTCCAGGGGGGTCTTTGCAAAAGCTCGCTTTGTGGTTCCGCAACGGATCGTCGTCTGGAATACTCAGATCGAGGAAGACCTGCCCGGCATCTTCCTTGTCCTCCGGTAGGAACCCATAAGAAAAGAGCATCTCGGCCGCTGGTTTCTCGCTTCCATACCTTTATCATCCCTGCAGTCAGCACGCCCATCAGTCACCCATTCCACAGCGAATAGAACTCACGAGATGGTCACTTCATCTCCAGGATGCAACACCTGCCCTTCCCGCAGCTGGAGCAGGGCATTCCCCTCCGCATCCTCCTCGTACAGAGCTTTCACCGTATCATCCGACGCATGGTTGGCCATGTCGACACAGGGCACCATCGCATGTCCGCTTCGCGGCAGGTCCACCAACCGGGATCGATAGAGAGCATCGACATATTTCCAGTCGTCGATGTCGAGCTCGCCAGACTCGCCCCACCAGCGCTCCTCGCACCATGGGATGTTCTCGGTGGATTGGCGGAGGTGCTCGAATTCTTTTTCCAGGTAGTCCTTCTTCGCTTCTACCGCCAGTCGAAGCGATGTCCCCTGTAATAGCTCGACTTCCTCATGATCGTAGAGCGTAGGCAGCAGCACAGAAGATGGCATATATTTTATATACTCCGCCCACGGGTGCGATACGCCGATCTTAGGTTGCCCCAAGAACTCTTTGCTTGAATGTGTGAGCTGCATGATGAGGAAGATCAGAATGGCGCCCCGCGCTGTCTGTTCGGTGTGATTAGCACCGCCTATAATCCCGAAAAGACCAGGGACACAACATACTCTGCCGAACTCGCCTACAGCCTCAAGAACCTCTTTCAGATGCCGATCAGCTTTCGCATGATTCTCAACCAGCTGCTGTGAGAGGACCATGTCGGAAGGGACCCGAATCAGGTAATCGGAGCTAGCATCTTCCCCTTGAGAGTTCTCCTCTGTCGCTACAATGGCAGACCCCTTGTCTATGCCATCGCTTTGGATTTTTTTGAAAGTGACCCCTTTGACGGTGATATTATTCAGTTTGGTCCAGGTCAACAGGGAATCGACAGGCAGGTAGTCTCGCTTCATATTCGTTCGTCCAATTAGTTATACACAGGTAACCGATGAAGTCGGTGTCGACAGGTACCTAACCTCAGGTATATGACGGTCGCGCGTCACCAACGCGGCCTTATCGATAAGGACGCGCCAAGCCCTGAGCCCTAATTTCCCGATCCAGCTGCCAGCCGATTGCAGCATCACGACGTCATCCAAGAGTACCCTCGCCGGCTCCTCAAATCAAGCCGCGAACATTAAACATTGGTTGTCGGTGTCAAGGACGCCCTGGCTCGAATAAAAGTAACCCCATGACCACAATGTACCCGCTACCTCTCACCACTTCCTCACCAACAACGATCCGCTTATCAACCCTACCGAACCGCTAGCTACTATATCTGTCAGAGCAACATGTCCGGCAGCTCTCGCATTCAATCGTCGGCCTCAAAGCTGCATGGGATTATAGTCCCACACCCTCCGCGGCCCTTGGTGCTTCCGCTTCACAGGGTGTGGCAACCAGCCACGTTCCATACCCCTACTAGTGTGCGCGGTCGTCTCAATAGCTCCCTGTCCAAAGGATGGAGGGGAACCAGAGAAGAGGATCATGCCGTGAACCGCTCAAAGAAACGCGATACCACAGATCCTACAACAGACGCGTCCAGCTCCGGTTTGAAGGATAGGGAAGAGTCTGAAGGCATTGCCAACGACTCCAAGCCTGCGGGAGCGACAGAGAGAGGTGGATTACAGCACGAGCGCAAAGCTAAAAAGGAGCACCCCAAGGCGCCCGAGCCCATAATAGGGATGAACGACGAAAGGGCCCAGGTAGGTTGGATCCAACTCGGTGCCCCTTGCTCAATTCGGCATGCTAATCTCCTTGTCTCCAGAAGGGTCACTGATCCGGAGTAACTCGATAACCGCTTCGTTCCAACATGAAGTCTATATATTTGCAGATGCTTGCCCCGGCGGTTTATCATTCATTACCAGTCACGTTAGCTGTACATAAAAGCCGAGGAACAGGATCTATCGGCCAGGCTTGAACGACAGAACCTAGGAGCAAAAAAACTGTTAGCACCAGTGACCAATGAATAAAATGTACCACATACATCGTGTTTGCCCACTTCCACAACCTCATCTTCTGACACTCGGGTGCCGCCGACGCCCTCGATGTAGGAGATGGGCACATCGCCCATCACCTTGTTGGCGACATCGCCGACAGTGCTACCCCTGCTCATTGTTAGGGTGTGTTTCAATTCATCGGGGAAGGGGAAGGCGCACTTCTTAACCAAGACACAATCACGGAAAACAGCGCTACCAGCTCCAGACGCGTAAGTGTGGATATTACGGACGGGGAAGACCGGCACAAGTCCCAGGAGTTCCGCGGCTCTCGAAAGACATTGGACGACACCCGTGGATCCAAAACGGTAGAGTACCATGTCTTTGAGGTTTTCGACGCGCCTGTCCATATGTTAGAAGAGTTCCATTAAAAGGGGGCATGGGCTGTCGTACGTCTTCAATTTCTCGTCCATCTCCTTGAGCCCACCTCCATCCGGATCTCCCATGTCTATGAGATCTTCCCTTGTATCCACAAATTCACTGCCTTCTATGTATTTGATGTATCCCTGTTTTGCGAGCCGCCGGAGGAAGACTTCTGATATGGCAGAGCAAAGCACTATCGTCTTGGGGTCTTGCATCTTGGCAATTTTGCTGATGTTCTGTAGTTTGTTAGTAGAGTAACCGACCAAAGAGAATAACGCGACATACCTTATCTGCATCAGGATGGTCGATTTTGTTCAAAGCATATACTGTCGGGAATTTCTCATCAATGAAGGCCTCCACCACCTTCTGGACCGTCTCATCAGACCAGTTTTCCAATGGTTCCTTCAACCCTATGCGATCTAAGCATCTTCCCACAGTCGCTGATGTGCTCCCGTAGCCTGAGAACTGATTCTGCAGGGTTTCGACGGCCGTCGCTTCTACTCGGTGTCAGCATGCATCGAGTGTAGGTTTGTATGTGTCGATACTGACTGATTGCTACATGTCTCCTCTTGATAGAGCCCCTATTCGCACAGGTTAGGATGGAGTTGAGCTCACACCAAAGGCGGCGTCCTACCATTTCTGCATCAGGTTGCCCAGCACCCAGCGCACAATTTCAGAGTGCAACCATTCAATGTCCTGCGAGGGGTCATACCCTCGTGTCGCTTTGCCTGTTGTCGCGCCGAATTAGCCGGTGTTCTTTTGCCGCATGTACTCTTCCAAGGACCGGAGTCAGACCTTCCGCATCGGTGGTCCCGCTCACATCCACGACATGGATGAGAGCATCCGCATGGCGCAAGTCGTCCAAAAACTTGTTACCCAATCCGCGTCCCTGATGCGCTCCTGGAACCAGACCAGCCACGTCCAGGAGTTCGATGGGGACGGAACGGCGGCCTTCCACGCAACCGCCGTAGTTCGGCTTGCATTTATCCGACACGTTGAAGCGTTGGCAAGCGCATTCTATTTGAAGATACCCGATTGCTCGCTGAGGATCAATGGTTGTGAAGCTGAATTGGGTCGATCAGATTGAGCACCAGCAAGGAAGGATTAATCGACAGCGATGGAAAGACTCACGGGAAGTTTCCTACACACGGGCTTATATTAGTGATCATACTCAGGAATCCATTTATAATTAGAAGCTATAGTAGACTCACCGACTTTGGAAGAAGCATCTGTCAGACTGTTTAGAGTAGTTGATTTTCCGCTGGATGGCTACATGCCCCTCAACTCGGTCAGCGGCGTTTCTTATCGGAGGCCAGAGTGACAGACCTTTCCCACCAGCCCAATCAATGGATCTCTCGGCATAATGTATGACAAGCCGAGCGTAAATCAAAATTCCTATGTATGTAAAAAAGGAATAAGAGAAACGGCTCAAGAGATCGTAGCCAGTCAGTAGAGAAAAGAGACATGCACCGCGGGGAAGTGTTAAATTCTGCCACTAGGAATGGAAGGCGGTGTGGTTGTTGTCCGTTTCCTCTTTTGGCTTATACAACGAAAGCTATCATCAAGTGCTTCAAACATGAACTTTGGTGGGTTTTATATCCATCTGGTTTTGGTCATCAAACTGTGCTTTAACTCATGTCCATCCAATAAGTCATTGCAGTATATGGACAGCCTCAAGAAGTTCATTGTCATCACGATCGGTAAAACGTGTCTCAAACTAACTGAGAACTCACATGGTCTATGAAGATCATTCCTAGTACATGCGCACCATGAAGCGCCCCTACGATTGACAGAACTCATCTGGTATGGGGTTGCGCATTCCCTTGTAAGCTTGGAATATCCTATGACCGTAGAATTTCTCTGACTGGAGGCACATAGTAGTACTGGCTGTGCCGCTCATTGATACTCGGTCGTCACGTTGTCCAAAAGTCCTTGCTCGGAGAGAATTCGACAAGTCCCGAACATTCGAAGCACGGAAATTTCTTCCATCTACATGCAAGATAGCACATACTGTCGGCGTCAACGTTCAGGCTCGGCATAGAGAATGTCGGGGCACCAAAATGCCAATGCCGATCGACTCGATCGGTTCTTTCTAGCGCAAGATCTAGGTGGACCATCACCACTCGGATCTTCTCTTGACCACAATTTCTCTGGATCTAGAGCTTGTTATCCCCTGAATTGTGGGCAGTCGGAAATCCTCCTTCCGAAATAGAGCGTAACTCATGCTGTTGCGTGGAAGCCTTGCCTTTAATATGCAGCAATTACTCCATGATGACTCCATACCATGGGCGCCTGTGGGAGGCAACAATATCTCTCTCAATCCCTCTCACGTCGCGCTTGATGCTGGTTGAAAAATTCTAGTGCAATCAGCTTCCCTGAGCTGTGCATGCACGCTCCACTTTCATTTTCCTATCTCAAACTGATCGTTGTGGTGTTTCATTCCCGAAGAATATTCTACCCAGAGCTCTTGAGTCTTCCGCCACGGCGGCCAAATCACGCTCTCGTGATGATGACGCCTTAGTAGACGCTCACGAAATCAATGACTCCTCTTCCTCCATCGAAATGGAAGACTTGGATATGGAGTCCATGACGCGCATCGCATCCAGCAACCACGGACGCTCCCTATCCCTCTCGGCCTCTATCAATGAAAGAAATGACCCCCGACTAGATCCCAACAACCCAGTTTCGACCATCGACGATTGGCACAAACCGTCCTCAGATCACTCCACCAGCCCGTATAATCACCACACAGACTCAAGGGGTCGTCTTCAGGAACTTGAATGTATCAGGTTCGGGATCAGCGCTCCAAGTCCAGGAGACCCTCGTGTCGGAATTGACAACTCCGTTCCGATGGCTGTGAATGCACTTTCTGGACACAAGCCCACTCGCCGCAGACGAATTCTGCATGGGTTTGACGGTCTACTGCAGAGCGGCGAGCTCCTACTTGTTCTCGGTCGTCCAGGGACCGGTTGTTCGACATTTCTTAAAACAATCTGCGGTCACCTGGGCGGCCTGACTCTCGAGCCAGAGAGCTCTGTATATCTTGGGCATTGTGTCTGAGCTCTTTATCGGATTTTCTTTCTGGAAGTCGGACAATAGTCAACAAGGATTCCAGGATGTTTTTTTTCAGCATATTCCTACTCTGCACCATCTTCTCGACTCTCGTGAATCAGATCATGCCCAAATTTGTCGTCCAGCGTGCCCTGTACGAGGTCCGGGAGCGACCATCGCGGGACTATCCATGGAAAGTGTCCATCTTGTCGCAGATGCTGGTCGAAGTGCCCTGGCAGGTTGGACTGGGTGTCTGTTCGTGGGCATCCTTTTACTTCTCGGTGATTGGGCCCGACCAAAGCTCCCAGCGCAGAGCCCTGGTCATTCTGTTTATTTTGCAATTCTATGTCTACGCGGCGAGCATGGCGCAATTAGTGGTGTGTGACATTGGGGAACCTACGCTGGCAGCCATGTTAGCAACCCTGATGTTCGGTCTGTCCTTCATTTTCAATGGAGTCATGCAGCCCCCGAGTCAACTGCCCCGGTTCTGGATCTTCGTGTATCGCATTTCCCCATTCACCTACTACGTGGGTGGGATTAGCGGGACTGCTCTTCATGGACGACCGGTGCAGTGTAATGACCAGGAGATGAGCGTCTTCGATCCGCCTCCGGGTCGGAGTTGCCGGGAATATCTTGCGCCGTATCTCTCGAAGGCTGGTGGCCAGCTGTATAACCCCAGTGCGACGGCGGGCTGTGAGTACTGCTCCATGACATCTGCAGATGAATACTTGTCGTTGCGTGAGATCTACTGGGGCGACCGGTGGCGGAACTACGGCATCTTCTGGTGTTATTTTGTGTTCAACATCTTCTGTGCGATTGCGCTGTACTATGTGTTCAGGGTACGGATGTGGAATGCGCAGAAGGGGAGGAAGTGATGGAGCATTGGGTGGGTTGGATAGAGTATGTATGATTGTATGTGATAGAAAATGTATTACTGTTTCTGGAAGCCAAGAGTGACCTCCTTCTCTACTGTAGGTAAAGCCACCGTACATTCTAGTAAGAACACCATTACAACGATCATTGCAAATCATTCCAGAGCCAAACCCGCCTCTAGGATTCGTCATAGGATGCGATCGGTATGATATAAGACTGGGTCGACCAGCGCCATGTCTGGCGCGCAATTCCAAGGCTGGGCAGCCCACATGGCGTCATAGCAGTCGACGTCACCAGTCGACATGTAGTTAGATATAACACCTCCAATTCCTCTGAGCTTCACCTGTAAAACACATCCTCAAATCACTCTCAACCACTCCAATACTCAATTATCTCCTCGAAAGCACACTTCAACCACATCACCACACACGACACACAACACAACCCAACATGTCCGACTCAACATTCCACACCACCACCCAAGACATCCGCAAGGCCGAATCCAAGGCCTCGAACCTCCACGGCGGAAACCCTCCCAAGGACTCGGATGTGTCCGCGATGAAGGTACGTGGCATCCCCAAACGGACCTCGGCACCCTGTAAATGCCTTATACTAACAATCCATAGTCCGTCATCGACACCAACACCAACAAACAGGAACAGATCGACCAGACCAAGGCCAACCTGCCCCTCCCCGAGCAGCCTCCTCGTGCGAGCGACTGGTCGTCGGCCGACCAGCGGACCGTCAACGTGGGCTCGGGCGGAGTGGAGGGCCCGATCTCAGGCGAACGCAACTCGGCCCTGAGAGAGCCGGCCACCGCGGAGAGCAGTGTGCGTCGGGACGGAAGCGAGCTGCACCAGAATACGGCGCCGACGGGCAATGTTGGACGGCAGGCGAAGGAGAATCTGGAGGGGCTTCCTCGAGATGCGGTTGCTCGGTAATGGGTTTGGGGATTGGGTGTTGTTTTGATAATAATGATAGGCGATATGAATGAAATGTACTACTATTCCTATTATTGACGTGCTTCAATTGAAGAATTGATGTGGCTTATGGTGATTGGTCGCGGTATCGTAGGTCTGGTGAGTGTAGATATATCTAGTACTATGCAGGTTGTAAGAGATGATTTTCTGAATGTAGAATGCAATGCGATCGGATAGTCTTTCACCACACCATGTTCTATTCATGAAATCATTATCTATGTACTTCTATAACCTGACATGGTTGTATACGCTGCTTGTTGGATCATTAAAGTAGTCGTACTACTCGACCACAACCTTCCAGAACAGTCCTCTGAATGCACTGCATTGACCAATTTGATCTAAAATACGGAGTACCCAGAATAGCGCCCTGTCGATCCAAGTGGCGAGTCGTCAATGGATTGATTGTGGGTGTATTGTGTGTATGTGTGCAGGCCTGGCTGGACGGTGACGTCACCGCATGTAAACCTCATCCAAGACATCACCTTTTCCCACTTCATCAGGTAGGTGGAAAGTTGCTCAGCATGGCCCATTCTATGGCATAAGGCGAGCCCAGGTAGACTGCGTAAGAGTGTGGAAACGTGGGTCGGATCCTCTGATGTGAGCCAGTCTTGCCTGTATACTGACGTTACAGATGCCGTTGGCTGGGGTTGATGGCGTCGATGGACGTCCGTCAGAATGACATCAAGCCCGGCGTCTGCTCAAACCAGTTGGTCTACTCAGCAGCTACCTAGCTATATAGCGGGCATCCGCGCTGTCCATTCGTCTGCCATCAACTATTTCCATCAACTACTCGACTACACACTACTCAATTGCTTTCTATACCACTTCCACATCTCTCACCATGGATCTCCAAGGAACTCCTCTGCCCGGAAAGCGCAGCACCAAGGCACGTTTCACTTCTACCCTCTTCACACAGCACAGATACTAACTGGATACAGGTCACCAACGACCCCGAAGCCTCCCGCAACCCCATCTCCGAACCCGCCGGCCCCGTGGCCGGCGACTCGCTCGCCGCCGAGTCGTCCATGACAGGCGGTGCCTTCTCCCAGAACCGGGGCTCCGAGCCCCTCGGCGTGGCTGCTGGCCAGTCCACCCTGAACACGACCGACACCTCCGCCGCCACGAAGCTCCCCGCCGCCCCCGTCGGCACCAAGCGCGAGGACATCACCCGGCAAGAAAAGTACCCCGACGCTCTCGGCGGCCAGGGCAACTTCCCCGGCGCCCACCTGCCCCAGAGCGGATATACCGGCGGTCCGACGGGCGCGAAGCAGACCCAGAGCCAGGGCACGCACGCTTCCTCCCAGCAGAAGTCGTCGCATACCCAGGCCCCCGCCAGCGGCAGCGGCTACCACAGCCAGTACAACGGCGGCCAGGCGCCGTCGTATGTCGCTGACGTGACGGGTGACTTTGGGGATAAGAAGCCCAAGGGCCGGAACTTGACGGAGGGCGGCTTTGATGACTCCAACAACGCGAGTTTTAACACGGATATTGGCTCGGAGAATGACCCGGGCCGTCTGGCGGAGAACAAGTTCCAGCGTCGTGAGGCGGAGAGTGGCCCGGATGCTGCGGGTGGTGCGAGACAGAAGGGTGTCGATAACCAGCACTGGTACCAGCCTCTGCAGCCGGATCAGAGAGCTTAAAAGCAAGTGACTGTTCTGAAATGAAGTATTCGCAAACAATGTACAATAGAAAGGAATCAAGGAGTTATGATTTGAATGACTGTACTTTTGTGGTAATGACAAAATTCACAAATCAGTGACTATCCTTCTCCGTAGCATCAACGCACATGAACTCCTGGTCTTCCCAATCGTCTTCCACCTGTCCCAGGCTTATAACCACCTCTTCCAGAACGTCTTCAACGACTTCACATTCCCCCGTGTAGTACCATCGTTTCCACGCCCGGCTCACACCTTCGACGGTCCCCACCGCCAGGGCAGCTAACCATACCATCGCGAACAGGATGATGACCGGGGCTAGCACTCTTTCCACCCTCGACAACGACCGGAGCATGGGGAATGCGGACGGCGACTTCCCATGGCCCAGCGTGTGGACGGGCCCGGTGCGAGGTGCACAGTCGATGGTCTTCGCGTTGATGAAGAGACTATGCGGTTTCTGTAGCAGACGCGAGGGGATGTTGTTGCATGCGGGCTGTGATGGGACACGATGGGTTGTCGATTGCAGTGTCGATATCGATCTGGGAGCATTCTGTCCGGACTCAGGAGGGAATCTTCTTTGCAATGGGGCGACTAACCCTGAGGATGTTCTGGTGGGTTCTTACTTCCCCGAGGGAAGCATAATAAGCACTGGGCACCGGAACTGCGATTGCAGGTAGGATACAGAGGAATGCCAGCGCACAGAAATGCAATGGAGACAACATCGTGTCTGTCACTGTCGAAACGATGTGAAAAGGAATACAACAGTAGAGAATCTAGGTATCGCGACTCCGCCATTCTTATAGTAACGGAACCTGTTGACCGCCGTCATCGTCCTTGCATATCTATCCGTCTCGAAGACTTTTCTTTCGGTCGATTGCAGATCAGTTGGTCATGTCCAATGGAGTAGACTGCCAGACAAGTGGGGGATGTGATAGATCATCTTCGCATTCCATCGTCCCTTGCGTGGATCCGAGAGCCCGAATGTGTGGAGAGGATCGTTAGTATGATTATCGACTCGATAGAGGAATCCATGACATGATCTATCTCGGGCTGAGAATCCTTCTATCGCTAGACGCATAGTTGAAAGTTCAGCTCGTACCTTTAGTAGGGCTCGTGGCATTGGGCCTTTTTTTCTTCTCGTAGACACAACTGCTATATCCTAATTCCTAAATAAGAAACCCCAGTTAGAAGTACTATTAAGTCAGTTAATTCCCTTTTAGCTTATTATTCTGCTTATATATGGAGTCTCTCTTCTATCTCAAGATATTCTTAGAACATATCTACGATTTAGTTTCTTTATAATAGAAAGACTCTCCCAAGAATTACTACTTCTTATCCTAGAGAATATCTCTATAAAAAATTCTCTAAATTTCTTCAGCACTTTCTAACATCACCGGGGCTCATCATCCAGAACATCCTTCTTCGCAAGACCAACTCGCTCCAATATCACTTCCAAATCTCGGTACACTTCTTCCTTATTCTTGGTAGCATCCACCTCCGAGATCTTCCCCTGTGCCATATAATGCCGTATAACAGACAAACTGACCTCGTTGAACGTATCTAACCGTTTTCTCATAGTGTCGAGCTTATCATCGGACCCCCCTGAAGTCTCGGATCTACGCTGAAGCCTCTCAATCATGACATTCTCAGGGCATTGGAGATAGAGAATATGCCGTGGAGAACAGATCTCAGTCTCGAAGAGGAGTGCTTGGTCCATTTTACGGGGGAATCCTGCAACAACGAATCAGCTTCTGAAACAAACACACAGATATTCTTTCAAAACCCGAGTAGACTAACCACCAAGACGGAAGATAGTATGCCCCCTTTTCCGAAATGCAGCCTCAAAAGCCTGCTTCAATAACTCGACAGTGATCTCCATAGGTCCAACACGTCCTTCCTCCATGTTGCTTCCGATGATCGGACCATACTTGCTGTCTGGTCTATTGATCTCGTCACGTAGCACGTCGCCCACGCTGAGGTGCGCGAAACCGTGCTTCTGAAGACTCTTGCACTGTGTTCCTTTTCCTGACCCAGGGCCGCCAAGGACGAACAGTACAGAGATTCGGGTTGTCCAGTCAGGCTGGACCTGTTCTGGTGTAGATTTGGGGAGAGACATAGTTAAAAGTCACGACTAGCGGTATCTGGAATGTGTCGGTCGGAAGTTGGGCATCCAGAATCCCGTCGGAAGTTCAAGTCTAGGCGCCTTTGTCCTGGTTAAGCTGCGCCACTTTTATTGGGTGTAATCATGGTTGATATAAGGCTTCAAGTTTTGGGTCTAGACCAATATCCCGTGTGCCCTGGACTCCTGTATATTACTCGTTTCGATAACTCATTTCATTTCATGCAAGCTTTCCTCAAGCAATCTCAAGCTGATCTTTCCTGATATCCACATTGGACATATACTCATCAAGCCTCGAAAAGACGTTGACACCGTTCCAGAGCTCTTCATGTCCATCTTTGCTCTTGCTCGGCATACCAACCTGTTCCAATGCAAAGGTCGATCCCACAGAGCCATAGCAAGCCGCCTCGACAACGCTTCCTGTCTTGAGATAGCCAACAGCATATGCGCCCAAGAACGCGTTTCCCGTTCCAGTCGGATCAATCACTTTCGCATGTTGTTTTCCTGGCTCGGACTGATAGAAAGGCGGAAGCCACTTGGGAGCGAGATCGCGTGATGTGACAACACAGCCATGCTCACCAGCTCTGACAATCAAAACCCCTCTTCCGTCCGGGCCGATTCCACTGTCCAGGATTTTGAGGGCCATTTTCTCGATACTATGCTTGTCCAGAGCGGCGGATGGTGACTCCGCAAGAAAATTAGCTAATTCTAGATGGTTTGGAGAAAACACGTCAACCAGAGCTGCCGCTTCCAGGCACGTTTGTAGGTTTTCTGGTTTGCATGACGGTGGTGCAGGTTCCCATATTATTAGAGGACGTTCCGAAATGCCTGCCTTTTGTCTCATGCCCAGAAGGCCCTTGATTCGGGGTCCGATATCTTGGGGAGTGTGGAGGTAGTGAAACACTTTCGACTTCAGAAGTACAGTGCTCTCTATGGTGCTGTCTCGGACTGCAAGAACCGGTGTAGTGTACTTGAAATCCTTGACTAGAGCGTTATTAGCCTGCATCCTCTGTGCCAGGAAGAGAAGAAAAAGAGAGAAGGGAAGGGGGTAGTCGCACATCCAAACTTCGTGTCTCTGTACTCAAGCAAGCCCCGAGTTGAGGGCTGATGCAATTCCTTTTCTATGACCAACGTTGTGCCCCAGCTTTCCAGGTATTCCTTAACGGGTTCGGGGAAATCATGCCCGATATGAATTGGCCAGCCTAAGGAAAGACTCTGCGGAGGGGGAAGAAACAATCGAGCACCGAGAGTACCTGTGCCGTTAATATGTCAATCAGGGTGCGATGGGACAAAAATGGACAACTAACTGTAGGCTCCGGAACCACCGACTACATCCGCCAATGGTTTTCGGCCTGGAACGCGGATTTCGTCGAGGACGACCAAGCCAAAGCTTGTGAAGGAGACGTCGGGAACATCCATAGCCACCACTGCAATATTTTCCTCAGGCTATACCTTCAGGAGAATAGGATAAAGGGGTTGAAAGGGATGTAATCGTTTGCACTCAGTCGAACCAACCCCGCCGGTAGGCTGCACAATGTAGACCAGAACCCAACAAAGAATACTCCCACACCATCAATAAGACCTGAACTATGTCCGCTGGAAATTCAAATCCGTCCAGTGCATCCTACGTGACCGCTGAGTTAAGGTATTGATTTTAGATTCTCACTGCCTCCGTTTTCATTCATACACCAGATGTGAACGCCAGATTTGCAACGGACATATCATAAAAGATCAACCCAATAACACGTCCCAAAGGCCAGAACCCCGAAAGACATGCACTGCCTTCTCAGGCAAAACGCGGAACTGTACAAGTCATACCCAGTGACGAGACGCGAAACAGAGCCCTAGCATTAAATAAGAAAGCGAAGAAACACAAAACAAAAGGATCCCATCAGGCGACGCTTAGACGTTCGCCTTCTTGGCCTCCTTCTGCGCGAGGGCCACCAGCTCCTCGTACACCTTGCCGAAGTCCTCGTCGTCGCCGGCCGATTCACCCTTCTTGCCCTTGGCCGCGGACTTGGGCACCACCATCGTGACGCTGGTGGGTCGTTTCGTGGCGGCCGAGTTACCGAGCTCGGCGCGGGATGTGACGAAAACGTAGGGGATGCCGTGGTCTTCGCAGAGCACGGGAATATGAGAGATGACGTCCATCGGCGAGATATCGGCGGCCAGGATGACCACTCCGTTAGGGGTGGTGGCCGGGGCGTTGGGAGCGGGGATGGGGGACTTGCGAAGGGCCTTGACGACCTCCTTCACACCGCGCTTGAGGCATTTGTTGACGGCGGCTATGGACATAATTGTTAGCAGGCTGCATGGAATATGGGACTAGATGTAGGGTTCCGCTCAAGATCCGAGGACAGAACTCGACCGGTAGACTCCTCAGAGCAAACGGGATGTAATTCTTACCCTTCTTCACGGTCTTGAGAACCTTCTTGGCCGACTTGTCCTCCACAAGAGGAGAGGCAAAGGGAACGACAGCGCCAACAGGACGACCGTCAATCTCCATCACCTCCGGCTTGTCACCGTTGACAGAGCCATCAGCCTGGTCAATGCCCTCCAGAACCTTGGTGGTGAGCTCCTTCTCAACAGCCTCAGCCAGAACAGTCTTGTCCTTCTTCTCCTTCTTGTCCTTCTTGCTCTTGTGGACACCGTCCTTCTCCGCGCGCTTCTCCTTCTTCTCGCGCTTGTCCTTCTTTTCGGTCTTGTCCTTGCCCATTTTCGACGTCGGAGCTGAGCTCAAGTGGATCGAATTGAAACGAAAAAAAGGAGGGAACGACACGCAGCGGGCGGGGGGCGTGTGCAGGAAAAAGGAGAGGGATTGGAAGAAGAGGAGGTTGTGTCGTCGAGATTCGACCGAGATTCTTCACCACCACCAAAACGAAGAAAAAAAAATTCGGAATCTTTCAAAACTCTGGCGCTATGCCGTTTCGGGAAGCCTCACCTGCGCGGGCGGTGAATACCGCTGACTCAGCGACTCTGTCCCAATCGGGATACTCCATCGAAAACAAGCAGCAAAGGCAACTTCGCCGTCGTCTGCTCTTCGTCAACGACGGTTGCTTCTTTGTCTAGGGTCACGACCGGTGGCCTTTGACCGCTCTCGTTCTCTTATGATTGTTTTACCACTCTTACCCCGATCCTCATCCCTAATCGGATGAATGCAAAAGGTATGCACCCATCGCGCCAGCTACCCAGCTTCCTCTCCAACAAAGATCGACGTCTAACTCGTCGCAGATGAATTCAAGCCGGAATTCTCACCCATCTTGGGGCTCTCCACGCACTCCATCGTCTCCGCTGTCCATTCCTCCCGCCCCAAGTGTCCTGCGACAATCCGTCCGTTCCTCTCAGCCCGCAAAGCCTGGTGAGTCCTTTGGCTGCATTCTTTCTCCGTGGTATTGACGACATCTGCCAGATACGGAGAAGGAAGAGCTCCGTGTACAAGTCAACACGCTGAAATATGAGCTGGAGAATTGCAAGCAAGAGCGAGAGTTGATGGCCTTGCGCCATGAAAAGGAGGTCCGAGACCTCCAACTCAAAGCCGATGCAGATTTTAGAAAGGCACAGGTCTGTTCTACACGACGCGACGAATGACTTCGTTGTAGGGCATCGCTGACACTTTTTTCTCCCCAGGCAGCAGAGTCTACAAGCAATCGGGCCAGCATCAAAAGCGAAGAGCTTGCGCGTGAGCTCAAAGAAACCCAGGAACTCGCCCTGAACGAGAAAGTCGGCCTCGAACGGAAGATTAGAACCATCCAGGACCAAAATCAGAGTCTGCAGGAGGAAGTCGAAGACACCAAGGCGCAGCTGCTGGACCAGGAGCGACAATATAAGTACCAGGTCAACGAGCTGGAGACCATTCGCACGTCCCTCCAGAGAACGCTGGAGGAGTTGCAGAACGATCTCCAAACTGCGAGAAATGACGTCAAAGCCACACAGGAGAAGTTAAGCGAGAGGGAGACCGAAGTTGCCAACCTGGAAACCGAGAACATCCGGCTCAAATCCGAGGGAAGTGACGCGGAATCCATAGCTGTCCTTAAGAGAGAGCTTTCGGAGCAGGTGAACCATATTCGCACACTGGAAACCACAAATCGAGAATACGGCGCTGAGCTGCGTCATCTGCGAAAAGTGCAGAAGAATGTCGAAGTGGTGGAAGAGCAGAAAAGATCACTTGAAAACCAACTGCAGCTGATGAAGGCTGTTGAGGCGGAGCTGGACACCGTCCAGATCCAAAAACAAATTCTCGAAGACGAACGCAGCTCGTGGACCAGCCTTCTGCAAGACAATGACCAGCCGGCAGAGTTTGACTCTCCAGAAGCAGTTGTAAAGGCGCTTCTGCAGGAACGGCTCGAAAAGGCCACACTTGTGGACCGCCTGGGAAGTGTGGAAGCACAGTTCCTGGAGAAGGACGAATTGATCAGGAGCCTCGAGACCGAGAAGACCCATCTGCGACAAGAAATTGAAAAACTCCGTACTTCTGCTGCTGCGGCAGGAGGTGCTATGGCTGACAGTCGAGTGAAAGCAAGACTGGAGCGTCAGCGAGCGCTTGCAGTTAAGGAAGTTGAATATCTCCGCGCGCAATTGAAAACTTTCGACACAGAAGAGATCACAATGAACGAAGGCCAGAGCCAGTTTGACGAACAGAAATCTACACAGATCGCCAACCTGGAGAAGATAGTTGATGAATACCGGGCGGAGCTTGAAAAGGCCCATGAAGAGCTCTCCAAGCGTGAAACTACTCAGCAAGAAGATGCACAGCCGCGGGGCATCAAACGCCCTCTGTCCCCCGCGGAAAGCGATGCAGAAAACGAGCGGCTCTCCGTGTTAACACGCAAAAATCGAACCCTGCAGGAGTCGTTGTCTAAGACCGAACAAGCCATGGCTCTTCTCCGTCGAGAATTCGAGGCCACCAAATCCCAGCTCAAGTCACTCAAGGCCAAGTCGCGCACACGCATTCTCGAACTTCGCGATAACCCCACTGCACAATCCGAGAATCTCAAGCTCTCCACCATCACGACGCTGAAAGCGGAGAACAAAGACCTCCTTGCGCAACTCCGTGGCAACCACCAAGACGTCAAGGTCGTCCCAGTCAGCACCCTCGAAAGCATGAAGTTAGAGATTCAGGACATGGAGCGTGTGGTGGCGGATAAGGAAAAGCGCATGCGCCGCCTCAAGGAGATCTGGACGGCGAAATCGTCCGAGTTCCGCGAGGCTGTTGCGTCTCTACTCGGCTACAAGTTGGATTTCCTGCCCAACGGACGAGTCCGTGTTACATCCATGTTCCACCTCTCGCCGGCCTACCGACACGGAGACCCAAGTGCCGCATCGGATTCACGCGGCCCCGGCAGTATGGGCAACGGCGAGGAGAACTCCATCATCTTCGACGGCGAGAACGGCACGATGAAGATCTCTGGCGGCCCGAACAGTCTCTTTGCAATGGAAATCAAACACCTCATCAAGTTCTGGGTGGAGGAGCGCAAAGATATCCCTTGCTTTTTGGCCGCCATGACGCTAGATTTCTACGATAAGACAACCCGAGCTGCTCGGATGTGAAGACATCTCCTTTGATCTCAGGGGGCATATCATCGAATTTACGCACGCATGTACTATCCTGTCTTACTTTTCTGTTGGTTTTGGCTGTACGATTCCCCGGCACAGCTACTGGTGTGCCATGTTTTTCATGCGTTTTTGCAACAATGCAGATTTTCGCACTCACGGTCAGAAGTGTCGAGAAGTTTTGCGTGCGTAGTGCCCTTTGCTTCATTGCCCCTTCCAGGTCGTTTTTCCCAGTAAAACCCTTGGCGTAGCCTATGAGACCTAAATCCGACTACGACATGGGTCAATGGTTCATAGGTTCAAATGAAGAAATACGCGGCGAATACGCCCTTCAGCTTCTAATGTACGTGGCCAACTTATTTACAGGTGCATTAGCGTACCTCTCATCCCCAGAAACTTGTCAACATCGAGATGAAAGGTTTTAGAGAGGTTATGCGGCCAAAAAGAAGGAAACGACAAGAGGAAAAAGGCAAAACAAACATCGAACACAAGATACGCACAGGGACATCAAAACTAGACGAGCTAGCACAAGATAGACTTATTATCAACCAAGACCAATGTGCACAGACGAGAACCGTGGGGGGAATCATGTACTGAAAATGGGACAGTAAGCTTTTTCAAGGCACTTGGATCCTTTCATTCTCAGGTCGAAACTGAAAAGCGTATTTTCCGGGCCGGTCGAGAGCTCAGATAGGGACATGGTTCAAGTCTCCGGCCTTAAGAAGAGATGTACTTGCCTCCGACCAGCTTGCGCACGGTCGGGACCTCGGCCCATGACAGCGACGGCTGCGAACCGGACGCACCAGGGCCATCATCAGCAAAAGGATCGTACTCCTTCTGCGCAGAATCCGACGCAGCACTGACGCCCAGTCGGGAACCCGCATCCGAGGAGTAGATCTCAAACTTGGCATCCACCTTTCCTTTCCGTGGCCAGCTGTTTGACGTCGCGAACCGAACAAGGAACTTTCCGTCCGATCCAGCCTTAACCTCAAACTCGGGCAGCTTCCAGGTGACGGCTGATTGTTTGCGGCGGAAAGCAGCTCCAGTGTTTGGGTACATCACGGCATTTGTGGCATGAGCCACCTCGCGGCCTTCCTCAGGGGACGTGTCCAGGTTGACCGTCAAGACTAGGTTCCGAAGAGTGACGGAGTCCTTCGAGGAAGTAGTAGTGAACGACGGGTTTAACGAGTAGAAAATGATCGCACTGGCTTGGTGCTCCTCGAGGTTCCACGCAGGTTTGAAGATAACGGGGCAGTAGGCGGAAGTATCAGACGGGTCAATATGAAGCTGGTATTTGAACGCCACTGTTGGCGAGGGGCGTGCAATACTGGATAGCTGGATGCTATATTGGCCCCTCTTGTCGTCATCCTTCTCCTCGCTCACAAAATGAGGATTTGCGGCGACTTTCTCAAGCACTTGGAAGTTATCCAGTTGGACTCGTGTGTTTTCCAATGGCGCACCTGGGGTGCCATTGTATGCCAGGGCGAGTTCCCCGACGACAAATGACTTTGTCACTTCGCCTTCCGTGAACCAAGCATTTACAGTCTCGATGATGGATGCGTTCAACCCAGGCTCGTGTAGTTCCGGGTGCGACACCGGGCCTGCAATGCTATGCAGGGTATGGGACGAGCGGACGGACGTTGTATCTGACAGAGCATGCTCATCCGTAGCGGTGCTGGGGGAGGCGACGTGCTTTGGTACAGCTGGAGATGTGGGCATGGGAACCTCAGAGGTTGGAGTGACCACAGACGCCTCAGTGCCCATCGCTGGCGGGTTAGGGATGAAGACCGTGTTGCGCACGTCTCGTCGCCCGCGCAAGGTTCCAACGTTGCGCCGAATGCCGCTTTGCTGAGCTTGCTATATGGTATGTTAATGGGGTCCTGCACGGTGGGACGATTTAGCGCACGAACCATTCTCAGTTGGTTTGCCATGTCGTCCATTGCCTGTTTAGCCTGGTCCTCGTCTTCAAAGATCGGTTGGTCCCGGATCGTCAAGTTGATGCTTGGCTCTTCCATGCTATTGCACAAAAGTTAGTCGCACCTCACAGCATCATGAACATGTTAGGGGCCTCTTACCCAGCGGCTTCTCGTTGAGCCCGGCTGATCTCATCCATAGTTTGAGGCCGTTCGGAGTATCCTTCCGAGTCCACATGAACCTAGTTGGTTTATTAGCAGGCTAATCGTAACAGCTTCACAGTCAAACTGACATCATTCACCGCAGTATTAGCTATGCCTGTCGCAGACGACACTTCCTGCGAAGCCGTTCCGTTCGTGGTTGCTGGGACTGGGGCTGGCTGCGAGAATCCGCTCGAGGCAGTACCGAGACCCTCCCGTTCGTGAGACTCGCTCGGTTGGCGCATTGAGTCGCTATAACTCTCTTGCGTGGTCAAAGCTGTTCCTGGACGGTCTGCTCCCGACGACGATTCCGGAATGGGCGCTTCACGAGACTCGCCTCTCTTGAAAGAAGCGAAAGGACTGCGATGTTTCTTCTCACCAAAGCCGGAAGGGTTCACCACACTCTTTCTCCGGTTCATCACCGTCCCCAGCCGTTTCAGTCCCCCGAGTGGCGTGTGACGCGGTTCAGGGGCTGAGATTGTGCACGTTAGAAACTGTCGCCTTTATCCACGTGAAGGTTAGTTACTCACCGGGCGGAGGGGGAGATCTGACCCGACCAGACGTCTCGGAACGCTGGCTAGCAGAGTCGTCCTGGAACTGTGGGGGCGGTGCGAGGGGAGCAACTGGGGGAGGCGAGCTCTGCGGCTCCCGCGGAACGACCGGTCTTCCCCCATTGATCTTGGCAGCAAAAGTTTTGATCTCATCAGCGGTCTCGACATTCAGAAGGACGTTGAGGCAGCTTTCTGCGGCTTGACGACAACGCTCAACCTGGTCCGTCTCATGAGTCTCCAGTTGAGTAAGGACGTCCCGGAGATGATTGAGGCGGGTCTCATCGGCGGCTTGGAGTTGCTCGAAGACGAAGGGTGCCCGGGACTCCCATTGTTGCTTGATCTCCTCCGTGGCGGCGACCGCACTGGCGAACTTGTCCGCGCCTTTCGGGCCTTTCTCCCGGGCCTTATCCACCTTTTTCTGAGATGCTTCTAAGCTCTTGGCCAGCCCTGCGAGGTCGCTTTGAACACCAGGCATCGACGCCAATTCGCGGTTCTTATTGTGAAAATCTCTCAGCGGACGCTCTACATCCTCGTCAATCTTCTGCGCGAAGGTCTCATGAGACGCGGCGACGGTTTCGGCGGCGTTGATAATGCGCTGCCATGGGATCTGGAAGATGCTGTTGTTGCCATTGGTGGCCTGTATTAGCCCGGGCGTCGGAGAGGAGATGTAAACCGAAGGGGGGATGTTTAATCTCACCCTAGCGCGGCTCCGTTATCCAATTGGGGGCGTGACGCAAGCTTCCGCAACCCTTGGGCATAGGCCTCTTCGACTCGACGACGTTCCTGTCGCGGGGGGAGAGAGAAATCAGCTCCGGATGGCCCCGGAAATATCGTTACGGAGTCGCTTGAGAGTTTACCTGAAGCCAGTCGGCGATATCTGCATGGACTTTGTTGATCAGGCGAATGCGATCGTTCAGCACATTGGTCGCTTGGCTGGGCTGCAAAGAGGCCTAAATTGGGGGAAGACACGAATTGTTAGAATGCACGAGAGCCTCTGCTAACCAAGAGCACAAAACGTCTGGGTAAAGAGGAAAAGGTTGGGCTGGGGAAACATACCAGCAGTGCTGGATACTCCTGCCGGGAGAGGTCCATCTCGAATACACATAGATCCCCGTTCACAGACAGGAGAGGAGGCGCATAATAGGAAGAAAGCCGGGGGAAAAAGGATGGGTAGTGTCTCCTCTTGAGCAATTGGTGGAGGGTGGAATGCGGCGAAGTTGTGACGGAGCCGAAGACGAGGAGAGTCGAAGGTAGCGGGAGAGACAGGGAGGGAGAGAGAGAGAGAGAGAGGATGGGATGGGATGGATGGGATGATGACGATGACGGGGCGGGTGGTTGCAACGCCAAATCGGGCTTAGCGGCTCCTGTCACATGCCCCATGCTTTTTGGCTGCGGCGAACAAATCAGGCAAGTCTGTTGGTTCTGGTATACATTCGTTCTTCGACTGATTTCCATCTCATCGCTGTTTACTCCGTGACAACCGCCATGGCATCTACGGACTGGAAAAAGGACCTGAGCTTTTCCGATCGACTGACCACCATTCAATCATTGTAGGTCCTTGTCCACTCGTACTAATTTCCACACTGTGGCTCATGGTTCGTCTCCAGGACCACCGCCTACCAACGTGCTTCATCGTCCGCTGCGTTCAGTGAAGCTCAATCCCAAGCTAAGCGATTCGAGAGTGAAGCTTACAGTAAGGCCGGCTCCAGAGCAAGTGTAACCCGGTCCAATGTCTACGCAAACCCTTGCTAACCATGCTACATCAGAAAGAGTATGACGAGTTCTGTCAGAACGCCATTGATGGGGCGGAAGCTACTCGCTCAGAAGCTCCCATTATAGGCAGCCCCGAACAGCTACATGATGATCTTGACCAAGACCAATGGGCCTCGGGCGAGAAGATTGGCCCTTACCAGTCCTGTCTGCGTCACTTTGAGGGAATCCATTCCAGCATTTACAAATCCCGAGGCGAAGATGGAACCCTAATCGCAATCAAGGTCACTGTACCCCACCTTCTCACAGCACCGCACGACGCAAAGGTTGAAGTACGCCTGCTGCGAGAGGCCGCCAGCCCACATGTGATCCCTCTGTTGGATGCCTTGAATATTGACGGGGGTAGACTCCTCCTCGTGTTGCCTTTCCTAAGATACGATTTTGAACATTTGCTGCGTCGAGATATGTTGACCGCAACGCAGACAAAGTCTCACCTGCACGACATGTTCAAAGCTTTGGAGCACCTGCATAAGCTGGGGATCATCCATCGGGACATCAAGCCTTCTAATATCCTGATGAACTCACCCGACGGTCCGGCGTATCTCGCCGACTTTGGAATCGCCTGGAAAGAAGGATATAATGAGACCGAGCCAGCCGACAAGAAAATCACCGACGTCGGTACGACGTGCTACCGTCCCCCAGAGATCCTGTTCGGATACCGGGGATATAGCACAGCTCTTGATCTGTGGGCGGCCGGCTGCGTCGTTGCGGAAGCCCTGGCGGTTGGACACAAACAGCTGTTTGACTCGGGACCGGTGGGGAGCGACTTATCTCTTGTTTATTCTATATTTGTGACCTTGGGTACACCAGACGCGGAGAGCTGGCCTGTATGTGTTCCTGACCTCTGGTTTTGTTTGTCTTTTAACATGGTGGCACAGGAAACGAAGAAACTCCCCGATTGGAATAAGGTGGAATTTCACCGATACCCGGCCAAGCCGTGGGAGGACATCCTTAAAGGCGCCTCTTCCCGAGGGCGGGATCTGGTGAGCAAACTGGTGCGATATGAAAGCAGCGAGCGCATGTCTGCTACGGAGGTATGTTCAAAGACCAATTTCGGGGAGCATTGGAGAGGTGACACGCATTGACTTCCTTCAAGGCTCTCCAGCATCCATATTTCTGTTCGTAATGGAGCTAGACGCGATTTGTCGCGTTCAGACAAAGCGAGGTCTCCAGTCCAGAGGACATGGATGCTACCAGGCAGCCATCGGGACAGTGGGAGGAGTTAATATATTCTGGTATGAATCCGGCATAGTTGGAGGTGGTTTGCAGGGCAGCCCCATCGCATTAGGGGGCCCACCAGCACCCACCGGGCGTTTCAGCCTTTCGACGGCTGGCAAAGCTGGAGATGACTGGGGCCAAATCACCAGCCCCTGTTGGCCAGGGCCGGCATGGACCGACAGCAACGGGGGCGCAGTCTAGGACGGAAGCGAATTGTCCGATCTCGCGTCGTTTCCTCCAGAAAATCGTCATCATACCTCCCTGTGTATTGTACATACATAGGTAAAGCATAATCATGGTGATATACAGTATGCGGCTATGAAAATTCATCTCCCAGGAGGGTGATCTCGCCACATGTCTCGCACATGAGAGGAAATCGAGTCCCGAGACGCTGGGACAGCAGAGTTTCAGTGGATGCGAAACATGATGAATGTAAACCCATCCCTTGCTAGCCTCACGACTCATGCTCTCCCTGGCTGAATGCCATGGTTATGAAAATTGTGAATTATTGTGATTTGTTGAGACTCCGGACACTGATTCTGACGACACTTGGAAGAATTCGGAAAAGCATGCGAAGAGAGACTGGGCGAGGCTGGAGGATAACTAACTAACTAATTGCCAAAGGATTCCTGTCGGGGTGGAGGACGCTAGAAGACCCGAGCGGGGCCTTCATTTGACAGGCAGGGTTCGCGCATTCCGGCTGATCTGTTTAGGGGATATGATTCATGGGGATGATGCTGACCGATTGATTGATTGATCGATCGATTGAAGTATTATCCGTATACCTCCTCTGCCTTCTATACATAAACAAGTAGTCCCAGAAGTGATGACAAGAATAGATGCGCGGGAGTTCCGGAGACTCACAGGATCGTGTTACCTCGATTACTGTTTCTTACCAGGAACAGTATCATTAACGCCCAATGAGAGCTTGTGCCTGTGCACGAATAGCGGGTCTCCCCGGACCCTTGGCCCCAGACGGTTAGTGCTGGCAGCCCCGATTGGCCCGCAGCCCCGCTGTGGTGCATCGATCTCATTTCGTTTAGGTTCCTCGTGGTAATCTTACCTTACTTGCTTACCGTACACGGGGAGGATCCACCAGGGTCTTTTCCATTGTGATTCTTGTGTTGATCTCGTTGCACTCTCATCTCTCTCTCTCTTTCTCTCTCTCGCTCTCTTTTCCTCGCAGGATCCCGTGTCGGTTCCAGCCCTTCTCTCTCTTCCCCCTTGTCCTTCTTTTCGTTCTATTTGACCTTCTTTCCCTCTACGGAGCCTGGAAGCTCCTCGTCCTTCTTTTACCTGTACTGTTGACATCCGGTGTGGTCCCAACCCCTCCCACCCCCGGCTGTCAGCCAGATTCCATTCTTTCATATCACCCACATTCCTTGACGCGCTTGCGCTCTCTTTGCTCCAGAACGCGGCTGGTCTTTAGATCCCGTTACACTCCGACGATCCAATTCCTCGATTCATCGAGACCCCGATCGTCGGTTGAACTACGGAGTACGTTCTATCGTGGGCAAGCCCCTTGCGACGCTCATCCAAACCGACTTTTTCCTTTCTTGCGCGTCACTCATCACCATCCCAAGTCAACTTATCTACGATCTCTCCTCAGTCTGTCCGCTCCATCCAATCTCTTCTTCCCTGCGCATCGCGATAAACCGAATACATCGCCCCCTCCAAGGCGTCTTCGTGGAGGAGTGAATCTCATCCATCATGGTGCATGCCCATGCGCATCGTGACCATGGCGCTGGCCTGCAGGAACGACAAGTAACCGTGGTCTATGTAACCGCGCCCGCCGATTTCGATGGCCCCATCGGCGGTTATGTGACCGGCGACAAGCCGGATCACCCCGCCACAGTGGGCGTCGGAGGTGCCGTGAGACAGACTCGAACCTCAACCGAGGAGGAGAAGCCAAAGACGACAGAGGAATCGAAGCCGAAGACAACGGACAAAACCTCCAAAATCACTACCACCGAGGATGTCAAGACCAAAGCGAAGCCCACCGAGACCGAGATTACCACCACCAAGGACGCTCCCACCCAGACGACTGCCGACAACAAGAAAACCCAAACCGCCTTGACCACCTTCTCCACGGCAACTTCTTCGACGTCTTCCAGTACTGATCTCAACAACGCCGGGGTCACGAACGGTGTTTCTTCCGCCCAATCCTCTCCGACTGCTTCGTCCGTCTCGAGTGCTAGCTCGGAGGGTCTCACCGGAGGTGCAAAGGCAGGAATCGCCATTGGTGTCATTCTGGGCGTGGGCCTTATCGCTGCTCTCATCTTCTTCGTCGTCCGGAAGAAGAAGAAGCAGGGTGAGCAGCTCCCGGACCCGGAACCGTACAATGAGAAATCGTACACGTCCAACATTGTACCCCCGCCGCCGCCGAAGCCGCAGCCTCCCGTCGCCTCTGGGCCTCCTCAGCTCAACGTTCGTCCAATCACCCAGTTCGCCCCTGATCTGACAGCCAGCCCCAGCATCTCTGCGGCGCTTGCCGGTGCTGCGGCTGGAACCGGTGCCGCTGCGGCGTCCCGTAACCTGACTGGAAATAGCCCTTCTCCGCCTCATAGTCCGCCCTCTGGATCCAGTCATTCTAATCCGTTCAGTGATCCCGTGAATCCCTTCGGCAACCAGGCCGAGGTCACGTCCCCCGTCGACGCAGCACGCGCCACTGGTACGGAAACAACTACGTCTGCATCCAATGTCACCCCTGCTACCGCTGCCGTTGGGGCTGCCGCTGCAGGTGCTGCAGTAGCCGGTGCGGCCGCGGCTGCGACTTCTAAGGAGGATCGGAAAGATTTGCCCAGCCGCCCTGAAAGTTCCACTTCTCAGGAGCTCTCTCAGCCCGGTCCGGCAGTCGCCAGCCCGGTCAGTGCGGAAGGAGCACCGGCGGGTGTTGCTGCTGTCCCGGCCTTTGGACCTGGTGGAGCTGGTCCAGCTCCCGCACCCACCAATGTACACCGCGTCCAAATGGATTTCAACCCGACGATGGAGGATGAATTGGAACTGCGTGCCGGCCAGCTTGTGCGACTTTTGCATGAGTATGATGATGGGTGGGCGCTTTGCGTCCGGCTC